GCGCGACCAATGAATTAACCCTCTTAGTTAAGGGATGGTTAATAGTCATTGGATGGGATTCCTGTCAACAAATCTTAATCCATCACTTTCTCCAGTAAATCCTGCTTTAAATTGCATCGTCTGTCACCTTTTTACCTCCTAACCAACCAATCCAAAAGTCTACGTCTTCCCGATGCAAGTCAATTCACCCGCCTCATTTTAAGCCATCTCCATTGATCATATTATGATATTTTTTTTTCCAAACATGTACGGGCCTAGCAAAACCCTCTTCGTCCCTCTCAACTTTCAGCATCCTCTCAAATCCCTGCGCTTTCAACTCATCCTCAAACGGTGGCCTGATTTGGATCGTCTTATACGTCTCTCTCAATTCTTTATTCCTCTTTGAAGCTCTCGCATAATTGCTCATAGGCTGCGGCTCCACGATGAGATAACCCCCCTCATTCAATATGCTCTGTATGTGCGCAAATAGCGTCAACATCCCGGAGTCCCCGTTGTTGAGATGTATCCACTTGGTCACAGAGAGCAGTAAGACAACGTCGAACTTGCCCAGTGCGGTACCCGTGTACGCGGACGTATCCACAAAGTCAAAGTGCTCAAATGTGCACGGCCCGTCCGGGTAGGCCACCTTCGCCTGCTCGACCAGCCACGGGTCGATATCGACGCCGACTGAGGCAGCCGCACCGCAGTGCGCTATCGCCTCATGGGTCAGTTTGCCCGCGTTGCAGCCTAGGTCTAGGACACGCGCGTTGCGGAGGATCTCTGATGGAAGAATGGAAAGGCGCTCGTCTGGAACGGTAGGCGCCCGGAACTTAGCGTAATATTGGTGGTAGTTGCCATGGCGCGCGGCGAGGTGCGTAGCTTTGAAGCGCTCTGCTTTGGAGAGTTCTGTTGCAGGGGGGTATGGTGATGGCATGCTTCTGCCATAATTGGAGATAGTGCGAGCAGAGAGGCACGTGTTGGTAATGATATTGATTATGTCGAAAGAAAAATGTGTAATGATGTGACTGACGTTAAGTTTTAGCACACTAGATATGCCATATATTAGGAATTACAGGTCTTGAAATTTTGTGAGCAATGCCAAAGTTTTGTTGCGCTGAGAGGTTTGTAGGGTTTGCATACTCTCGGTGCCTGAGGCACTGACCCAGCCAACTACCGGGGCTTAGTGATCATATGGAACAAGAGTTTATATTAGGGCTAAGCGAGTGCTTATCGCTTATATGCGTCGCTCACTTACCGAATACGTTAGCTAGTTAGTATCTAACTAGTACTATCTAATAGAAACCATACGATCCTTACAGAATCTCATTGTTACCCCACTGGTCATGTGATATATATAAGTGGGCCTATCATCTATACGATCTGAGTCTTAGTCTAGCCCATGGAGGCAATGTGTCCCCTGATTAGATCTGTCCAGTCTCAGGAAGGGAGCAATATTTCCCGAGGTACGATGGCGAAAGGGTGTGAAAGGGGGTTTTAAGGATTTTAAGAACTCGAGCCTTTTGAGATATCCACAATATGACGTCACCTTTACTTACCGTTTTTTCACGCGTCTTTGCGTGTGCAACCCTAACATCCATACCGAGGTCGTACTCAACATGCCGTTCAGACAGGCGCTTCAGGGCATTATCGATAAGGCAGACAAGGCTTGGGAGGAAATAAGCCATCACTCCCCTCAGCCGGTATCGTCGTACAACAAGCCTCCCCCACCGCCTATTCCAACCTCTAGCAAACCACCACTAGCTTATCAGGAACAGCACTCGCAACCCCAGATCTACTGGCGGCCCAATCTACATCCTCAAGTACCGGTGTCCACCAACTTTGACCACGAACAGGGTCAACATGGATGGGGCAACAATGAGTCGCAGAATTATATCGACAGCCCGCAAAACTCATTCCATTCAACCCAGGGCGATGCGGTGATCGTGCGCGCTCTGATCAACCACGGGCATCCCGACCCTGCCCAGAAGTTTACCAGCGCCAGACTGTCGAGTCTCCAGACCCTCGGCCGACCACGGGGATGTCTGTCGGCGAGAATCACGGCGCCGGTGGCCCGAGGTATCTGGCCTGCCTTTTGGCTGCTGCCTAAAGACCCCTTCAAGTGGCCCGAGGATGGCGAAGTTGACATAATGGAAGCGTGGAACGGTGATGCTATCAACCACACTTGTCTGCATTGGGGCCACTTCAACGGCCAGGACTGGAACAAGCATCGCGTTCTCGAAACCCCCATCCCCAACATTAGCTCTCCGGCGGGGGTGAAGTACGATTTTATCTGGGACGAGGATGAAACAACGGGCCGGGGGCGCTTGGTCTGGTTGATTGATGGCACGCCCATTATGAGGGCCGAGAAGCCCCCTGGCACGAGGAAGATGAGTGAGTTCAGAATCCTCATCAACATCGCTGTTGGAGGAAATGTCTGTCAAGGAAATATGCCCAGCGATGGATGCTACGAGACAGTGGTTCGTGAGTTGGCCATGTGGGACGCGCCGCCTGGGGGTTGGAAAGAGTTTGACAGGGCTTGGGGGGACTCCAAAGATGGCAATACCATGTAACGAAAGGAAGGAAATTTACATTGCAAAGTAAATCAACTATACTCACATCCCTTAATTTCTACAAGAGGTATCTCTGACTGGGCAAGTGAGATGAGTTGATGAGTTCTCGCATAGTGATACACCAAAATTAATCATTTAAACCAAAATTCAAAGCGATGCATCTTGGCTTATAGTTAGTTATTCTCGCAGTTCTTGCCTTGCACAAGAATTAATCACTCATAGACAAGCTGCATCCACATCCCTGTTGGTCCCTTGGTTGCTCCAAGTCCCATATTCACTGATCAACATCAAATTCGGAATGGCATTGACTATTTAGACTAGAAGAATACCGCTGTCCTCGATATATTTCAATATTAGGAATTGGAGATAGTCTTAGATGTCTCCGCTACCACGTCTGATTAGTCGGTCTTTTTTTGAAGATGTTGAAACGGTCTCACCTCCTTGCCCAAACTCAGTTGATGAATATCTCGATGATATCGGATCCGACGTGGGATATTGCAGCTGAAGGAATATTTCGTGGTATTAAAGCGTTCTTACGACTGGCTGGTTAAATAGAAAACTAGGACTTGAAATTTCCCACGGGACTAGATATTTTTAGTCCTATAGACCATGCCTATTAGTCCCATGGGACTAAATAAATTTATCACGCTAGCACAACTCACTCAAAGTGGATGAATAAAATGCTGAGCTATCGTAGTAAATTGTTGTTATTTACACCTGTCTCGCACTTACAGCAATTAATATTAGTATCTTGGTCTAATCGTCCCAGCCCTCGTCTTTGATCTCGTCTTTGATATGACCCGGGCTGCCCCTACCTATCGTCTTCATTCTGTGAGTTCATGAAGCAGCTTTATTGGGGTTGCCTATCTCCATTCGGTTGATCCACCGAACCTCTAGCGTCGCCACATATTTGAATCAACTCCTCCTGTGCTCTTAACGGAGCATTTAGATGATGCGAGTGATTAGCCTTTCCATTCGTATCCAGCCTTCTGAGCAATGTATCTGTCATCGCCTCGTGAACAGGCGTGTTACCCTTATGACTGATTACGTTAATATCTGCTCCTTTGCTGATCAAATGGCGAGCAGCATTAATCTGATCTAGATGCTTGTTTAGATAGTGCATTGCTGTACAGCCATTGGCATCAGTGTCGTTAATACCAATCACCTCTAGTAAACGGTCCATCACGACAAGACTAATAGATTCCATCCAGTGGCTATCGCACAATCTATGTAGGCATAAACGAGCATTAGCCCCATTCGGCAGTAATGTCTTCAGTAAGTGCATAAGCTGCCCATCACCGGGCATACCGCGTCATCGATCGTGATAGACCCTTGCATCATGCAAGACTATCATGCTAACCGAGTCATAGTAATTTATATTGAAGCAAGCGGTTTGGCATCAAGAGGTATTTCCACAATGGAAAAATATTCGCGATTTCCGTATCGGTTTTCACCGAATAATTGAATGCCGTAGCTCCTTGGTTGTCTCGAGAGTTGATCGTGCGGGGCTTGGCCTCGAGAAGGAGTTTCACGGTCTTCATCATCCGAGACGACAGGCTTAATAAAACGTAGCATTACTAGCAATAACCACGACCACAAAGCTCCCTCTGAATCCATACGTAGTTTACACGAATTTGACTGGATAGATATACTACGTTCTGAGTGTAAAAAACAGCAAATTAGATACGACAGCAATTGGAAAGGTCGATGATTTCACCAGTGTATAGTTCTGTATCCGAATGTTCGTCTAAGCCTATCCTTGTATCTCCAAGAGACTTGCATGGTCGTTCTAGGAAGAATAGTCGCTCCCAGGAATAAGCCATGTAATTTTGTCTTTCGATTCGATAATTAATTCGATTAAGTCTAGCATTCTAACCTCCGCCAAAGCACCTTACGTCGAACCCGAGCCCAGAATCTCTCCAGACAGGTGCTTTCGCGCCTAAACTCTCCGCATATAGCACAGGTCAGTCAAGAAGAGCACCTCACGGAATCGAACGCGCTGCAGTAAGCGTAAAAAGAATGTATTAAAATACGCGAAAAGAGAGTATCAGAAACATATGTTGATGGGTAGTGTTCTAACTACTGAAAGTGGAAGTAGGAAGACTAGCTACAGCGAAGCGGCTGAGAGAGATAACCCAGGACGGATCTATCACTTCAACAGAAAGAGAAAAAGAAGTGAAAAAAATTCATATACCACGGAAGCATCCAGTCCTACCAGGCCAATGTAACAGCCAAATCTTGACAGGAAAACCCCTTGCACATCAAGGTAAATCCTCGACAGATGAGGCTCATTGGTAGTAAGCCCCTTGACCAAGGAGAAATGGTGTCTGATCTGTCCACAATTTGAGAATTCCGGCTTTCACCCCCGCACTCCCCTGTCCCATGATTTTATAATGCTGTCCAGCTTTGAAAGGGGTCCCCATGTTTTGCAATGATCCCACATTTATTGCCATGCTTCGCAACGGAATGGAACCATTCATGCGTCCAATCTCCCATGTATGTTTAACTATAATCTACTGATATAGCAATTACTGATATCCCAACCCTAAGCCACAAAGTGTGACCCTTGTGGATCTTTCCCACTGGATGGAAAGGATCTTAACTCCGTCACAGATGAGGCTCTAGCAACACTTCTCACATCTGCTCCTATTATCCATCAGCTAGGTAGGACAACAGTTGTGCGGCTCTCAAAGAACTTGGTCATGAAGGGCGGTGGGGGTGTCCTGGCGAGTGAAGCGGAAATGCTCGGTCTTATTGCTTCTAGAACCAGCATTCGAGCCCCACGAGTCCATCGGTCATTTGTGGTCGAAGATGACACGCAATACTTCGGCATATCAGGCTACATTGTGATGGATTTTATCCAAGGTCAACCTCTGGATGAATGCTGGGACAGCCTATCCCGCGACATCCAAGGGGAGATCGCTGCGCAGGTTGCAGAAATAATCAAAGAGATACAGTCTATTGAGCTTTCACAGCCTGGTCCTATTGGCGGAGAACCGTGTTGGGGTCTGTTCTTTACAGATTATAGTGCCGGGCCTTTTATGGGCACTGCTGAAATGGAAGCCTGGTTTAACCACAAGCTTGATATCTGCAAGAGATTCAATAGGGCTCCAAAAGACACTCCACCATTCCATTTCACCAAGTTTGTCCTTACGCATCAAGACATCAGTCCTCGAAACCTGATCTTAGATCAGCATAAAAAAGTGTGGATGATAGACTGGGCATATTCTGGTGCATATCCCCCCCCCCGTCTTTGAAAACGCGGCATTGTCAATCCAGCCGTTTTTCACTGATTTCAATGAATTGGTGTTATCCCTTATTCCACGTTATCCCGATGAGAAAACGCAACTCGACTCTATTGGATACGGATTAACCACCGCCGCATTGGCATAAGGGAGGCTGGAATGGAAGATCCTTAGACCCATCATGGCTTACCCTATTATCCCACCATGTCAGAGAAGGTTGAAGGAAACTCAGTTAAACAAGAATGACATTTCAGATTGTTTAATGCTAGAATCGCTCTTACTCGTCCACTTCTACTTGCTCCTGCTCTTCGGAAAGCGACTGAAGATAAGAATACTTTATCTGGATCGTACACTGTGCTATTATTTGATGGTACGTGCATATTTCCTTATTCAGGGCAAGGATCTCTTGACTGCTCGGCGGGATCGTAGGCTTGAAATTATGATCTATTTGCTTGACTGCTTATTTCACTGAGGGCAGTCCCGGTAAATAGAAGATTCAAGTTACTTGTTCCATGTGACTAAGACCATTTCTCTAGGCGGCGGCTACGAAAGTATTTAGCACATGTTCAAGTAGAGCTTCCGAGTTAAAAGGTAACTCAAAGTTTGGGAGGCGGATTATCAGGTCTAGAGGAGGACTAGAAGGACCATCGTAAGAGCATGGTACAAAGCACTTTTGAGATGACACAACCCTTCTGCCGAAAGAAAAAACACAGGAAATGAGCCTCTCGCACTTCGATATTTCAGTTATCCTTGGCTACATGAGAAGGGAAGTTATATCGGGGAACAACAATCGTCTAATGATCCGTTCCCAAATATAGTGCGTTGGCGCGCGTTAAATGTAACCATAAAAGCCACCATTGGACTGTCAACTAACTATACTGCGGAATCATTGTGAAAGAGGTCAGTCAACCCCGAGCATTTTTTTTTTTTCGAAATTGCTTTTCTTGCCAACATAGGGATCTAAACACGTACGTGGATGTTGATCGTTTGATTCTTTTACTTGGTGCCCGAAGAGCCCGGCTGCCCAGGTGGGAGCTCTGAGGTAAGGAAACACAATTCATTATTGTTTACATATGTCTATATGCCTTAAGACGACATTGAAATCAGCCTTGCCGCTGATTTGGCCAATCCTGGGCTGAAATTTGATGGTATATGCAGGGGCCAAGAGACCGCGGTTTCAAGAAGATCGAGGTCGGATGAATAACGCTATACCTGAGTTCCGCTGAGAGAATCTGCGTGGTGTTCGTGCGCCCAAGGGTGATTCTCACCTGGCGTTCACCCAGCTCTCACCCCGGTTGCACGACGCTAAAGCGTCACCCACCAGTTATACTTCAGTTTGCCAAAAGTAAAGTTATAGTTTTAGTATTTCTTTCAATTGTCTATCCAGTACATACGACCATAGGGTGTGGAGAACAGGGCTTCCCGTCCGCTCAGCCGTACTTAAGCCACACGCCGGCAGGTTAGTAGTTGGGTGGGTGACCACCAGCGAATCCCTGCTGTTGTATGTTTTTCTTTTACTTTTTTTTGATTTTTTTTTTGATGGAGGAAATGCCCTGCCGCCCTATCGCTGATCACACTGAACACCCTGAAACCCCTCTACTCTTCACCCTGCACTCCCTTGAAGAGCTGACGTGGCCCCTGTTCACTCGGTTGAAATTTTTCTTACCCCTCCCTCCTTCCCTTGTGCTAACTCTTTCCATAAGGCTGTTTGAAGGCTGGCCAGAATACAGATGCACACAAAGAGCAAAATAACCAGAAGCGAAAGAAAGAAAATCCTCGGAGCACCTCGACGCAGTTTCTTCATCACATGTCTACGAAGTACATGTGAGGCAGCTGACCAGCAAATTGTTGGAGGGTAAGTCTAGCCACCAGCTGAAATATGTAAGACAGAAAGTAAAAAGAGATCAGTCAGGCGAGGTAGGAATCATTTCCTTGTCTAGCTTCAGTCGGAAGGTGAAATAGACGGATTGGAAGTTAGGGTGTAAGATGAAGTCCGTTGCACGGTTAACCAGATCCTCAAATGTCATGTCTAAGTCATCGGAAATTGAAGAGAGCCACAACTTAAACTGTTCGCCTCCATTCATAGATAGTAACAAACAGGAGATGGGGACAGAACTCCCAGCGACTACGCTTCCCGCCCACCGGCTTAGAAGACTTACGATAGTGTCCGAAGAAAATTCATCCGTCCCCTTCATCATTTCGCAGGGGCCAGATATGAGATGCAGTCTAAGGTTGCCTTCTTTATCGCCTTTTGCCCGATGATACGACCACATGGCTCTTGGCTTGAATTGTACATGAAGTTCTGCGGGTGCCCAAATCAAGGAGGAACGACTACCAAGCATAAACGATGGGAGTAATTTAGAATGAAACATAAGGCTGTCAGAGCTAATATGCGTGTCTTGAATGCGATGATAACTACAAGATCAGGAAATCTATCTTATCCACCTGGGCAGCTGGCAGTAGCCGAAGTGACAGATCCTTGTACGTACTTTGAGAAAAATGGTTCCCCATTTTAGCAGCAGCGCTCAGACCTATATCTTGCATGGTCTGCATACGGAACTCCGTCGGACACAATCTAATACACCCCTCTTTCCATAGCACACGTATCATGTACAGTAACATACACGGCCCCTACTGCAGGAACGTACAAGGAAATACCGATACCACACCTATTCTATGTTCGTATTCAGAGCCACCCCCGATTTCGTCCCCGACCCTCCCGACAAGAAAATTTCTCCACAGTGCTTGATATGGTGCTCTGAATCAGACCTAGGCTCCACTATTTTGCCATTGAATCGTGACCGGAACTGCTTTCGCCAGTAAAAGATGCAATGGGTGGTGTGCCACTGGACGCTCATATGGACCAAGGCCTCGGGGTGATCTGCCAAGGCTGCCACCTCGTCGGAGTCAATCTGGATAGTACGTTCCCGATCGGCGTAGTAAATTCAAGTGCCATCAGGGCCGTCGCCCATTGTGTTAAATTCTTCCGCTAATTCATCGTCGCGGCAATGCTCTGGAAGCCAAGCCATTGCGAGCCCGTCGAATCGGCAACCGCGGAAAATTGCCTCTGCGACGGACTCTCCACAAACGCATCCCCTTGGCTCAACGCTGGAAGATATTTAGCCTTTAAAAGGTAGTTCAGTGGCACGGAATGGATTTGCAATGATTGTGAAGGCGCCCCAGATGGTTAGTGAGTAGAGAAGGCAAGACTTGATAATAGGGATAGAGATGGCTAATAGCGTGCCCCTCGGCTGCGTGACTTCTGATCGCTGTTCAAGGCCAGGGACCTGACCATCGCCTCCCTCAAAGAAGTGCATGGAGGACATAGAAGGCAAAGTCAGGGGCTATCAAATATGCGCTAGAAAATGTGTGGCAGGATCTGATTGTTTCTTCCAAATGCACCGTGATCATTCGGAAAGACGTGAAAGGCCAGTCCAATGACGGTAGTAAAGAAGATATACACAATCATCCAGCGTTACAAGCCAGAGATTACTTGGTAACTGTAAATTTCACCCCTTAAAATTACACGATCAATGTGGAAGTACATATCTATAGGCCTGCGGGGTACGTACTTCTCTTATCTAAATTCAAGAAACAAGGTAACAATGAAACTTTCATGCCTAATTCAAATCCACAATTAGCTGAAAACGCAATTGCGCCCAATTCAATATTCTACCCAGTTTTTGAGGGATCTATGCGGCAATATTGTGATCTTACGACTCATTTTTATCTCTTTGGTCTTATGGCTTTAATAAGATACTCCGCGTTGGACTCTGAGAATGAGCCAGAGACTGAAATCCCGAAATTTTGTTGGAAACCCCGTTCCAACATGCTCACCTGTTTGGTATCTCTCTTCATTGGGATGGCCGTTGGGGTTGGCCTTGCTGTCACTTCGACGTTATGGCCTCGCGATGGTATTCTCCAGGGTGTTTCAACCAGGATGTCTTGATCGAAATGCTCCAGGAGGTCAATTTCAAGTGGTACGCTGACCGGAAGCACACCGAGGAAGTTTCCTAGGATATCGTCCTCGCCGGCGAGTTTGAAGCTGTCTATCCGGACAATGATTACCACATAATGCATCGCTGTATGAAACCGGCAACACTACATGGGTTATTGGCGATATATATTCTTTGTCCCAGTCATAGTTTGTTGCCACCGCTACCGTACAATTGCCCATCGCAGACATATCTTCACCCGCCCATTTTGACGCTCAGCTCGCCCATTCCACCAATATGAAGGTCTTCACCACACTGATGTTGCTTTCAGTTGGTGCGTCTCAGACAATGGCATTGGTGATACCACGCGCCATGGCTGCTGGCCCTGTCGCCGAGGAGGCCGTTCCTGAGTACAGCAAGAGATCCATGGTTGTTGGCCCTGTCGCCGAAGAGGCTGTCCCTGAGTACAGCAAGTGATATGGTGAGTGCCAAGCTAAATCACTGTTTCTTCATGCTTTCTAACCACCTTCCTAACACGCAGAACGTCACATTCGGGGAATTTGCTGCGCACGTGGTCATGTACCTGTTGTGGGACCTGGAGACGACCTCGGGTACTATTAGACGCTTTCTATCCTTTCCTGCATTTATCCTCAATCCGAGTAATTATGACCTCAGCCAAATCGCAGTTAACATGACGGGGCACAGACTCTATCTATCACTATTCGTCGACTATATCTGTAGCAAAGTAGGAAGCAATATATACTATCACGAAATGAAAACTATAATTTCGGCTCGCTTCCATCTCGTCTTAATCGCTCTCTCACAGGTTGATGTCTGGTTGACATATATTTCTGTTGATGTTGAGTTCTTGCGCGAAGCCCAGTCTCCGGAGTATGACAAATCAGCGTATTTATTGCTCATGGTTGTCATCATGGCCAGGAACCTTGAGAGCATCAAAGCTGTCTGGTAGCAATCTCTCAGTCAGGTTCCAAATCGATCGCTCATTGGCAAACGCTGTCAGAGCATCCAAATCCACACAAGAATGTGTCTGACCCCAGCCTGTGCTTCTAGCCCACGCCCCAGTCTCACCCTCCAAAGTTGTATCTGCCGAACATAGAATACTCTGTCGCAGATATTCCACGCAGTGAGCGCGGTGCTCAAGCTTTTCCATCTCAAGCATCGCCCATTCTTCCCGCGAAGTTCCCATAGCGGTCATGACGATGGACTTTAATCGTACATCAGTGGAGTGTAGTAGTTATTGCCATGCGTAGACTTACTAGACAGTGTAGCTGGTGATAGACCGCCATGATATGTCCTTCGTAGTGATCGCCTTCTTCGAAGACATTGTCCATCTTAAATGGGGGATGAAGGATATCAAATTCCTCATTTTCCGAAACGGTAATGTAGCCGCGACCCGCTATGGGAAAGGAAAGAAAGAATATCAGTCACGGAGTCAAGTTTACAGTTCCTAGCCCAAGAAAACTCACGCGGGAATAGGCCATACCAGTTTTTATGAATCTCTCGCATAATCTCTCGCATCTAGCTAGCATTCAGTAATATCTAAGGATCTTGATAATCGACGTCCAGTCTAAATCCCGCTGTATTACTGAAGATAACGGGTTTCCGTGGTACTATCGTGAAGATGTTGGGGATCAACAACTAAGTAGATATATAATGTCTCATCCAAGAGATACTTACGTGTCGGCCCATAGCTGCTTTCTTTGGCTGCATTTGATTCCTTTGAATTCTGCCTAATAGACACTAGGGTGATAAAGAGACAAAACACGAGGAATCCTTCGAATATTATGCGAATATCGATGTATTTCCGCAAGGAGATCTCTCGAGTTTTAGAGGTGCCTTTATTCAACAAGCCAGTGGACGAATTAGTGAAGTCAATGTGCTTATCATCATTCCCATCCCAGTCTTCTGAGCAGCCCGACATCGCTACCATGGCTGGAAAGTAAGTATATTATGCGCGGCGCTGGCTAAAGGTTGCAGGAAAGTAAATTCTTTTCGGAATGTCGAGATCGAAGTAAAAGGTCACATGGACTTTGCCAATTTATCACGGGGCTTGCTGATAACCGTATATTAGAAGATAATCAAACTTGAAAGCGGGGCTTCATCAATACCGCTGCGTAATGCAGATGTAATTACCGTTCGTACATAATTTCAATACGTTCCCAGAAAATCACTCTTTCCTTCGCTTATGCATGATTTCGTACTATATTAGGTGGATGCGTTGTCTAGCCTCAACTTGATTTTGGGTTGATTTTATCTTGCACAAAAGATCTATGCCGTTTTAACCGGAGAAACATCTTCCCAATAGTCGACGGACATAGTCACCGGGTAGCACGAAGCGACCGCAGCAGAAGTCTCAAGATGCAAAGTCGACTTTTATCAACTCGGCAACCTCAACTAGATGAACCGGACGATGAGAGCAGATGGTCTCCTGTTCAGCTTGCAGCTGCGCAAGGGGATCTATGCGAAGTACGGCGGCTCTTATCTCAATCAGTGGACCTTAATGAGCCCCCTAAAGGCTACTATGGACAGACAGCCCTTCAGGCCGCCGCTTATAATGGTCATCTCGCCATAGTTAAGATACTGTTAGCGGCAGGGGCAGACGTTAACGCTCCTGGGGGAAATAATGGCGGCAGAACAGCGGTGGTACTGGCTTCTGGAGCGGGCTATCTGAATATCGTTAGCCACTTAGTCTCTACGGGTGCAGATATCAACCACCCACCCCATCAATACATGGGCCGAACTGCCTTACAGGCCGCCGCCGAGGGAGGCCATATCGAGCTGCTACGATGGCTGCTCGAACAAGGCGCAGATGTTAATGCGCCTCCCGCGAAGAATCGGGGCCGCACCGCACTTCAAGCTGCTGCATTAGGAGGTCACGCCGATATCGTGGAAATTCTCCTACACCGTAAAGCCGACGTGAATACCCCCGCCGTAAGGTATCACGGCTTTACGGCGCTTCAAGGCGCGGCTTTTGGAGGCCACCGCCGGATTGTCCGTCAACTGTTAGATATAGGGGCCAATGTGAATGCTCAAGGCTCATATTATAACGGGTATACGGCGCTTTCGGCGGCGGCAGAATGCGGCCATTATGAGATTATCCGGATGTTGCTCGATGCTGGTGCAGATCTCTCTGCAACATCAGGAAACAAAAAATGGACGGCGGCACAGATTGCGATTTTCCGAGGGCAAAAAGCCATCACGGAAATTTTTCGACAGACTAAGCGGACGGAGAAGATAGTATAAGGCGAGTTACTCTCGATGATCATGTCATAAATCAGGAAATGCCGCCAAGATATTGAAAGTACACATTTTGGTCATATACCGAGAGGCCAATAATGACCGTATCCAATTTCTCAGTTATAGAACAGCCAACCACAGCATTGGATATTCAATTAGTGGAAAATTGATCTGGCATTTCAATGAAGTGTTTTGCTGCGACGCAGACGACAAAGTGGCAGATTGCAGATGGAGTGATGACTAAGGCTTTTGTGACATAAAAGACTTTCTACGCATGGGATAAGCAAAGCAAGACAGACACACTTTCCCTTCCTAACCACCCCTATGTGTTCTCATCTCATATGGTCCCACTCGCCCTGGTGGCTGACCTGTTCGCAGACAAACAGACAGAGGCGAGTTTCCCTACGGGTTCCCCTTTTACCTCTAGCCCCACATCCTCTTATTATAGGATGTTCTGCCGGTAAAATATATGCGACCAAGGTTCGACGGATAGCTGCTACAACACAGTTATCATGCCAATGTCTACCTTGTTGAGTGAAAGATGGCTTTTGAAGTTCGAAATTAGATATTGAACAGGTGGTTCAGCTATTCTGGGCGCCTTATACCAGGCCTTGGTGAGGTTTGTGCTAGGCGGTAGAGCCTTGGCGCTGGCGGTGTGATAGGTGGGTTTTAGGGGGTTTAAGGACTCTGGTGGGAGATCGATATGACCAAATTATCCACTGTGAATGCATTTGCCACTCGCTGGCTGGAGACAGGCCGTCCATTAGATATCCTCTGCAATAATGCTGGCATCGGCGGGAATCCCGGTGATGGAAAGGGAGAAATATTGAAGACAGAGGATGCGTTCGAAATTGTTCACCAAGTCAACTTCCTTTCTCATTGCCTACTGACACTACGTCTTTTACAATCACTGGCTAAAGCGGTGGAGCTGAGAGTGGTGTAGTCACTGTGGGTCGTTAGGTTAGTGGTTTGAGGAGCGTAAATGCTAACAAATTATCGGAAGTTTCTGCCAATATTGAGAACTCCTCAGAATGATAACCGGCACATGCCATACATGATGAGAAAGGGAATTGAAGTCACCAGGAGTATGCTTTATGCGCATTTTGCTCAAGTGATGATACCCGCTTTAGAGGAGAGAAGAAAGAAGGAAAAGAAGCTCACCTCAGGGGATTTTGCTTCAAATTTCACCAATATACCTTTTTCTGCACGGGCTGAATGCTCAGGTGAACTAAATTCAGGTGGGTGAAGAGGTCACATTATGCATGTACGTTGTGTTTGTTGATTAATGAAACTTTATCGCTTCATGACAGAGTTTCTCATCCAGGTGCTAGCACCTCGGCTCAATCGAGGAGTGTGTTCAAGATCCTCAAATATCTCAAACCCGGCTCAAAACACTGAAGCCTTCCAGGGATGGCATCAGGCTACCAGACGACTTCTTGCATATGCAACATCACCGCATGCTCCCGATAAAATGGTTTAAGTACAAGATCAGGGAACCCCTCCTTTATCCAGCAACTTTGCCAATCTGGATGATACATAGCTTTTATATATTCCCAGTACTCAGGATAAAACCCGGCCATCTCCCAGTCAATTATGCCGGTGATCTTATCACCTTTGACAATGATGTTTCGTGGGGAAAGGTCGGCATGCGTAAGGACAATTTTGTGGGATGGAATTGCTCGAATGAGCTTAGCAACGTGATCAACCCAGGAATTGGTTTGACTCATGTTCATTGCCAGAATCAAACCCTCGTTGAACTCATGCTCTGTTTTGTACGGGCCAAATACACCCTGTTCGGCACAGAAGACTGGATCTTCACAAGGAGATCCATCAACAGACCCGATGAATTCGCCTTCAAATGATCGCAGCTCTGTCATAAACCTCTGCAACTCCAAGGCAATCTTTTCGCGTCGCTCATCATCCATCTCCTCAATAACATCTTGAAAAACATCGCCATCAATATACTCCAAAACGATAACTCCACGATCGGTGCTTTCGTCGACATAGGCATTGTATACTTCAGGAACTGGCAGTGAAGTTTTGGAGTGAATAAACCTCAAAGCTTCTGCCTCCGCAAGACGGGTTGGATCGCATAATTTGACCACCGTCTTGTCGTCCACTCGAAAAACATTGATCATGCTATCTGGCACGAAACGGTTTGAGTTGGTCAACTCCGATGGCGAGATCCTGCGACTCATAGTGAAAGCATAAAAATGAGATCTTGAGGCTGGGTGGGAAATGGGCCAGAAATAGTGCGTAGCGTAACCTTGGGAGGGATTGGGCAGGGTTGGAATAAGCCTGCCCCGCTCGGACCTTGGATAGTCCGCGTTGCCAGCAACCAATAAAGACGCATTTAAAGGTAGGATGTTAAGTCAACATCGGGAGCGACAGTACTACATACTTCCGCAATTCAGTGTTCCCATTGTCCTTCTTCGTCAAGGAATCGCCTTTAGTGTGATTCTCGTATGCGACCCAGTTTCGGCCCCCTGGGTGCAGAGGTGAACGGGCCCCAGATCCAGGCTGAATAGGGCGGCGAGCCGCCCACGACCAAATCATCGGCGTTAGAAGAGAAACCAACGTCGGCGGCGCTAGTTTCAAACAACGGTTGTTTCAGGTCGGCTTTGGATACAACAAAGATCGCTCAAAGAACAATAAAAATACATATGTTTGTATGCTTCACTTAGCCGCTTGGAGTCGGGTGGTTAGCGTCTACTGCCGTCTGGGTGAAGCAGTTGAGAAATCAGCCTCTTTTACCGCCTATGACGTGGATTAGACACACATATGACTAAATGCCTTCCTGTACACCACTTATGGCATCACAAACATGTTTCGTGTTGTCTTGATGTTAGAATCGATCGTCGTTGAGGATGCGTAGAGTAGCTTCCCGCTCTGAGGTTGTTATTAAATCAGTTTGCAAAAAGGTCATTTATCTCACGGCGTAGCATCTTCTCCGCCTAATCGTCTCATGACTATTCAATTCCGCAATAGAATAATTCACCTCATGCTTATATTGCCGGCTCATTCTCTACATAACAGACGATAAATCCTTAAACAATGTGTTCCGGCTCAGTTTGTTCACGTAGAAGCGTGGGCAGTATGGTGGGGTTCGAACATCCCTTCCAATATCTGGTTTCTGATGCCTTGGTGATAAATCTGGCAGTCTCTATGGACTAAATGCACAGGGCTACCAGCTCCATCTGCCAAGAGATTGAACAGGAGCTGTCGGTGTTCCTTACGTATTTCTTTCTCGAATTCTTCTGCCCAGACCTCGTCGAGGTAAAGTGAACGATAGCCAATATGGACTGCAAGATGGCTCCGTAAACTGTCCATGTTTCCGGGTATATCCATCCATTTCTCTACAATACAATTGAAATATTCATAACGCGATGGAATAAGCTTGTGGAGATCAGCGATGGGGTGTGGGAGACAATAGTTCCAGTCTGTAGCCGGAAGAAGGACCACACCAGGTAGGACGATATTTTCGGCCTCGAAAAGCCTAGGGGTATCTAAAGTAATTGAAGACGTTTCCATGATTTTCTCTACCAAGGCTGATGAGACTAGATGGGGAACCTGGCCGCTGAGCTCAAGTATGTGTGTGAAACGCCTGTTGGGTGTCGTCCGAACATAGCCTCGGTCGACTAGCCGTTTGGAAGCCTCCACTGGGTCGGATACGAGAAGAAAAAGATCAAACACTCCAGAAGGCACGCCGTAAAAGCAAAGCACATCCTCTCACCAAATCTTGCATGAAATGCCGACGCGAAGCAGGCAAGAATGATGCCGTATTTGTGCTTGTCTTCAAGATACAGAGAATTATGAATAGGAGGAGTAAATGAATGAAAGAATGTTGCGCGCAAGGTTCATCCTATCACCGGTCTAGAGCTTGCGCTTGACACTATGACCACATTAGTTATAAGAAGTAGATGTGGCTTAGCGGGAAACATACCATCTGCCAATAAGCCCCCTTTCTGCGCAACAATTCATGATGCGTTCCAGACTCAAGAATCCTCGATCCCCTCCCAGACGCCCCTTCTCCAAAGACAAAAATTGCATCGGCTTTCTGAATGGTTGCTAGTCTATGCGCAACCGCAATGATAGTCATGTTGCGCTTGCTTGCTAATCTCTCCATAGCACTTTGTACTAGACTTTCCGACTGAGAGTCCAAACTGGATGTAGCCTCATCAAGAAGGAGAAGGAGCGGTTTTCGGATCAGGGCTCGTGCAATGCAAAGACGCTGCTTCTGCCCACCACTCAGCGAGGCCTGAGCGTTGACGCCAAGTTCCGTCAAGAAGCCATCTGGCAGGGATACTATGAAGTCATATATTTCGGCGTCCTTGCATGCTTGAATCATTTGGTCCTCGGTATTTGGGTTATTGGGGGCTTCTAGACCGAGAAGGAGATTCTCGCGGATGGTGCCTTCGAAGAGTTTCGGCTCCTGGGCGACAAGCGACAAAGCACTTCTGTAAGAGGGCAGTTCAATGGAACGAATGTCTCGGCCATCAAATAGGATGCTTCCCTGAGTGCAGTCATAGAAGCGCTCGAGTAGCGAGACAAGCGTGGATTTTCCGCAGCCAGAAGGTCCGACAAATGCTACGAATTGACCACTCTCAATGGTAAGATTCAGATTAACAAATGTCGGTACCTCCCGAGAAGAATATTGAAAAGAAACATTCTGTAGTTCAACAGAAGAAGTCGGGGTGTACTCCGAAGAAGAGAGCGGCCCCACGGGAACATCCTGAAGCTGTCTCGCGGTCGGTAGCCGTGCAGCCAATATGCGATTTGCAGACGCCTTAGCTTGGGCAATATTTGGACCAAAACTGAAGAACTGCCCAGCCGACTGGCCGCCTTGAATAATGGCAATATAGACCACGAAAAATGCAACTGGGTCATATTCGTGGGACGCGAGGAGCTGGCCGCCATACCAGAAGGCGAGCGCCATGGCACATAGCTCGACACTATCGGAAAACGCAAATATCAACGTTGCGTACCACGCCTTCCGGATGGCCTTTTGACGCTGATCTTTCAGCAACTTTGAATATCTTTCCAAAATTGTATCTTCCATGGTCAGAGCAGTGACCGTTCTGAAAGCCCGGACCGCCTCCGTTGCGAACTTGGAGCTATCGGCATAAACTTCGGCATTTAGGCTCTCGAATTTGATCTCATATCGAATGCGCATGAAGGCAGAGAGAAATAAGAATGGCATGGCGGCAAAGAAGGTGACAGCCGCCAGCTTCCATCCAAACGCGAAGGAGATCGCAACACAACCAATGATGTTGAAGATCGAGATGAGAGGAAAAACACCGGTGGGACCAAAAATCTCCTGTAACTGTTTTGAATCAGTGGAGAGCCTGGACATCAGAGTACCTGAGGAATTCTCCTCGCGGTCATGGTATGACACCGGTTTGGACAATAGGTTGTAGAAATAATCCATCCGAGCGTTGGACACGACAAACTGAACAATTAGCCTTGCTTGAAGACCGTGGATGTATGTAGACTCACCATTGAGATCGAATTCGACGAAAATCCTAGCATAAAATAGAAGGTCGCCATGGCAAGGGCGAGGATGAAAAACATCAATGCCCAGAAGTTCGCAGCGTGCACAAGCTTCTCGCCAGTGAACTGGAAAACCTGCACAAGTCTGGCAAAAAGCCAACTTTGCAGAGAAAATCCGGCTATTGGACCCTGTTAGCGTATATCTGGAAATGTGCAGGAGAGTATGGTTAATACTTACAACCCGCCCCTACAGCCCCGATCAGCGTCAGTGCGTATAAGACCCAATGGCTACGATTTTCATAAACGAGCACTCCCAAGATGTGGAAAAAGCCAAAGCCTCTTCCAGGCTCGGGACTATCCTGGCAAATTTGCTCGCCGGCTTCTTTTGTAGTGTAATCTTGAGGGCTGACTTCTTCTTTCTGCGAAGAAATCGAACCCGGTACGTCGGGTTCCATCAAATCTGTCAGCGGCTCCAGCTGTTGAGCATGGACCAAGTTATGATATATCCCTTCCTTGAGGATCAACTCTTGGTGAGAGCCTTCTTCAACGTTTTGGCCGTCTTTCATCACGATGATCTTGTCCGCGCGGCGGACGGTGGACAAGCGATGAGCGATCATGATTGTAGTGCGATCTTTGGACACACGATCGAGGGCTGCTTGCACAATCTTTTCTCCTTTTATATCGATCGAGCTGGTCGCTTCATCAAGAATGAGGATTTGGGGTTGGCTGACGATGCTTCGCGCGATGGCAATTCTTTGGCGCTGCCCGCCACTCAATGCGATTCCACCTTCCCCAACAGTGGTCGAGTAGCCCTAGAAATGAAATAATCAGAAAAAAATGGAAATAAAGGAATGTAGCAAAAAAGGTGTAACAATACCATGGGAAGGCGGTCGATAAATTCATCTGCAAAGGCTTGCTTGCAAGCTGCGGTGATGAGTTCCATCTTCACAGGCTCTGTGTCATTCTCCCACTGCGATCCGATCAGACCAAAAGCAACGTTTTTGTATATTGTATCATTGAACAGAAACGGCTCTTGCTGAACAAGTCCAATCTGGGATCGCCACCACTTCACATCCAAGTTATTGATGTTGTGACCTTCAACATGGATATGACCCGATGTGGCCTCTTCTTCGTCCTCGGACTGAAGTTGATACCATTGCTCAATCAAAGCGACAATAGTGCTTTTACCCGAACCGGAGGCTCCGACCAGAGCAGTAGTTTTTTCCCGCTCAAATCGTGCATGAAATCCCTTAAGCACAGTCATTTCTGCTCGTGTTGGATAGGCAAATGTCACGTTCTGAAACACGATATCAGCATGGCTGGATACTTCCGGCTCTCGAACTCCAAGTGGATTATCCCGCTTGGAATCAATAACACCAAAAAAGGCACCTGATGCACTTATGGCCTTCGAGATAGCCATCAATGGCCCTGCAATGCCTCCCAAAATAGTGACCACGAGGAGCACGGAAAAGAATACCCTAACTGGTTGTCAGAACGCAGCATCACAAGGATTGAAAAGATGGGATAATCATACGTGATCACGGTGTTAATATTAGCAATGTGACCTTCACGATACAGCTTCAACCCAAACCAGAAGGCCAGGGCGAAGCTGACATACATGGCAAAGAAGAGCATGGCCAGGTGAATTCCATTGACTAAAGACATACGCAGGCCACGTTTTCGTGCTTCCTCGACCCACTGCGTATACTTTTTGAATAGTGGTTGCTCGGCACCCAGGGCGAACACTGTCCGAATAGAGCCGAATACTTCTGCGGCGAGGGCTGCATGCTTCTCATCCGCTTTGTCCACACTCTGCTGCGCCTTGACCAAAAACGGCACTGTCAGGCTAAAACCAAGGATCACGAACACAATGGCCGCACTGACAACAAGTGTCAGTGCCCAAGAATAACGGAATGCGATTGCGTAAGCCGCGATAAGCAAGGCGAGTGACTGGAACAGAATGGCGAGTCGATCGGAAACGCTTTGCTGGATCGTATTCGACAGCGCTGTAATCGCATGTGTGACGGTTCCGACTGACATCTCGTCCAGCTTGCTCACAGGAAGTGAAAAGAGAGCCTGGGTGTACTCCAGGCGCAAGGCCCCTGAGGCGCGAAAACTGATCAATCGAAAACAAATCTGTCTTGTCTGAGTAACAACGGGGCTATGGAGGTGGGAAATCACAATACCATGGATATGTAAGTCAGAACGAATTTGCCGATAAACAAATACACAATATACAAGCTAGAAGGAGACGGTAAGTTCGCTGCCATGAGCAATAAAGTGCGATATTTACCTGTCTCGGTTGAGCGAAGACTTGAACGATTGCTCTGTGATACCCGATCCTGGAATAAAGTACCCATTGAAGCTGCCGACCAGCTGACCAAAGACAATGTTCATCAACGGAAGAGCCTGGAATTTCATTAGTTGATTTTGAGTAAAGCTCGACATTTGCTCTTACGCACAATTCCCGAAGCCATGGCACAAACTAGGCCTAGAATCATAATATATATACCCCCATGAGAGGCACCATATGATAGAATCCTCTGGAGGAGGTGTGAGCGATAGTAGACAAAGCCAGGTCCATCAATAAATCAAAGCCTACCGTGTAGCTACCGAGACTTGCTGGTTTAGCTGTCTCGTCTTTTGACTTTGTTGAACGTGCGACCATATCTGGACTGGTGATGGAGTTATTCTCTGGTGATGTTGGTGTCTCCTGCGTTTCGACAAGACGCGGGGAAGCTGACGGAGAATGCATTTTCACCCTGTCAACACAACGTTTTGATGCAAGAAAATCCTTTGTTGGTCGATTGTTTGTCGAAAAAGGGCTTCTGAACCATCTCGGGGTTCTAGTTTCGTGTGAGGGGTGTTCTAGTTTCGTGTGTAACTGGGAAACTGAATAAACGGTGTGTTAAGAACCCCACGAGTCATCTTCCGGATGCCAAGAATCAAGGGGCCCCTTGCCGCTCAGATACCCGTAAGACACGAACCACTCAAGGCCCTCACAGGCCCTCAAGCAAAGATTAAGCTTCATAATCTCAAAGTCATCGCAGTACTCTGATTCTTGCATTGGCCAAAATGGTATGATGAGGCGAGCGAGTGGTGATGTCAAGGTGTGGGGGTAACTTGAGTTCCACCGGAATGAAACCCACTTTTATACCCATTTTTATCTAGGGAACTGCGGTTCCAAACTTTCATATTGCCGATCTCGGTAGCATATTGTGAAAATTATGGAACGAGCCTCATCGATGATGAATATACATCGTGAGTGCACGGGAGACGGAGAACGCAAACAGAAGCGAATATCGCCGGAAAAGAAGAAGCCGTCGTGAAAGATATTTAATTTTAGATGTAGAGTTTACTGTGCACGTCATGGTTTATGCGAACACAATGCCAACAAGATTGCTCATGCATTGAAAAGAAGCCAGAACTACACAAGACAGCTACTATCGAAGGACACAGGTATGTCAATATGGACCCCAAGAGCATAAGCATATTTTCTAATCGCATGGACAGCAAATTAATGTGAGATTACGGTACCAAAGCATCCCGAATACAGTATGAGGACATCAACAGATTTCCCTGCCACAGGAGCCATCACCCCACCGGGAGACTCATTGGAGGAAACATTGATCTCGTTCAGCAAAGAACGCCTGACTCCGTCTCCCTCGACTGAAGGGGAGAATGAAATAAATGGAATTTGGCAACAAGTGGCAGATCAATGCCATTGCTCCCTGGAAGAGATTGAAGACGTATATGACTGCACGGCCCTCCAGGAAGCAATGATAGCCCTCACTTTCAAAGACCCAAGAGCATACACCATCGAACACGAATACCGCCTTCCACAGGAGATTGACCACCATAAGCTGAAGGAGGTCTGGATTACGACGGCCCAAGCGAACCCGATTTTGAGGACCCGGATGATCCCGACCAGTCAGCGCGGCTGTGTGCAGGCAGTAGTGCGAGGATCAATTCCATGGCAGGTGCAGGATACCGACGACGGCGTAAATGGCGAGATCACCAGCCCTTCCTGGCGAGCAGGAGCTCCGCTGGCGTATTTCTGCTTCAATGTCACCGAACATAAGCTGAAAGTGACAATCCATCATTCCATCTGCGACCACTGGTCTATGGCATTGTTATTGCGCCAAGCCGACGCAGCCTACAGAGGCGAGGAACTGTCATTCCACCCCTTTCGGCCTCTAGTGGATTATGTACAGCGGACCAAACCCAAAGCCAATGATTTCTGGGAATCCAAGTTCCATGATGCCCATGATGCCACGATGGGCGTGTTTCCCCAACTACCCATAGTGGGTCATGCTGCCAGACCAACCGAGCGGCTAGAGAGATCTTTTAGCATCCAATCTGGCAATGGTTCCTCAAGCACTGTCGGCACCAAGATTCGGTTGGCGTGGGCGGTCCTGCAATCGGTCTATACTGGCTCTGACGACATATTATTTGGAACAGTCAATGCGGGTCGTACAGTGTCCATTGAAGGAGTGCAGGACTTGAGCGGACCTGCACTCGCTAGTGTACCAGTGCGCATCAAGCTGTGCGGGCAGAATACCGTTGCAGATGCCTTGATTGCAGTACAGGACGAATGGGCAGCATCTATGGAGTTTGAACACGTTGGATTGCAAAATCTGCTTCGTCTTGGACCTGGTCCAGCCGCAGCGTGTCATTTCCGGACCCTGATCTCGGTCGAGCCTCGAGATGGCCATCAACTTCCCGAAATGTTCTCCCAAAGTCGATCGACCCAATTGGCGTACGATATGTATCCTCTGATCCTACGATGTCGCCCCTCGACCATGACAATGTGGATTGAGGCTTCTTTTGACCCGGCAGCAACCGATGTCTGTCAAATGGAGCGGATTCTCTCCCAATTCAGCCATATTTACGGACAGATCGATACTAAACCGGGCCTCACACTTTCCAGTATCAGTACCGTGAGCCCCGAAGATTTGAGCGATCTCCGCCGCCAGAACATCTTGACAAAGCGCCCTGATGTCGTGCCGTGTGTTCATTCTCTAATTGAAAGTCGCATGCGGCAACAGCCTCTTGCCCCGGCCATCAGTAGCTGGGATGGCAGCTATTCATATTTAGCCCTCGATGAGTTGTCTTCAGCATTGGCTGACAGTCTTTCCGGGCATGGTGTTGGGCCTGGGTCATTCGTACCACTTCTCTTGGGAAAGACCAAATGGATGGCTGTCGCCATGCTTGCTGTCATGAAGGCTGGTGCTGCATTTGTACTGCTAGAACCATCATACCCACAGTCCCGGTTACGGCATATGTGTGAAGCTGTTAGAGCTCCCCTGATGGTGACTTGCGGCTGGCATATTGATCTGGCGGCCCAGGTTGGGGTCCAAACGTTGCTGAACGTGGATACATTTGACTCGGAGCAGCTGCATTTCAATGGCTCATCTCAGAAGTCCTCGGTCAGCCCACAGGATCCCGTCTATCTGACATTTACCTCTGGGTCCACGGGAACCCCCAAAGGTGTAATTGTTCATCACGAGGGCTTTGCTTCAAGTTCTATGGCTCATGGCAAGCTATACCACTTCACACCGCAGTCGCGTGTGCTACAATTTGCGTCTCCAGCATTTGATTCTTGCATTATCGAATTCCTCAGTACGCTGATTCAGGGAGGCTGCGTTTGCATTCCGTCAACGGACGACTGTCACAGTCATCTTGTGGAATCTATGAACCGATTTACAGTGAACGTTGCGTGCTTGACGCCCAGTGTTACCCGGATCATAAGTCCTGACAGTGTTCAGTCGTTGAAGGTTTTGATATTTGTCGGAGAAGCTGTTCTGGCTAGCGACGTTGTCCGCTGGGAGCCCTTTGTACACGTTGGAAATGCGTACGGCCCAGCGGAGTGCTCAGCAGTGTTCAGTGTACAACCAAATCTCAAGAGCAACGATCCAGCGAACATAGGATTTAGCACAGGGGGATCTGGATGGGTTGTTCATCCAGAAGATCATCAGGTGCTCATGCCGCTGGGATGCACTGGAGAACTATTAATAGAAGGACCAGTTGTTGGCAAGGGTTATCTATCGAATTCCGAGCAGACGGCCCGGGTCTTCGTTGAAGCACCCCCTTGGCGCCTGGAATTTGGCTCCCCTCAATCTGGAAAACTGTACAAAAGCGGAGATTTGGTGCAAGCTACCGGTGATGGTAGTTTCAGATACTTCGGACGGAAGGATACTCAGGTCAAGCTACACGGACAGCGTCTAGAACTGGCGGAGATTGAGTACCATCTTCACAGAGCATTTCCGAAAGCCCGCCAGACCCTTGCAGACGTTCTCCGGTCCTCTACCCCAAACAGGATCAATGATCATCGACCAGAGGCTTTACTGGTAGCATTCATATGTCTCCCTACGTCTCCTCCATGTGACGACGGCAATCATCAAGCCAACTTTCTTCCTCCAAGTGACGAGTTCCGTGAAGCTTGTGCTGCGGCAGAGGCCAGCATGGCGGATGTTCTACCATCTTTCATGATTCCACGGTTTTACCTACCCTTATCCCATGTACCTCTGACGCCATCTGGGAAGACAAATCGGCGTTCCATCCAGGAGCAGGCCAATAAGTTGTCCTTGGAGCAGATGAAGGCTTATCGAGCTGTAAAAATGCATCCGGAGGCGCCATCAACTTCTCGCGAGGAAAAGCTTCAACATATCTGGGCCAAGACACTAAATCGAACTGTTGAAGAGATCGGCACTACAGAAAGCTTCTTTCGTCTGGGAGGGGATTCAGTCAGCGCGATGCAAATCGCTGTAGGATGTCGCACCGTTGGACTGAAAGTAGCTGTCGCTGATATCTTCCGGTTTCCAAGCATCAGGCAACTGGCGGAAAGGATCCAAGATTCTGGGTCTGTCTCTTTTGCCTCGGCCGGGGAGGATGAACAAACGGAGGTGTGGTTTGAGCTTTCCCCGATCCAGAAGCTCTTCTTTGAGCGAGTGCCAAATGGTCACAACAAGTTTACTCTCGAGTTCATTCTCCGGCTCGACAAACCACTTCCACCTCCTGAGATTAAACGAGCGATTGAGAAGATTGTCACCACTCATTCAATGCTCCGTGCCCGTTTTGAACAACGAGCCGATGGTCAATGGGGACAGATTATTGGCCCTGATGTGTCTAGAAGCCTTCGGTTTAGAGAGCATCGGGTGCCCTCTATGAATGACCGTAAAGCATTGCAGAAGATTTTGTCAGTCAGCCAGAGCACGCTTGATATCGTCCAGGGAGTGATGATTATTGTTGATGTTATCACTACAGACACCGGGGAGCAGTTCTTGGCGTTGATGGCCCATCATCTTGTAATTGACCTAGTGTCATGGCGCATCCTGCTGCAAGACCTGGAAGATATCCTCAGCACGGGCCGTACGATACAACCTCTCTCCATATCATTCCAACAATGGTCCCGGCTACAACAAAGCTATGCCAGCGTATCTCTTGATCCCAATGAAACCCTGAAGACAGAAATTCCACGTCCCCCAATGGACTACTGGGGCTCGGAGGCTGTCCTGACTGCGAATACTTGGGCGGATGCAACGCGACGAACCATCACAGTATCTCAGGAAACAACAGAGGCAATAATCGGGGCTGCTAATGGCGCATTTCACACTCAGCCAGTGGAAATCATTCAGGCAGCCGTTCTTTACTCCTTTGTTCAGGCCTTTGACAATCGACCTGCACCCACCATATTTAGCGAAGGGCATGGGAGAGAGCCATGGGACTCGGAAATTGATATATCCCGCACAGTTGGATGGTTCACCACTATTGCTCCTTTGTATTTGGATGTTAAAAAAGAGGACACCGTCAGGAGGATCTTGCAGCTCACAAAAGATGGCCGCCGGAGTATATCCACCAACGGATGGGCATACTTTGCGTCGCGATTTCTCCACCCCGAAGGACCGGAAGTATTCCAGAATCATTCCCCAATGGAGATTCTTTTCAACTACACCGGTCTTTTCCAACAATTAGAAAGACCAGGTGCCCTTCTTCAGATGACATCAGTTCAAGATGATTCCCTTCTCCCCATGGCAGCTGATTTGCCGCGCATGGCTCTCATTGATGTGAACGCAACAGTCATGAATGGCTCTCTCAACCTGTCCTTCATCTATGACCAACGATTACAGCACCAGGAACGACTAGAGCAATGGATCAACAATTGCCTACACACTCTTGAGGAACTCCCCATGGATCTGCAGCAGGAACAGCTACTCGCCGCTGTCGATTTTCCGTTGCTATCACTTGCAAGCGAGGAGCACCTTCACAGCCTACTCCATCAGGTCTCAGGTCGATTCGATGTGTCTCCGTCTGGAATTGAGGATATGTTCCCTTGCTCGCCTATTCAACTCGGCATGTGGTTGAGCCAATTAAGAAACCCTCAAGTATACTGGTCGCATATCCGGTGGTCTCTGTACCCGACGTCCGCCAACTCCTCAATTGATATCACTGAGGTGGAGCAAGCATGGCAGCAGGTTGTTAACCGTCAACCCATCTTGCGCACTGTCTTCATTGATAGTGTCAAAGGGCACGGTCATCCTGTCCAAGTCGTTCTAAGAACCACAGAGGCAAACATCAAGGTGTTATCGGGATCCGAGTTGCGTGCGGAGGGCCAAGTTCCGTCTCTTTCGGATGAGTTCCTGTTGAATCCAAAATCGCCAAGCACGAAGGGTCGCCCACCTCATCAGCTTACCGTTGCAATTGAGCCTCATGGTGGAGTTTACTGTCAGCTGGCTATCCACCACATTCTTGTTGATGGTATCACGGAGCAAAGATTACTGTCAGAATTCCATCAAGCATGCAATGGGACACTAGACTCCAAGTCTGCGGGCTGCTATAGCAATTACCTGGCTTATCTGCACACTCGGGACTCCGAGGCTTCGGAATGCTATTGGAAGCAATATTTGACTGATGTTCGCCCTTGTATTTTTCCATCTCTTGGATTGAAAGAGGATGGGATTGCCTCAAGCTCTCTAAAATCGCTACCATTCTCCATGGATCTTGGTCAAGATCTCTACTCATTCTGCCAGAATCACGGCATCACCATTTCCAGTTTGCTACAAGTCGCTTGGGGTATTGTTCTCCGTGTATACACAGCAAGCGAGTCTGTATGCTTCGGATATCTGAATGCATGCCGTGATATTCCAGTGCAAGATGCGCACGATATCTCTGGACCTTTGATCAATCTTTTGATATGTCGCTTATCTTTGACTGAAGAATCATCGGTCTTGTCAACTCTTGCCGAAAATCATACAGCCTATGCCCAAAGCCTTGATCACCAACATTGCTCTTTGGCAGAGGTCCTGCATTCTTTGAATCGCTCCGGTCAACCTTTGTTCAATACCGCAATGTCATTACAAAAGGACGCCGGCAGTCTGTTTTCTGTTCAGTCTGAAATGATTAAATTGCAACCAGAAGATGGGATTGACTCAACTGAGGTACGTGTGCATATTGTCTGAAATATTTTTACCCTTTGCAATATCTTCACCCGACAACATGCCTTTAGAACAGAGGAGCACTCACTTACCAAAACACAGTATGACTTGACTATCAATATCACTGCACGTGAAAAGACTATCGATTGTGATTTGACATACTGGACGCACGCTGTGGCTGAAGCTCAGGCTGAATTGGTGGCCGACACGTTTTCTCACATCGTTCTGCAGCTTATTGATCCCGCAATCGTCAAACTAAGCGACATAAGTCTGTCAATGGGGAAGAATGAAGATCAAATGCTTCGTTTCAATTACAACCTACCGCAATCTTTACGATCTTTTATTCACACTGACATAGAACGAATGGTGACAGCGCAACCATCATCCCCTGCAGTCGATTCCTGGGATGGTCGGTTCACGTATGAGACCCTCGACCTTTTCTCATCGCTATTGGCTAAATATCTGGCCCAAATTGGTGTTGGTCCCGAGGTATTTGTGCCAGTATGCCGTGAAAGATCCAAATGGACAGCTGTCGCCATACTCGCCATTTTGAAAGCAGGTGGAGCATTCATCTTGCTTGACCCGTCGCATCCAGCAGAGAGACTGCAAGAGATGGTGCAAGTGGACTTCCAGTGTCCAGTTATCATCACCTCATCGAGGTACCTTGGACTTGCAGCCAATCTAGCGCCAAACCCCATCGTCGTGGAGGACCTCAGCCAAATATCGAGATCAGGAGCTCGAAAAGAGAGTATATCATCGGTGGCTAATCCAAAGTCCTCCGCATATGCTGTGTTTACATCTGGATCGACCGGCAGGCCAAAGGCAAGCGTCATCGCGCACCAGTCTTTCCTGTCAGCATCAGCCGCGCATACCCAGGTACTTGGTCTTGACAAAAACGCTCGGGTTCTCCAATTCGCCTCCTATGCGTTTGATGCTAGCATTGTGGAAATGCTCGACACGCTTTTGGTCGGTGGCTGTATCTGCATTCCCTCCGATGAAGACCGAAACCAGAGACTGGGTCATGCAATCCGCGAGATGCAAGTGAACTGGACGCTGCTGACCCCCTCTGTGGCACGCATCCTAAATCCGCAGCATGTTTCGACCTTGGAAACACTTGTGCTCGGTGGAGAGGGTATGTCTAGGGACGATGTCCGTCGCTGGTCACCCCATGTACGCTTAATGAATGCCTACGGTCCTTCGGAATGCTCTGTCATTGCTGCAGCCCAGCCATCCCCGCAATACCTTTCACAAGATGAATCAAATATTGGACAGCCTGTTGGTTGTGTCGCATGGGTGGCGCATCCAAACAACCCAGAGAAGCTCGTCCCTGTGGGTGCTGTCGGAGAATTGCTCATCGAGGGTCCTATTGTCGGCCGCGGTTACGTTAATCGTCCGGAGGCCATGGCAGCGGCATTCCTTCCACATCCCATCTGGTTATCCAAGATCCGTGGTTCCCAAAAGGGCCTCTTGTACCGAACAGGTGACCTTGTGAGGCGTCTTGTGGATGGCTCTATACAATACATCGGACGGAAAGACCGTCAAGTCAAGTTGCGTGGACAGCGTATCGAACTTGCAGAAGTTGAGCATCATGTTCAGGAGTGCTTCCCTATCAACGACCCGGAAGTCTTTGCAGATTTGATCACACCAAATGATGCCAAAGATGCACACTTGGTTGCTTCCATTGTTCAACCAGAAGACAGTGGCGGCGTTCAAGCCTTTGAGGCGGCCGTGGAGCAAATGCAATCACATCTTCGGGCAGATATTCCAACTTTCCTTATTCCCTCTGCATTCATTCCTGTCTATCAGGTACCACGATTGGTGAATGGAAAAATTGACCGAAAAGAACTGCGGCATGCAGCATCTCAAGCGCTACAAGCACAAATTTGCCAAGAAGCGACCAGCCACCACCTGCGACAGTTAAGAGAAATGACAAAGGGGGAACTTGCGCTGCAAAACTGCTGGGCCGAAGTTCTGGCTCGCCCTCCAGAGACGATCGGACCTGACGACAACTTTTTCCGCTTGGGCGGAGACTCGATCGCAGCAATGAGGCTGGCTGCCACGGCTAGCGAGCACGGGATTCAACTAGGTGTCTCAGACATCTTCCTGAATCCTAAGCTCAGCGATCTCGCACTGAATTGCTCGCTTCCAGGGCCGAAGGAATGGCCAAACTCCGAACCAAAAGGATCGGATGATTCCGTGCCCCCATTTTCAATGCTCCCAGCAAATCACCGGGAAGAATTGAAATCACAGGCAATGGAACAATGCAACCTCCCGATGGAGCAAATCGCGGACATTTACCCCTGTACCGCATTGCAGGCCGGTATGGTAGCTTTGACAGCGGAACGCCCCGGGTCATATATCGCATACCATAGTTTCCGTCTACGTCCAGATATCGACCTGTCTTTATTGAAGACTGCTTGGGAGACGGTAGCAAAACACAACGGAATTCTGCACACCCGATTCATTCAATCGGAGTTTGGCTTCATGCAGGTCCTGGTACAGAACTGCGAGCTTCACTGGATCTCGAGGGACATGAAGGAAGAGAAAAAGTTACATTGGAACGTTCTTCTTGGCCAGCCACTTGTGCAGTTCGAAGTCATCCCGGTGTTGAGCGAATATTCCAATATAGCTCAGCGACTGGATCTGACTATCACCATTCATCATGCTCTGTATGACTCTTGGTCACTGCCTCTCCTTGTGCAGCGTGCACAAGAGGTTTACCAGGGCCAGATCTTGGAGCCATCCGACATGACTCCATTCAAGGAATTTATCAAATATTCCATGTCCCAACAAAAGGACGCGCTCGAACACTGGCGTCGTGAATTCCATGGACTTACTGCCGAGCCATTCCCCACACTTCCTTCCTCATCATATCGGCCTCGCGCTTCGAAACAAACGGTACGAACAATTGAGACAGGCCCAGTGATGGATGAATGTGTCAGTCGAACCACCGCCATTCGTTTCGCTTGGGCTCTTGTTCAGTCTCATTACCAGAGTAATGACGATGTGGTATATGGCATTGTATCCCCTGGCCGAGCAGCATCCGTCAATGGCATTGAGGGCATGGCTGGTCCAACAATTGCCACGCTTCCTTTGCGCGTGCAAATCGAGGATAATGCGACCGTCTCGCATGCCCTCAGAAATTTGCAAGAGCGGACAGTACAGCTCATTCCATTCGAACAAGTTGGGCTACCTGAAATTGCTGCCATAGGGCCCGAGGCCAAGCAGGCCTGTTCATTCCAAACCCTACTTGTGGAAGGGAGAGGAGAGGTTGAAAACTTAGGCCCCGCCAATGGTCCTATGGAACCCATGGGAACATCATCCGGGGATTCTGCGTCAAACACCTACGCCATCCAACTAGCCGTTATGTTCAAGCCAAATATGGTGACTGTTGCAGTGTCCACTGATGAGACTGTCATTCCAGCATGGCAGGTGGAACACATGCTAGACCAATTTAGCCACATTTTGCAGCAGGTGCACCATCATCCAGCAAAGCTGGTGCACGAAATTGCTACACTGAATGACAAAGGTGTCCAGCAGCTGCAAGCCTGGAATAATGGGATTCCGGCACAATGTCCGGTGTCGGTCACTGATGTGATTTCTCAACATTGTGAGAAGCAACCATTGAGTCTAGCCGTCTCGTCTTCCAACTTCAGTCTATCATATAAAGAACTAGACCTTCTTTCAACCCATATCGCTAGCCTTTTGCGTTTGCAGGGAGCCTCGTCGGAGGTCTTCGTTCCAATATACTTGGATCGGTCATGCTGGACTGTGGTAGCGATGTTGGCCGTGCTCAAGGCAGGGGCAGCTTTCGTCCTTCTGGACACCTCCCATCCACCAGAGCGGCTTCGGAATATCTGCGACGAAGTAAAGCCACCTTTCATCCTTACATCGCTCGAACAGCGTCATAAAGCCGAGGCGCTGTTCAACAATGTTGTGATCATGCCTCAGAGCATCGACTCCGAGTGTGCGTCGATGCCAGGTTATAGAACGTCCCGTTTGCCATCTCGTGCTCTTTACGCGGTGTTCACGTCTGGTTCAACCGGTAAACCCAAGGGGGTTGTGATAGAGGATGGTTCCTTTATGACAATGACTAAAGAAGTTTCGCGTCTGATGGGTATCGGTCTGGGTGACCGCGTCCTGAACTTCTCTTCCTATGCTTTCGACGTCAGTATTTTGGAAATACTCGGTCCATTGCTTGCGGGTGCTTGCATCTGCGTCCTGACGGAGTCTGAGCGTAGAGGCCGACTAACTGAGGCGTTACAAGGGCTACAACCGTCTCACGCCTATTTAACCCCCGGTGTTTTGCGCACAATGATGCCAAACGAGTTGGGATCACTCCGGACAATCATGCTCGGTGGAGAACCGCTTCGGCCAAGCGACATTAAGCAGTGGGTGCCACATGCACGGATCATATCGGGTTACGGTCCAGCAGAGTGCACGGTCACTTTCACTGTACAGTCCCCAATCGACTCGAGTTCGCAAGGCGGGAATATCGGTTTCCCGATTGCTGGCGCCTGCTGGGTGACCGATCCACGAAACCCTGACCGAATCGCTCCTATTGGTGCTGTGGGCGAGCTTCTTCTTCAGGGGCCGCTAGTAGGTCGCGGATATTTGAACAGCCCGGAACAAGCAGCTACAAACTTCATCTTATCTCCAACATGGATGCGACGTGTTGGCTTCACCGCTGGTCGAGAGGAAGGCCGGGTGTATCGAACAGGCGACCTTGTTCGTTATGAGAAGGACGGATCTCTCTCGTTCGTAGGACGAAAGGACCTCCAGGTCAAGCTACGAGGTCAGCGCTTTGAGCTCGCAGAAGTTGAGAAGCGGCTGCAGGAGGTCTGGCCGGAAGATCTGACGGACATCGTTGCTGAGATTGTGACTCCGATGGCTTCGATGAATTCCAAATGCTTAGTTGTCTTTGTCGCTTCAAAAGCGGCTGAGACGGCTTCATCGGTATCCACCTCACCGATCCCTTCCCTAGAAGTCGTTGCCACGACCAACTTTGCCGCCCAGATATCAAGTGTGAGACGTCAACTTGGTGATCTCCTTCCAGATTATATGGTACCGTCTGCATTCGTGCTCCTTCGACGGATACCTCGCAACACTAGTGGCAAGATAGACCGAAAACGGTTGAGAGACTCGGCAGCGAGCGCAACGCGAGTGCAGCTGGAGTCACTGTTTGCTGAAGCCCCTTCAGATAAGCGAGTTCCCGCCATGGGAAAGGAGCGGAAATTGCAGCACATCTGGGCGAAAGTACTCGATATTGCAGCCGACGAGATTGGCGCTGAAGACAGCTTCTTCCAATTGGGAGGTGATTCCATCTCGGCTCTCAAAGCTGCATCGAGGGCTCGGGCAGCTGGGATTGTGCATTCAGTGGAGAGTTTGTTCCATTTGAAAACAATTATGCGCATTGCCAAACATGCTGCAACCGTGAACACCACCGATATCATAGATGGGATACAGACACCAGCTTCTTCTTTGCGGCACCACACACCCTACTCCCTTATTACGGCTCACGAGCGTGCAGATATTTTTGCTTCACACTCCACACCGGGACATCCGTTGGTCAAAGAGAATGTGGAAGATATAATCCCGGCGCTCCCATTCCAAGTCTTCTACATAACCCATGCATCGCCAGTATCGATGGCACAAATGTTCCCAGCGGCCTTGGACATCGATAGACTGAAAAGCGCGTGCAGCCAGGTTGTGGCTCACCACAGCATCTTACGCACAGTATTTGTGGAGGCCAATGATCGGTTCTTCCAGGTGATCCTCCGGGAAGTCGGGCCTCTGCTGAATGTTGTTCATTGTGATGATCCAGAAGCATATGTTGCTCGAGAGTCCAAACAAAAGGGCCCACCCTCTACAGCCCAAGGTACAATACCAGTTAGCTTCACTCTCGTGACTAGCCGCATCAAACAATGCTCTGCATTGATACTTCGCATATCCCATGCGCAGTATGATGGGGCCTCCATACCGTTGCTGTGGGAGACAATCAAAAAGGCCTATCATAACGAGCCTCTCACACCGGCTACGCAATTCAAAGATGTCGCCTATAATCGAATGGGCGATCTGAACAAAGCTGAGATTTCATTCTGGCGACGATACCTTGAAGGTGCTCCGTCCGCTGCTCTCGATCCCTTTGATCAAACTGGAAAGGCACGTATTTCGGACAATGACATAACCGAAAAGAGTCAAACGGCAATGCCCTCTCTCCCACCGGACATGACCGTGTCAACGCTCGTGAAAGCCGCTTTCTCATGGGTTCTGTTTGAGCAAACTGCGCAATCGGATATTATCTTAGGTCAGGTTGTTCACGGACGTGAAAGCTCCCTTTTGGACATGAATACAGCCATTGGGCCCTGCTTGAATCATCTACCTGTCCGAATCAGGATTGAACCTGACTGGACAGTGGAGAATTTCTTGCATCATATTCAGGCACAGCAGCTACAAATCACAGCCCATGACGACGTATCGTTTGATGCGATCGCAGAATCTTGCACAAGGTGGCAACCTGGCTCGAAAATGGCTTGCCTTGTTCACCACCAAAGCGAAGAAGCCACGGAGCCCGTCGAGATGGGTGGTGTTCGCTCGTCGCCTGGTTGCAATTGGGCCAGCTCCAAGTTGGCGCACGGTCAGCTGGGTATCATTTCCGTGGAACATGGATCCCACCTAGAGCTCATGGTCTCAGCTACTGAGGAGACCATGGATCAGCATAGCGTTCAGTTCCTGTTGGAGAAGCTGGTTGCCACCATTCAGTTGTTCTCGAAGTTTACCCATTGCCGGTTGGCAAATGTCGCTAGCAGGATCCACACATGACTACCTTGTCTTGCCTCGTGCTGCATGTCGTGAATTTGTATATGTGTGGAGGAATGGGGGAAGGGGTGATTGTGATGGGGCATGGCACTAACCCCAAATAAGAAGCAATGTGGCTGCTTCCTCAGGCAGAATTGTGTTTTGATATGTCTTTCTAGTTTGAGTTAATTTGGATCTTTTATTTTCTTTTGGATGTCAGTGAGTGTTGGCAGAGCCAGCAAGTATATCACCTTAACCAAGGTTTGGGTAATCTTGTTACACCCTATCGTGCTAGGGATAGAGCATTGCAATTATTGCTCTTCAACGGGGAGTATACCTAGTAGGCACGAGTCATCAGCTCATACCAATTACGTCCCTGTCCTTTGTACACACGGCTCGTCGCTCCTACCGATTGAATTGCTTGGTAAGACCTTGGGGCTGACTTAGGAGGGTTGGCATTTTTAAAGGAAAATCAAGGGCAAGACTGTTTGAAGTTTTAGACTTGAGATCAGATACTGGAACAGTGCAGTGTTTGCTTATTTTTTTTGAAAATATCATCTCGCACAATTTGAGTGCAGTCATGTCGGAAAAATGACCGTTTTGGTCTAATTGACGTAGCCGTTTGTATCGTAGAATTCAGAGGGCAAGGAATAGTTTACCTCTTGAAAATTAGTGGTGGCATTTGAGTCTCTGCAGTAGGTAGTCAACAGCTACCATTGGCCGAGGTTTGCCGTTTGTCATGGTCGCTCTGAGCGGGCCGACTGCGAGGCAATACCACCGGCGGGGTTCGGCAAGCTCCTCTTTTCCTATACCATAGTGGCAATTGGCTCACCTGATTGACTTCACATTTTGTAGAATCGACGCCAGGTTCATCACACACCAAGTCAAAGTAAGCCTTTGCGCAGGAAGGTTCGGCGCGGGAAAATAGGTTGCCCCGGCCTTCCGAGTCGGGGCAATTGACTATCCGTTGCCACACCCGTATCCATCTATGCATCCTCGGTCCCGTAGAATGACGAATCATACACCAGTTATATAATTGCCACTAATCAATATGCCGGTGAGACACTGAAGAACATGTAGAGCCGATGAGATTATCTTTGTCAAGGAATCTATGTATTCAGCCAAGGCGTAGCCAAAACGAGGAAACCGTTGAAAAGGAATCGGATTTTCTCTTGTTGCATACAAGATAGCAAGGGGTTTGACGAGGTGGGTCAAAAAGTATTTCATGAGGCGGTCCGTGACCCGCAGGAATGTCTATAGGAAAGAGACTTCTGGAAAGAAAAAAAACTATAAAAGGGGAGGCACTGCAAGAGCAAACATTCAGTAAGACAGCTACTTCAAATTATCTTGAAGACACCTCTCCGGGTCATATCCGACCATGACAGAAATATCTCTTGTGACGGGCGCAAGCGGGTTTATTGCCAGTCATGTCGTCCAACAACTACTCGAAAAGGGCCACCACGTCCATGCCACCGTTCGAAGTACCAAGAATGAGAAGAAGATCAAGCATCTCATCGACATTCAGGCGCGATGGCCCGGAAAATTGACTTTGTTTGAAGCGGACCTGCTTGTGCCCGGCTCCTTCGACGCTTCGATTAAGGGTTGTTCGATTGTATACCACATTGCCTCGCCTTTTTTCATCGAGAACAAGATTCAAGATGGTCAGAAGCAAGTGGTTGATCCAGCTCTTAAAGGAACACAGAATATTCTTGCCGCGGTTCAAAAATGCGAGACAGTCAAACGTGTCGTCTTAACATCGTCCGTGGCGGCCATCTTTGGCGATTACGCAGACGTTCGGCAAATGACGGATAACACACTCTCCTCCAATTACTTCAACACCACCAGCACGGTCACCCATAATGCTTACTCCTATTCCAAAGTGGTGGCTGAAAAGGAGGCCTGGAAGCTCTATGAAGCCCAGCCCAGCCCCCGACGCTGGGAACTCGTGACCATCAACCCCGGTTTTGTCCTGGGCCCATCACTGTCCCCAACCTCTGAATCCGGCAGCCTGTCTACTATTGACGAGCTCCTTCGTGGCCAGCTATTTTTAGGGGTTCCAGATCTCTGGTTTGCAACTGTCGATGTGCGGGAGGTTGCCACTGCGCATATCCGAGCAGCAAAAGATCCGAACTCGCACGGTCGCTATATCCTAGCCGACAGAAAAATGCATAGTTTCGTGGAATTTGCACGCATATTACGATCTGTCACTCACTCTTCCCGAATTCCAAAACACACGCTTCCGTCTCCCTTCGTGCACCTATGTGGACCGCTGCTTGGCTTGAGTCAAAAATGGCTGAGGCTAAACCTGGGAATTCACTTTGCCATTGATAATGCTGCCAGCTTGGATGATTTGAAAATTGTTTACCGATCTCTGGAAGAGACGTTGGAGGACCATTACCATTCCTGGAGTACTCAGCATTCATCGCACTAGAAGGATCGTGGCTCGGTTGATTAAAAGCGGCCCATAATATGTTGATCATTTCCTACCGCTGTGTTGCTGTGCTTGTCGTTGATGTTGGTTTATTCGATCTGTTTTCCGTGTGCCTCTTAATGCTTCTCGTGTCTTTAACTTCACTCTTTCCTGTAAGTTAGGACATGAGGACAGCATAAATCGACTTGTTCCTGGGTATGTCACTTCCATTGGTGGTCAGGTTATATGCATCCAAACGGTGATATTTTCGCATCAATTACGTGGAGTATGATTAGGCGGCTTTTGGAGACTGGTATATAGCAACTCCAGATACGCGACCCGCTTTGGTCAACTGGAATCCATGAAGGTGCCTAGTTGAGAGCCGCCCAAGCCTGGACAACTCCCGCAGCCGCTGTAACGATTCCCTCATCATTTCGCCCTCTGCGAAGGTACCGAAATGAACTACCCCAAGCGATAGCAACAATTGCAGCAACCATGGAACGGTTCAGGGGCTCCTCTAAAGGCTATGGATTCTGCACCCAGTGCAAATTGAGCAAGCCTGAGATTCAAGTCCCTTAGGAAGAAAGAACTTGAGCAATGGAAAAGAAAATACCTGTCAAAACCAGATAAGCGCTTCCTTGATACCATCCAACCGTGCTGCAAGTGAATGCAATGTTCTGCAGTGCTTGAAACTGGTCAAGATGTTGAAACTGGCGCCTGAAAGCTAAAGAAAAGTCAGCCTACTCTCTATATCATCAAGGCAATTCTTATGTGGAATTTGAAGAGTGCTAACCGCATGCTTTATTGCGACTAGGAAAGAGCCATATCCGGTGACTGTGAGAAGGGATAGGGAGGGCATTTTTTCGCTAGGAAACACAACAGTCCTCAAGAAAATGAAGTGTCGGGCAGAACAATTTAATGCTACCAATCTATAAATACTCACTTTCAACGGCTGACGAGGGACCGAGGGGCGATCGTTTCGTTACGGTATCTTAGCTTTACTTAACCTACACATGACACATGATGATAATGGGTTTCTAACAAGCGGGGTGGGACAACTAACTATCCGTCTTGGAACTGCTCATGGATAAGGTTCAAGCATGATCTTTCTGGCCAACCAGGGCTACTTTGCCGTTCCATACCATGGACGTGGTTGTAGACACTCAACTTAAACTTTGTTTAGAGCCTCGGAAAATTAAAGATGTCATGAAAAAGCTCCAGCAGTAAAAAGCTCTGGCGCCCTCACTTGTAGCACAAATCCGATCCTAACCGTTTTGTTCAATGATAACTTCGGCAGGCATCGGGGAACAAATAGTCGAACCACTCGTTGAGAGACCGCCAAACCTCGTTCTGGTGTTTGCGTACATCGTCCTCTCCGTCATAGCGATAATAACCTTCTGATAGAGCCATATTTGGAGAGGGAGTATCACGATCGCTTCTCGTCATTGTGGCGCCGTAAAAATAATCGCGGAGGTGTCGTCGATCGCTCTCAGTCACTCCAAAATAATTGAAAAGCTCAACTTCCGCGAGAAATATTGCGTTTTCGGAATTCATCTTGTCCGCAGTGATAGTAGCTGGAAGATTGACGTATCCTCGCCTTCCTGGATGCATCGATGATCGCGGTTCGTGCCCGTCGTTGCTCTGAGAGTTACAATCCATCTCCCATAATTTTCTCGTTGACTCAACATCTTTTTCTACCCCGATATTAGGAGAATCTATTGATGGGAATTCATGGTCAGGAAACGGATTGCTGCGTTTATTCCGCGGCCTTCCACGATGGAGGCTGCAATCGCCGGCCAAGGGGAACCTTTTGCGTCGGTAGACATCTTCATCTTTCCATAATGCAGTACGGATGACCGAGACTGTTGGCGCTGGGCCTTGCATTTAGCGTGGTTGTGTATCGGCAATGAGGCAGGCTCTGCAGAAGACCGATAACGATCTATCAATCAATATTGTGGCTTTCCGGTGCTGCTTTGATATATTCGAGGGGTTGACAAGTAATTTAAGAGTTTTGGAGTAAAGAGAGGTTCCGAGGTACACACAAGATCGGCCTCGGGTAGTCGGGATCGAAACAGATGAATTCCGCCGACCAAGCAAATAAGCTTTCGACGGCCAAGATCTCTTCATTATTCTAGACGCTATCAAATCCCCATGTGCTATATAAAACCCAATTAGTGGAATTGTAGAACGTTCGGTCATTTCCCCAACGTTGTTTCCGTGAATCTTATTGAGAGTGAACGGGTATGACGAATCTGACCTCATTCAATGTTTGCTGGGGCCATTGGCCGAGAAAGATCATCTCGGTCCGAAATATATGGAATTAAGGTTAGAGTTTCCCGGAGTCCGCTTCGGGATTGGGCGGCATGTCCGACTTGGCAACAGCTCCAGAGGTTATAGACGAGCCCACACTATGTCTCGTAAACCCCCGCTGTTACCCTTGAACTCGCACCCTTTGTGTTTTAACGTGACCATGGCATTGTTTCAAAGTAAAACGCGAGCAGAAACAACGAGGTCATCCACGAGTCCAAATGTCTCATATCAGAACAAAGCCTCGAAAGCAAACAACAAAGAATAAATAACCTCCGTTATTTATCTTCTGACAGACTCGGCCCCGGGCTCTTTGTGTGTCAGACGAAGTTTATCAAGTCCATTATTTCCTTCACATGTAACAATGGCCATTCAAAAGAACACTTCCTCGATTGGAGAAGGAAGGTTCCGAAATGTTCGAGTCGCGGTATTAGAAGAGAATTGAGGTAGGGGATAAATAGCGCTTTTCTGTCAAGATGATTCTGCAGATTCATCCCATTCATTTCTCTCAATTCTCAGCTTTATAGCCTCGACAATCTACTATTTCAACATGCCAATCTCCCTTCTCTCTTTGGCCCGTGGCAACCGTCTCGTCGGTATGGGCAAGGTGGTTGACCTCAATGATGGTGAATATCTGGGCGCAAACATGCACGAATTCTTGATATACCCTTGGAAGATGATCGACTACTGGCTATATCTGACCCACGCCGTCGAGCGTGGCCGCACCAGTGAGGCTCGTCTGGACGGAGCCCACCTTCTCACCACTAACGGATTCTTTCAGATCGATTTTGATGAATTACGCAGCCTGAGAACGGTGCCCGGTTCTAACAATATTGTATTTACCGCCCTGCCTGTGCCCTCCAGTGGGCTGCCCGGTAGGAAGATTGTCCTCGGCTTCGATCTGACGTCCCGCCATCTCCAGGGTCGCCTCGTCGACTATGCACCTGAGCGGTTTGCCGATCTTGGGCAAATGTGGAGCCGAAGCGAGCTAATCATCGATATTCAGGCAGATCGGTTCCCGGATATCCTGGAGTACACTCTGAATGGCCACCTCGATATTCTTCGTGTCGGTATGATTGGATACTTCCAGAAGTCTACCCGCGAGCTCCACTCGGCCCTCGATCTAGTGATTGCCATACAGTTCGGCCAGTTCCTTCGCGATTTTGCGGAACTACTAGGCGGGGACAAGGCCCACTTCACTAAATTCTACCAGCCGTATGATGAGCAAATGCGCGACCTGCTACAAAAGGCCTCCACCAAGGCTTGGTTTGGTGCGAGGGACGGGCTCAGCATTGGGCAGTATCGTCTGGGCGAAATGGACGAGTTTGTTTCGTTCGACTTGTTCGATGAGCCCTCCGATGTTCCCCGCACGCAAGCCCCAAAGCCAGTTCACCTGAAGCGTCCTGAACAGTCTCAGCTGCTGACACGGTCTTTGCACATTACAGAGCCTACAGAGCCTAAAAATGCTCTCCCAGATCTCCCTGCGCAAGTCATGCGCTCGTTCACCGCTCCCTCCACGGCGATTCCGGCCATGGTTCTCGTCATGATTTGTGCCCTGATCGCGGCAGATTAAGTTTACGGGTTGACCTTGTGGATCGACCCAACCTTTGAAGGCCAATTATTCCCACTAGTTTTTATAGTTTCCTTTTCGGGTCTCCACATCCGTTATGTACGATGAGCAAATACGAGGATTATTATGCATGCGATTTGACACGTAACACTGCATAGCGCATAAGCCAGCGAGCTAAAGCTGCACCGCCACTTCGTACGACCCGAGACCAGGCGTATGGGACATGTTTGTGTGGCGGTGGCTCAACCCCCTGGCGGAGCCCCTAATCGAGAGTCCACCATTGGTTCGTTGATGGCGGGGAGTTGCGCCGTGCTTCTTGGCGGTGTCATGAGCTAAGATGATTCGCAAAGTGTCGTGAGTACCGGCGACTCCGCTGCGCCGATGCGGGTGCTGCGTCCTCGCTACTTGATCTGCACTGCTCAATTTCGCTTCGCGCTGAGCCCTGCAGCCCTACTATCCTTGGGTCTGTCCCAACCGTTGTCTGCCTAATACTTCTTACTCCCCTAATTTACCCCCTCCTTCCCCGCTGTTTGTTGCGCCGTGTTATTGTCAGAGACATTCCTCCTCCGTGCGACCCCCGTCGCTCTCCTGAACTTCCCTCCTAGCTCTCCCCCGAGTGCCCTCTCGTCGCGTTAATTGCCTCCTTAAGATGGCTGCCGTTGCTGCAGCCCCCGTCAATGGTATGATCTGAAGCTCCTGCGCCAGGCGCGAAATGCACGCAAAACTGACAAGACGTTTTCCGGCAGGGGTCATCCCCAATGGCGAGTCTGCCCCCGATGGTGCCAACGATCGCTTCGAACTCATCTCCGGCCCTTTGATCAATCTAAAGAACATGAACTTCCAGCCCTCGCCCGTTTGGCACGGAAGTGTGTTGATTGTCACCAAGCCCGGCCAGGACCAGCCTCAGCTGGCCATCCGTCAGCTCGGCCCCGTCGCGTCTCAGGAACAGCCCCAGTCCCAATACATTCAGACCGTCGACGGTCTCAAGCTCTACCAGGACCCCCACAAGACTTTCTGGCGTTTCACCCTGGCCGTACCGGTCGAGTCGTACGAGGCGCGCTGGGAATATGACATCCCCGGTCTGTTCGAGCCCGGCGAGCAACCCAAGGGTCCTTGGCAGTTTGTGGTCCCTGCTGAGGACCAGTCCATGCGCATCATGTTCCACTCCTGCAATGGGTTTTCCGTGGGTACTGACATGGAAGCCTGGCTCGGTCCGAACCTGTGGAATGATGTCCTGCGTATCCACGGCGAGAGACCTTTCCACGTTATGGTTGGTGGTGGCGATCAGATCTACAACGACGGAGTTCGTGTGGATGGTCCCTTGAAGCCGTGGACTTCCATCGCCAACCCGCACAAGCGTCGCACGCACGACTTCAACAACGAGATGCGCGCCGACTGCGATGAATACTATTACGCCAACTACGTCCGCTGGTATAACACCGAGCCTTTCCGCGCTGCCAATGGCCGCATTCCGCAGGTTAACATCTGGGATGATCACGATATCATTGATGGTTTCGGCTCCTACACCGATCACTTCATGAAGTGCGCCGTGTTCCGCGGGATTGGCGGTGTCGCTTTCAAGTACTACTGTCTGTTCCAGCACCACATTGCTCCACCCAAGTCGACATTCACCACCGATGCGCCTCAGACTATGCACGCGGTGAATGGTACCTCTGGTGTGGACGAGCGCCAGGTTGAAAACGTCTACGTACTCGATCCCCAGATCCAGGAGGATAGCTGGATTATTGGCAAGCGTCCGGGGCCTTACGTGGAAGAATGCAGCCGTAGTCTGTACATGCGATTCGGAAAGCGCATTGCCTTTGTGGGTCTGGATGCTCGTACGGAGCGTACTCGGCACCAGGTCAATTACCTCGACACTTACGACATTATCTTCGACCGTCTGAAGAACGAAATTGAGGCTGCCAATGGCGATATCAAGCACCTGGTGGTCCTGCTGGGTGTTCCGATCGCGTACCCGCGTCTGGCGTGGCTCGAGAACATCCTCACCTCGCCCGTCATTGCCCCGATCCGTCTCCTCAACAAGCGTTTCGGTGTGGCGGGTGGCCTGTTCAACGAGTTTGACGGTAATGTTGATTTGTTGGATGATTTGGACGACCACTACACTGCTCATCAGCACAAGAAAGAGCGTAAGATGCTCATCCAGCGCCTGCAGGAACTTGCTCGGGCCCACTCGGTACGCGTAACCATTTTGGGGGGTGATGTCCACCTGGCGGCAGTGGGACGCTTCTACTCGAAGCCCAAGCTGAACCTGTCCGGAGAGAACGACCACCGGTTTATGGTCAACGTGATCAGCAGCGCCATCACCAACAAGCCCCCTCCCAAGACCGTCGCCAATCTGCTGGCGCGCCGCAACAAGATCCACCGTCTGGATAGCGACTGCGACGAGACTCTCATGCCGTTCTTCGATAAGCAGCCCGGCGGTATCGAGAAGGGTGCCACGTGGAACAAGGTCACCATGCCCTCGCGCAACTTCGCCTGTCTCACGGAGGTCGTCGCTCCGGCTACCACCGATGCTCCCGGCGGCGGATCGGCCAAGCTCGAGCATCTGCCCAAGAACGGCCATGCGCCGCTTCACAAGGGCGAGGTCCACGCCGGCACCACCCACTCCGCGGCAGATGGTTTCAGCGGTAACAGTGGCATGTACGGCGGCCTGGACGTTGCCATTCGCGTTGAGATCAACCCCCACGACACCAAGGGGACCACCGAGGGCTACGGCTTCAGCAGTAAGCGTAACACTTCAAATTTTTGCGAAACCTGTTCTAACCGGCAACTAGTTCCCCTTCTGATGGCTACCGAACCGGCTCCTGCTGCATCCTCTCGTATAAGCCTGCGCTCGCGTCCCTCGCGTCAGAACGTGAAGCGCTCCAGCGCGGAGAACGTAGGTCGTCCGTCGACAGCCGCCTAATCGTAACTGTATATCTAATGGTCTGCTTTTTGATGCTTTCATTGATACCTCTACGTCATACAGTCTTCCCCACTTTTGTTTTTAGGTTGACGCAAATCTTATCTTTGTGTTTTCCCCTCGCAGGGATATAGTTACTCCTTATGGCTTAGAGCACTTCTTATCTCTCCGCGTAGCACTAAGACATCGGATCCTTGTGCTGCACAAGTTTCCCTGTCGCGGTTGATCTACTGACACACCACACGCGAGATAACATCCAGACTGGCTTCTCCGCACATGTATCCCAATGGCGCGGCCTGTGCGACCAGTCGCGATGCTCTCTTTCCTCGCATCCCCACAGACGAGCTGGATAAGAATTACAATATAATGCATGCCTTGCGTTTCCGAGGCGATGATCCATTCCTACGGTCTCTATTTTAATTCCAACTGACCCGACTTTGTCACTGACCTGTCTACTAGACCTTGAAGGGATCGCTCTTCTCGATCAAGATGCTTCTCGGTCCAGCTAACGAGAAGATCGCTGGCCCGATTGATGCCATGGACCAGGAAGCTGGCGAGATCGCCAGCGTACATGAGCACGACGAGCTCGATCGCTTGGGATACAAGCAGGAGATGCGTCGCAATCGCTCAGTTACTACCCTGCTCTTCCAGACGCTAGCCATAGCCGCCATCCCTTACGGCGAGGGTAGCCCTCTACTGAGCGCCATCTACGGCGGCGGCCAACTATCCATCTTCATCGGATGGATCGTTGTCTGTATCCTCGACCAGTGCATCGCACTCTCGCTGGCCGAGCTGGCCTCTCGCTACCCTACCTCCGCCGGTCCATACTACTGGACTTTCCAGATCGCCCGCAGCTCCAAGGCAACCATTTCCTTCATCAATGCTTGGATCTGGCTCATCGGAAACTGGACGATCACCCTCTCCGTCAACTTCGGCTTTGCCTCCCTCGTCTCGGCTACTATATCAATGTACCATCCAAATTGGAGCGCAAATAGCTGGCAACTCCTCCTCATCTTCTACGCCGTCTGCCTCGGCTCATTCCTCATCTGCACCTTTGCAAATCGCTACCTCCCCCAGGTCGATATCGCCTGCGCAACTTGGACCGCTGTCACTATCATAGTCATTCTCATCGCAGTATCCGTTAAAGCAGATACCGGCCGCCACTCCGCCTCTTACGCCCTATCCCACTACGACACATCCTTCTCCGGCTGGGGCGGCTTCACCTTCTTCATAGGCCTTCTGCCAGCTGCATACACCTTCTCCGCCCTAGGCATGATCTCCTCAATGGCCGAGGAATGCTCAAACCCGGCTATCAAAGTCCCCCGCGCAATCTCCCTCGCTGTCCCTGTCGGCGGCACCGCAGGCCTGTTCTTCATCATCCCTCTCTGCGTCACTATGCCCCCGCTAGAAGATATCATCAACAGCCCTGGCGGCCAAGCCCTACCCTACATCCTTCATCGTGTAATGGGCTCACCCGGCGGGGGTCTCGCCCTCACTTTCTTAGTTCTGGTTATCACCCTCTTCTGTTCCATCAGCATCACCGTCGCCGCCTCCCGCTCTACCTGGGCCGTCGCCCGCGACGACGCAATCCCCCTCGCCCGCATCTGGGCAATCGTCCACCCGGGTCTCGGCGTCCCCGTCTGGTCTCTAGCCCTATTAACTGGAATTCAGATGCTACTGGGTTTAATCAACCTGGGCAGCTCAAGCGCATTCACGGCCTTTGTCTCCGTAGGCGTCATTGCCCTGGCGGTAGCATATGCGATGCCCATCGCACTGAGTCTCTTCCACGGCCGTGAGGAAGTCAAAGATGCTCCGTGGAATTGCGGAAGCCTGGTTGGTACTGTGGCTAATGTTATTGCGTTAGCGTGGATTGTGTTTGAGCTTGTGCTGTTTAGTATGCCGACTGCTTTGCCCGTTACCTCTGTCAGCATGAACTATGCGTCGGTCGTGTTCGTGGCCTTTATGGCTATTTCGGTGCTTTGGTATCTCGTTCATGCGAGGAAGTGTAAGTGTTTCCCATGTGTGCTTTGTAGCTTTGAGCGGCTGCTAACTCGTGAATAGCGTATAAGGGTCCGCCGGAGTCGGATGCCCTGGATTGATAGCTTGGCGTCGAACTGTACTCTCATCCTATGTAAAATTCAAAATCAATACTTGCCATGGTATATTATCTGTTAAGTGCGGCAACGTTTAGAAATTGAACGGCCGCTTATCTTCCATGGCGCTGGAGCCTGATTCAATGTGTTCGAGCTCTCGTCTTGATAGAGTGAGGAAACGGATACCCTCCAAGAAATTTTATTGTGGAGATTAGGTGGGTTGGTTATCCTGGACGTGTGTTTACTGTTGCACACGACGAACTCGATAAACGTGTGAGTAAATGGGAAGTCAACAATGGTTGGCAGGTAGTATTAGTGATCACGGACTTCATTTTTATGCGTATGTACGTGAAGGAAGTTCTTGGTGAACGTTTCCTTATTCGGGGAAGTCATATATTGAATGAATTCAGGTTAACTTATTACACTACCGCTAGGGCGGTTGATCACCACTTTAGCAACTAAGGAAGGATGGTGTTTATTAGATGTTATTGGTTCATTTGTCCCCACTTGCTTTTACAGAGACTGTATCAAACGAAATATTCCCATTTTGCCGGCCGCCACAAAGTCTACCCAACAGTAGCTGAATCAACTAAACTTTTGGTAGCAAAATTCCATCTCTCCGCTTAACAGAGACTCGTATCCCTCGAGTTAAGCCGGAAGACAGCATAGCCTGCAGCCAGCGGAGCCATCGTCCGGAACCTAATTGAATCAGTATTGGGAGTTGTTTGATACTAGCAAAATGATCGTATAGACACACCAAACCAGTTATAAGAGTATCCTTTTTCGTCAGGCATGGTTGTTAGCGAGCTTTAGAGTGTAGATGAAGTACGTCCTCAGTACCGCCATGCCATAAACCACCTATTACGTTTACAGACCTGGAGCTTGCAGAACCGCATCGAGAAACTAGAGAGTGATGACCTGGATCGAAACCCAACAGGCTGTTGTGCTGAGCCGGAGCCTGAGCATTCTCATAACAGCAGCGGCCTAGATATGAAAGCCCAAGTATCCTCCTGTCTATATAACTTCGTAAGTAAACTTTATGCTTCGTTGTTTCTATGCCATCGGCATGACAGCGCAAAAATCAAGTTGTGCACAATACGTAGCTTCTACTGTAAATAACATATCATAACTCAGTTCCGTTCTATCCGTGACTGTTCGACGATGTAGTCATAAAGTCTTATTCTCGTAAGACCAGCCGGTGCCTTGTTCACGTGAGTTGGGTGCGAACCACCCAACAGTGACGTGATGATCGATCCTACCCCGCATAGCTTCACCCCTCTTGCGTCCACCATTAATCCCTTCCCCGTATCATTGTCTACACTCTAAAGCTCGCTAATAACCATGCCTGACGAAAAAGGATACTCTTATAACAGCTCCGGCACCAATAGTCAGGTATGTTCCAGTTCTAACGTGAATCACTCATGATCGTGGAGACTAACTAAAGGTAGGGTAACCACTACTGTTCCCGCGACTATGGCTCCGATGCCTCTAACTCGAACAGCTACCACTACTCTAACTCGTAGGTGCCTCTTTATTATCCCTCTGGCTGATGGTATGTTGATGATGGTAGCAATGGCTCGTACTACTATTCCAATCCTAATGGAAGTACCTACTATAACAATGGAAGTGGTGGCTCGACTTACACTCCCTCTTCCGGGAAGAAATGAGCTTGGAAACTTTGATGGATGATTAAGTCTGATAGCAGTGAATTGATTCGGCAGGTTTATATGAAAACTTTGTAGCCCATGACTCTCGTCGCGTGGTAAACACTCGGTGTAACCTCTATTGTTTACTCCCCATCAGCATGTCCATTCTCCGCGTCACCCTCGCTATTCACCCGTCGTTGACGCGGTACGCCCTCGTTGGGAGAATGGCGGACAGGTATTGGGTCACTGGGACGGCGGCGCCGGACGAGCTGGTACCCCCGGTCCAGCTCGATTTCAACGGCTTCGCGCACTTTCAAGGCACTAACGGCGGGCCAGACGCCTCGCTCGCCTTTCAGTATCCATTCCGCCAGGTGTTCTGGAGTTTGTTGCTGGAAGAGCTTGCTGATGTCTTTGAATGAAAGATCTGGCACGAGGGTTAGGTTCGGGCCTGGGATTGTTTCGTCGATCATTAGCCTGCTGACGGCTGCGGGTAACAAGCCGATGTAGTCAAGTTGCCGGAGTCGGTGGCGAAGCTCGACGAGGACAAGGCGCATCAATGAGCGAGAAATGTTGTGCCAGCCGGTCTGGCGGCGATCGAGGAGGTTGAGTTCGGATCGGAGGAATGGGATTAGATAGGGCCGTGCCTGCGAGACAACGAAGTGGTTTACGTTGAAGAGTTCTGCGATTCGGGAAAGCGGCGATTCTCCATCGTTATAGTGGACATGTCGCCATGGATGAAAGACTGCATCCTGTGTAAGTGGCCAAGGCATGATTGAGCCTGTCTCGTCCTTGCAGTAGATGGTAACCGGGGAAGAGAGAGTCGAGGAGGATGAAGCGCTCGAAGCAGCGGCGGCCGACCAAATCAACTAGTCTCATGTCAGATCACTTGAGTATCAAGCCTCGGGATGAAAAATACATACCACATTCGGCGCAGTCAGGTAATTAAGGAGATTTGGAGTGCCATCCTTGCCCCCCGTGGCAATCGTGATATTCAAGATCCGCTTGGACCGAGCATACGCCTCTTCAAATGTCAAATCACCCACGTTGGCGCGGACACACTCTTCCAGCAACCCCATGTCAAACAGATGACCTGTTCGGAGAAACCTCTTTAGGCGTCGAAAGAAAACTCGTATCCAGCTCTCGGTTCCATCGGGGTGGTCTTTCCAACGACTATCAAAGACAGAAAGATCAATTCCACCACCCTCCAGCAACGGGAGCAGTTCGCTTTCAGGATGAACCCCAACGAGAGCTGCGATCATAGCTCCCTTCGCTGTACCGGTGATGATACGCGGTAGAAGTCCCTGCAGATGCAAAGCCTTGACCACCCCCAGATGGCACAACCCAAAAGCCGAGCCGCCCTGTAAAAGAAGAGTCGTGCGACCAAAGGCCTGTCGGGTATCGTGCAATAGCTCCAGCTTCGCCTGCGGGGTGAACATGGTCGCCTGGGCAGGCTCCTGCGCTTGCTCCGCCCGCCACATCGTCACATACTGAATAGATAACGCGACCTGCGTGATGTAGTCGTCGATCAAAAGCTTGGTACCTCCATAGGCATGCGTGAATAATTTAGTCGTGGTGATGTTGCCCAGGTTGCGCACCAACCCGGAGCGAAGCAGGTTGGCCAAAGCCACAATGTCGCCGGCCCCGCGCGCGTTCATCAGCGCCTCTAGTCGCCCGAGGATCAGCCGGTAGTCATATTGTCGACTGACTGGATTTTGGCGCCTAGGTAGTTGGTCAGTAGAAGCTCCATTGCTCGGATCGGAGGGACCGTCGGTACCAAAAGTCCTTGCCCAGCACGTCGTCCAGCTCGCACGCGGCCTCTTCCCATTCCTCGTATGTCTGCGCCGTAGCAAGCGTATGCACGCATCGATCTCGGGGAGATTTCAAGGTCCACCATGAAAATAATTTCTATACGTCGTGTAAGCCGCGGGTTTAACATGGCGTGGGCGTCCAATCTTTCCCGAAGCCAAGGTAGCTAGCTAGGTAGCGGACAGCCGCCCACTTCCTCCGCATCAGGGAGAGGGCACTCACAGATTGCCAGAACTGCGCGACATCCAGAATCATGCTGAAGATCGCGGATATAACACTCTCCAGCCAGGACAGCCAGGACGCCATTGCGCGCGAGGTCCAAGTCGAAGAATCCGGAAGACTGGGGCTTTCACATGCTAGAGTATGGCGTCACGCGCCTACACTAAAGAAGAGAAAAAGCACGTTTTCGAGCTGATCGAAATAAGATCTTAGGATGTGATGAATGACGAATGACGAATGAGGAATGATATAAGATGGGATCTTAAGTTGGGAGGTGGCGTTCTACCGAATTCGAGGTTGCGGCGCTCGGTCGCACCTCTCTCGACTCTACAAGGTCCACAGAATGAAGAATTGAAGAATGAAGAATTTATGAACACCATCACATTGAGGTATACAACAGTACCAAGCGACACCAATTTTATGGATTCTTCGCTACATGCCTCATACAGGTCATTTCAAGCAAGTGAAATTTGCAAGGTCGTTTGATTTTTGTCATTTCGCTTTGCTTCCCTATATGCAAGTAGGCGAAATTAAAAAAGAATCTCTCCCGGACACCCGAACCCATCAAGAGTCATTCTTTACTCCTCAATAATGTTGCCCCGCTCCGACACGTACAGACCGTCCAAGAACTAGTCATAGTATTAGTATGCTGCATACTGACGGGTGACGGACATGACGGTAACTCACCTTACGGATATCCTTGTTCCGGACACGGCAGATCTGCTGAATGTCGGCGGCACTCTGGGAAACAGCCTCCAGGGAGTTGCCGGAGAGCTGGAGCTCATCCTTGACGTTGGTGGAGGGAGCGACCTCAACACCGGCCTGAGCAGTGATGCGGCGAACGTACTTCTCACCGAGGAAGTTACTGTAAAAAGAAACCCGTCAGTATTACCGTTCAAATGTCGAGTTCTCCTGAGAACAAAAGATAGAGTTTTCCCATACCGGATCTCAATCTCGGCCTGGCCAGTCTCGCCGTTCTTCTCAATGTTGACGTTGATGGGGAAATGGGCGTAGACGTAGCGCATCTTGTACAGGAAGCCGCGGGTGACACCGATGATCAGGTTGTTGATGATGGTGCGGACGGTACGGAGGGTAGCGACACCCTTGCGAGCACCGTGGTGCAGCTCGATCGAGATAACGTCCTTCTCGGGGCGGCCGAAGGTGACGGCAATGTGGGAGAGGTCCTTAACGAGCTTGCCGCGGGGGCCCTCGACGGTCACAGTACGCGAACGAATGTGAACCTTCACTGTAGAGAGAACATCACGAATCAGTCCCAATTCTTTTTTTTTTTTTTGCATGTCTTTCGCTCCATCCACGTCGTTCCAAAAGCCAGAAAAAAGGTTGTGCGTGTCGTTGTTGGCTGTTAGAATCCTCCAGGGAATGGTGCGGTCCTGTCGCGAAGCAGTCGTCCCTATTCATAGCCATGTGCGATGTCCACGATATTGGGTGCGACGAATCCCACCATTCCCTCAATTTTTCCCTCGAAAAACAGAAAAGGTCGCATGCTCACCATTGTCCGGAATGGGCAGCCGTTCCTCGGAGTGAATGTACCGCATCTTGACTGCGTGGGTGGTATTGGCCGAGGGGGTGAGTTGTCGATGTCGGGGAGTCAAAATTCAAGACGGAGGTTAGTGTGGATTGTGCGTCGCTTAGCCCTCGGTACACACGTGATGTAAATCACATGACCTAATGGCCGGGCGCTAGTCGATTTTGGGTTTCAGTGATTTTCACATCACGTGAATGAAATTTGGGTGTCTAATAAATAAGGAGATCACAGAATGGGCCTTTGTTGCACTTGCAGGCAAAAATCAGGTATTGGTGACGCTTATTTCTGGTCCTGTATTCGAAGTTTACGATGTAATGGACTGGTTGAAGCGAGACTAGAGCACTCCAGGTCATTTCTGGGGCGATTTTGAGCTTCGGGCCGCGAAGGATCGAAGAATAAGGAGATTGTAAGGCGCCGTCGTATATCACTCGGTTATAGAAGGGATTTCCGAGCAGACACGCTTTATAATTACAGACAAAATCTAGGGCTTGTTAACGTTCATATCTGATGACCTCCTTAGCGTCGATGTTTACGTTGATGTTGTCCATAGTGGGTCAGTTACGGTATCGAGCACTGAGACTAGCTCCATTAAAGCTATAGTTCGACCACGATATGATACAAAATCAACCACTAACCACATCTCACATGGCTGACATGGCTGAATCCAGCGAACGTAAGATCAGGAATATATGAGGAACCCTATATCGTGTCTCTGATTGTGGAGATATCCGTTTCCGCTCAGCCAGGCAAAGAGTGCATGCCCGTCGACTGGTTGAAGCGGTGAATATAGCCTTTCTCTCGACAACACAAATTATAATTATCACTTAAGAGCTCTCATCCTTGACGTTCTTCAACATATTAACGGCAAGCCTGTAAGCCTCATCTCTGGGCTCAAAGAGGATTTCGTCCGTAATCTGCTTGTCGAATGCATGGCCGCTTCCCTTCATGCTCCGGATAATGACTTCCCTGCCATCAGCGTGACCTTCGGTCTTTGCTTTCTTCGCTAGCTCCTCTGCCTCGAGTCGATCTCCTGGGTGCTATTAGTGGCGGCGTGGGCGACTTTGACCACCGGCTTCCCTATGAGCTTTAAGAAAACTCCGCGACAGCCACGAACATTCTGCTGGTTGAGCGAGATCTTCACTTTGTGCGACATTCATCTCGGTGTATTGAACCCGGTCTCAAAAATTCGCTCGCACAAAAACTGGCTGTCCGTTCTCGACATACTCGGGGCGAAGAGCGAGTTTTCCTGGACAAAACATTTGTTTTCAAAGTCGATGACCTCCTTTTTAACCTTTGCTTCATATAAGCTCGACTGGGGGTTTGATCTCAAACAGAGGTATCATCTCGGTATAATTCAACTTCGGACTCCGCCGGTCATAATTACGTTCCCAGTGAAACCGTGAATTAGAAAGTGTGGCTTACAGAACTGATGCGAGGTGTCTAAAGCTTAATTAAAGATCGGACAGATTGACGAGGGGTATATTAGGGGGAAAGGAGGAAGAGATATAGCGTATATTCCCACGACACGTAGCACTGGGGGCTTTGTGTGCTGTGAAGATCATAAGCCAGATCCAGGCTTCGCGACGGATGGCTTTACGGATGACTTGGCCTTTTGGCCTTCCTCTTCTGGGTGAGCCCTTCCAATTAAGGCGAAATTATGTACAGCCGGGTTGTTCTTGATAACACCTGGACAAGAACACAGTGGATACACTGAAGAAATGATCCATTGAAACAAGTTTCTCACAGGTGCCCCTCACTAGGGGTAGCGCGCGTCACCTCTGCCACCCATTTACCACCCATTGTTCGCAGCGTCGATGCCAGCTCGTCGCTATGGTCCAGGGCAGCAATGTCATCCCCGCCTCCGATACTCTTTCCATTAACCAGCACATTAGGTACGGTGTGACGGCCCGTGTTCTGCGCCAGGAGATCCTGAAGGGCCCGTCCGATCGGGTGCTGGTCCAACTCGACAACGAACGGCTTCGGGGAGATCGAGTAGCGGTTCAGTAGGATCGACTTTGCTTTCTTGCTGTAGGGGCAGTAGGACTTGGAAAAGATGATCACTAGACGAGCGCGCACGGCTGTTAGCTTCGATGACATGTAGAATGTAGAGGGAAAAGACAAGACAACCATACCAGGAGATCGCTTCAGAATCGAGTTCAGCTCGCTCTTTGCATCCAAGTGGTCTGTGGTCTCCTCCTGCTCCACGGGCTTTGAGTCCGACGATGAGCCTTGTACATCCTTGTTCTTGGGCACCGTCATCTTCGTCCGTCCCGCAATTGGGATCTCCTCCATCTCCTCGCTCTGCTTCGCCGGTGGAATCACTGGGTGTTCGTAATTGGCACTATCCGCTTGCGCGGCATTTGATCCCTGCCGGGGAATCGCGTCCTGGATCTTGTCTTGCGGTTTCGCATGCTTTGCATCCTCCTTGGCCCTCATTGCATCGAGGGTGGATCGGTAGAACTTTTGGTTTTGAATTCTGCTTGCTTCTCCCTGTACAGACAAGCATTGTCAACATTAGTACTGTGCGACACGAACAAAAAGAGCCGGAGTGATTGTGATCTCGTACGGAATAGTAAAAGGTGAGGAAGAGGATCACGACAACCGCGACTACGATGAGTCGCACGCGCCGTTGTGTAGGCATATTGAACAATACTCAATCACACCAGATGACGGAGATGTTGTAAGGTCGGATCGATATGAGGGGGAATGCAAGAACGGCGAGCCTGCACAACCCGACGCGGTTCTCCAATGCGGGAAGCGATACGTGACAAGAGCCCCGGGTGCCAAGAAATCCGTCGGTCAAGCTTCAATGATGCGGCTTGGCTTGAACATGGACCTTCAAGGTAAATAATAAGGACACGCGATCCAAAGATGGCATCTAGTCTTGTGTAAAGTGAATCCTAGGTCATGCGGGGGGCCTTTGTCCAAGGATTGTATGTTCCAGGGGCCCAGCTCATCCCTGAATGTGGGACTCGGTCTGAGCGTGATACTTGGCAGATCCACGTCAATAACTATGGCCAATGTATATGTACCTTAACCACGTGGACGAGGTCTGCAAGACGAATTTTACTGGAACTGAGGTAATCAAAATTGACTGGGTATTATGCTAAATCACTGGATTTTTTTGGACTGAACACGACTCCACATGAGATTCCATAGACGGGCGTACATCGGCCAAAATTATGTTTATGTATGGGTGAGTGTGTATGGGGGTGGTAAAGTAAGACAACTGCTGTTGTCGGTATCAAATGAAGGGAATTAAGAATTAGAGGGACCGCCAGGGTCCAGGCGTAATGCGTTGGGGAGAGTCAATGTAGCAAATGGGATAAAACACGGTTTGGAAGTGTCAGGGGTCAGGGATCGAGTGTAGACGTGAGCGAAGATGGTTGCCAATCAGGTGGGAATGGAAGCACCTGGCCGTGCATTTTGGTGGGCAGTTGCCCGACGTTTGCCCTGGACGATGGTAGTCCAGTCTTCCCATTCCTTGGCGATTTCGGTGAGAACGCTGCCCATTACTCCGGCAGAGGCCATCAGACCGTGGCCTTCGCCCTCAAGGATTCGCACTTCACACCGCCGCATAGTCTTGCCCAGCCATTGAACATTGTCCACAGGCACGCGGGTGTCCTTGCTACCGTGATGGATGACCACAGATCGAGTGATATCCACATAACGGAAGCCGATGGTCTGACGGCGTTCCAGACAGATTAGGAGGTCAACGGCTGGGTTGGCATTCGTGGTGGCGAGCTCCCAGATTTTGTGGGTAAGGCGAGTGTCATAGTCTTGTTGGCGTTCACGCTCTTCTTCGGGAGGCTTCGCACGAGACCCAAGAGTCGCTTCGCTTCGCTTAACATGAGCGATAGACGATGTCTTTGGCCCACCCAGCGGCGCCGGGTCTTCGTTTTGCAGTTGGGTATCCACCCGAACGCTAGGGGCGCTGTCTGGCATAGGAGGTTCTGTTTCCACGAGAGGTGCTTCTTTCGCAGTTTTGCGCTTCGATCGCCGGGGAGATTTAGGGAGACTGGTGGTAATGCTGGCGCTGGTAGCACTCATGAAACTGGTGTTGGCTATTTTCAGGAGAGATGTTGGAAGAGCGCGAAGTATCTTTTGAGAATATGGAACCGCGTTGATTGGCGCGGGATCTTTCTGGGAACCAATGGTGGAGAGTTGAGATGGAGGGATCCAGGGAGCCAAAAGATGGATTCGTCCTCGGATATGCTGTGGGATTCGGAGAGCGGTGGCCAAAGCATAGATCGCTCCCGCAGAGTGTGCGAGAATAGAAAATTTGGTGACTCGGAGGTAGTTACAAACGATGGCGACATCATCTGCATTTGTGGTTAGTGATAGAATGATAGTTTACTGCGACGTGAAAGACTCACCAGGCCAGCTGAGAGGGTTGCTCGGCTCGTCAAGTTGATGCGGCCCGCTCTCTCCCACACCAGGCCGGTCTAGAGTAACCAAGCGCAGGTTAAGAGTTCGGGCCAGCTCATCATAGAACGCCATGAGATATCGGGTAAGACCCATTCCCAGGCAGCATAACACAACATGGCCTTTGGGGTTGCCCACTTCGGAGAACGCAATAGTGCGTCCGCTGGTTGGATGAACCACTTTCTGGGTCAATTTCGGGGAGAAAATATAGTCCTCAACCGCCAGATCAATTGAATCTGCACTGGACGGCCTTTCGGTGTTGATTGAGGGACGTCCGGCCGACAAATGGCCAGAAGGCGTGCGGCGGTGTGGTTTGGTTGGCGTGACTGGCTCCAATGATCGCCTATAACGAGACTGTTCCTCCTTTTCTGATGGTGACTTCGGGAATTGAGGAGCAAAGTTGGTGGGCTTCGACGCCAAAGGCTGACCTGGCTTTCCAGATCGGCTCTTTCCGGTCATCACGGACGGTGATGGAGCACTGTCATTCAGAACAGAATGATCGCCCTTCGGCTCACTATCCGGCGCGCGAGTTTGGTCCAATTGGCTGGTGCTGGGCAAAGGCTTGGTTTGATTGGCAGGGGTCGTCTTCGTGGACCTGCCAGGACTGGCATCAGCTTCGAGCTCGGTTTTGATTCTTTGCTGCTGGTCCTTCAGTTCCTGTATCCTCCGAGTCACTTGCTCGGCATCGTTGCTCGTCCCTGGCAGACCGTTCTCTGGAACCGACTCCTTGCTTGCAGTGGAAGAATATCGACTATGACGAGCAGATCTCCGCTTTTTCGAGCCAGGGGATGGACTATGTCGGTGCCGCAGAGAGGACTCGCGGTTTGGAATATATCTACCGCTTCCAATACCTCCAGGATTGTTGTGGGTATCTGGCGTACTTTGGACCGAGGGGGGTTCCCTAGTTGGCGGGGTACTGGCCGCCAGACCCTCACTTATATCTTCTTGGAGGCCATTAGGGCCGCTCTCTTCGGCCACGTTCGCCATGGAGTATATCGAGCGCAAGCTCGCCCGATTGCGTGGCGTGTTATGACGCAAAGTATCGTTGAGGCTATTCGTCTTGCGCAAGCGATCGGTCTGTGATTCCATGTCATTTGTAAAATCCCTCGATGACGATTTCTTCAGAAACCCGAATGAGCCCTTGAGACTTTTTGTGCGTCCAGCCGAACTGTTGGAGGCAATGCTCGTAGCAGTCGAAACACGGGGAAGGACGGACTCCGTACTGATCGTGCCGAATGCGGTCTCTTCGGGAGCAGCCCTTACTGACGCATATGAATCCCTCGATGCAGGTCGAGTAGACGGCTCGGTCGATCTGAACGACTTGAACCTCGGCGATCGCGGAGACTTCGGAGATTTTGGCGAAGGTGGCGCTCTGGCCATGCGAATAACGGGGGAGGAGGCAGCATCATCCGGATGCAAAAACGGTGTGTTTGGCGGTTCCTCGACCGTCGCACAAGTCCCTAAACTCATTCCAAAGCCATTCTGCTGCGAAGGGGAATTAGTGAAGCAGGGTGCAGTGTGCGGCACTTCGGGCAAGCCAGGATCGGACGAATCCTTGGAGTCGATGCGCGGCACGTTATCGAAATGCGAGTTCAGGGGCACCGAGATCGTGGACAGGGACGAAATTAGCGACGAAATGACTTCAGGCGACGTTGGATCGGCGGACGAGTTTGCTCCCTTTCCACGCAGGGCGCCGAGAGATTTGCGCCGGCGGCGGCGCGACAGGAGAGCCGACTCCGCCTGTCTTGGAGGCGCCGGGGCGCCTTCGTTCAGATGCATGGCGCTCGATAGTCAAGGGGTAGCAAGCCCTTTCGATTGCAAAGCCTCGCCCTAGAGATCAACGAGATATGCAGGGATAGCAGCGCGCATGATCTTCTGCAGATAGATAGATGCAGGGCCCCTGCGAAATGAAACGAGTGCCCCCCTTACAGTTATATTATAGTCGTAGGAGGGGTGAACCGATAAGAGAAGTTTAAAAGAGTGGCTAGAAATTGATGTGTCGAAAAGAAAGGAAAAAAGAACGAACAGGTAATAAAAGGAGTAAATCTTCAAGGAGAGAGATCCCCTCCGGATTTTTTAGCGTTCGCGCGTTCAGCTCCGCGGTCCACTCGATGGATCCCAATTTCCCGCTCGATTGTGTACGCTCCCATTCGGGAATCGCGGGCGCCGAGCCATGGATCCGTGTGAGGGATCCGATACGGGGAACCGTGCTTGTTTATTGTCTCATATTCCTCAGTGTACCTAGACAGTAGATATACGTAAACTGACCACATCTAGGTGCTCCATAGTATCATGCAGTACACGTGGAATGCAGAGAATGCTTCATTCTCGCACTCTTCTAGAAGACCCCTAAGTCCGCCAAGGGATCGGCAGGAGCCCGCGATCTCGGAGATGAGAGTGGCTGGTGCAATTTTAGGCCAAAGGCTTGTCGTGAGCTGTCGAACGACTATCGTCGATTTCGCCGCTGACTTACATTGATCCTGGACATAAATATCATCCCTCATATATACATAGTGGGTAGATGATGATGACTTGGGATTGCTGGTGGTTACCACCACTCATTATATATATAGTTTCCACTATATTGTACAACAACCAGCGCACCTATTTACAATGGCTCCGAACTTCATCCAAAAGGATAAGTTTTTCTATTCTTCTCACAATCCGAATGTCAATTTAGAATATATCATAACCCCACGTTGATCGAAAGTCAATCATGACAAACGGACGAAGCGTCTGCAGACTGACCGCCCCCGCCAGACGGCAGTATCCCGCATACCCAAGCTATTCGTATCAGCCAGCATTCTCGCACAGGCCGAAGTCCGCTCTTTACTCACCTGGGTCATTTCATTTGCGCTGCATAATCGCGATTGATATCCATCTGCTGGCCAGTATCTCGATTAGACATGCGGTGACCCTCCCGCACTACCAACTCCATTGTCCGCAATGGACGCCTATCCCGAAGACTACGTCAACCACAACCTCCCCTTGATCCTGCTTTCGGGGCTCGAGGCAGGCTCTGAAGATGGCCCCGGTTCTTCTGTCGAATATCCACTTCTTTCTGAGAGGGGTCACAAGATCTTCTCGGATTTCCCCCTGTTGAGCGGGGCTGTTGCGGAGGACTTGGGCAGAGTGCTCTTGGAGGAAGATGCATCCAACATGCCCTGGAGGGCGGGACTAGGCTCAAATGGTAGCTCTGCATCGCCGCACATAGGTTACAGGATCAAGAGCACTGGCCGTGTAGGTTCTCCCACTTGCTGGACAAAGAGCTGCATGCTAACCTGCCGCTAGTCGTATCAACTTCCCCCGCGAAAGGCAGACCCTCCTTTGCATTTGTCTCCTAGAAGCTCAATAGCCGATTCCGATGCCGATGTTGCGAGCTCTGCCACGCCCTTTGCCCTCCACTCGCCCATCTCACCCTTGACACCGAGCTCCCCCACATTTCCAGATGGCTTGCTCACTCCGCTGTGGGTGACGAAACACCAAGATATCGTTCCTGCGGCAGTGATCAACTTCTTTCCTTTGTCTCTGGACCCAAATATGAACTCGCTGCGCGACAACCAACTGAAGATCGAGATTAATAGTCTTAAAAAGGAGTGGTCGTCGTCTGGCTTCAAAACGCGCTTCTTGACTGTCTTAATATCCGAGGAAGGTGACGGGGGATATATGGGTGAAATCGATGATCGTGTGGCAAGCATTCGGCGAGCAACCAATTTGGATCAAAAGTCTATATTTGTGATTCCTCCCGACGCGACGTCATCCGAGCTTAAAGACTTTGTCAAGTCTTTGTTCTCTCTCTTGCAACCATCTGTCGCGGAATACTACAGGGACCTGTCTAAGCATGCTCGGCGCAAACGGAACCGGAGCAGCATCCCTCCGCCGACTGCGCCACCGACAACCGGTACATCGCAGACGCTCTCATTACAAGGGTGGAATGTACGCTATGAGTTTAAGCTCGGCATCTTCGCCGAGTTCCGCCAAGAGATGGATGCTGCTTGTCGCAACTACGAAAGTGCGTACGACACGTTGTTTGGCCAAGAGGTATTCGAAAATATCGCAGGCTGGAGTGCGCGCTTCAATGATGCGCGTTTGTTGGGTGATGCGCTCGCCATTCGAATTATCCGCTGTTTGCTTTGGACGGCCCAGACCACTGCAGCAACGCGTTTTTGGGCTGATCACAGGCTTCGGACGAAAGATATTGTGAATCGCAGAGGCAGAGGTAGCAAAAATTATGGGTGGGAAGCGTGGGAGGCGCGGTGGTCAATGGTCATGGCTCAGCTCATTCGCCGCGCAGAGACATCCCCGGCAGTAACGGAGGGTTCTACCGACCGAGTACCGGAGGTATCGATATTCACCGCGCCGGAGAAATCCATCCCAAGAAACGAGCGAGTAAACCCGTGGGAGCAACTGCATCACGAGGGATATTGGCTGTACCGCTCAGCCAAGCACTCAATGGCCCGTCGAGCTCTTGCCTTGCAGATTTCTAATGAAGATCGGATTCCCCCTGGTCAATCTCCTGCCTCGCAAATTGCAAACAAATCTTATCTGTATGATACCTATCTCGCCCCAGAGACCCACGTGGAGAGCCCTCCGTCAGGACAGGCTGGGTTTGATCATTCAGAATTGATTCTGAGCACAATGAAGGCCGCTCTTGAGGAATTCTCGAAGCGACACCAAACACGGCAGGTGGAGAGGCTCAGTCTTGAGATTGCCCAAGAGTACATTCATATTGGCTCGTGGTCCGAAGCATATCATGTCTTGCAACCATTATGGTCAACCCTCAGCTGGCGCCGTGCTGGTTGGTGGAGGCTGATGGAAACCTTTGGATGGGCTTTGAGAGAATGTGCCTTGAACTTGAAAGACAGCGAGACTCTTTTGCGGGTCGACTGGGAGCTACTCAACAAAGGTAAGCGTTATCCCGAGGCCTATACCTTTGATCTCAAAGAATCTTATACAGTACTATAGTATTCTCGCCGAGACCTTCGTGGCATTATGACATACATCAAAGCCTCGAGAGCTTCCCCTCCGAGAAGCCGAAGCCTTCTGTTGTTCTTCGGGCTGAAGACGTCATGACCAGCTGTATGTTACCTTCTTAATATTCCGAGATTTTGCCAAACTGACTGACGCCAACCAGTGACCGCATCTCTCGTTTTTGAAAAGTCCGAAGGCAATGTCGGGGAACCTCTGCAGGCCCAACTCGTCATTTCATCATGTGCTCAACAAGAATCTGCCCCGATCAAGCTTTCCGAGGTGAAACTTGTCTTCGAGGGGTGTCTTCGCCCAGTGAAACTTCAATCTGATCAGGATCAATGCTCCGACACGACTACCCCATCTTGCATCTCGGACGTATCACTCCGTGAACCTAGCAGCTCGGACGACCCTAGCGTTCAGTCCCCAACAGGCGGTTTGGCGACACTGATTGGAATTGCGGACTTGACAATTGGACCTGGTCAAACTAAAGTTTATAATCTTGCCTGCATTCCTCGCGAAGCTGGGGAGAGTCTTGTTGCTTCTATAGCGATGCTCGTCGACGGAGAGAAGTTTGACCTCGCCTACGTGATCACCGAGTATGACTTGCATGAGTCTTATTGGTGGCAGCAGACCAAGAAAGGCCCTTCTCGCAGAAGAGTCGGCAAGGACCGAGATACCGGCAGGTGTAAGATCTTGCCGAAGCCGCCTAAGATTCGCATCTCGACCCCCAATCTCAAGGAGACTTACTATACTAATGAACGTGTGGTTCTTCAAATCGGTCTTTACAACGAAGAAGATGAGGGCGCCGATGTGTCTGCGGAAATCCGACTCTTCAGCAGCCCGGAGTCAACCACCAGACTCCAATGGCAGGACGGAGACCAAGGCTCCGAGCCCCTGGAATCGGGAACAAGCACCCCGACAGAAGGACCATCCCACTTTCTGAAGCGGAGTATCGGAGTTATGGGGCGGTCTTCCGACAACAATCTCACCATTGTGTTGGCCGACACTCAGGATGCGGCGAAATACACCCTGGAGATCTCTGCCGTATATCACCTCGTCTCTGATGTCCAAACCCCTATCATCAAGACCATCGCGGTCGACCTTTCTTTCGTGCGACCATTCGAAGCCAACTATGAATTCTTACCTCGCGTTCATCCCCAACCGTGGCCGAATTTCTTCACCGTCGATGATAACTTGCTACGCAAGGACGCTGAATCCACGCCGGGTGGTTTATCACAGCGATGGTGCCTCAATTCGAAGGTGGTCTCCTTCGCTTTGGAGCCTCTTATCATCGAAAAGATGTCTTTAAAGCTTCTCAGTTTAGGCGCTGGTTCTGTATGCAATGTCGAGTCCGAGGCCCTCGTCAGCCCAGAGACTCCACACATCGCGCCAGAAGAGCTGCGGGAGTCCAATTTCCTCCTGGACGTCCAGAAGCTAACTCTGGGTGATCGCGTTCCGACTCCTCTCAACTTTGCACTGGAAATTGACTGGCGCCGGCGTTCATCTGATGATAGAACTTCCAACGATGTCACCACGAGTATCCTGGACATCCCCCGCTTCATTGTCCCCATGGGCGAACCCCGAGTCCTTTGTTCGGCATCACCCTCCAATACCCTATCGGGACTGATTCACCTTGAGTACACTCTGGAGAACCCTTCTACGCATTTCCTCACATTCAACTTGATGATGGAAGCCAGCGAGCACTTTGCTTTCAGTGGGCCCAAGACCACCGTCGTCCAGCTCGTGCCTTTGAGCCGTCATACGGTACGGTACAATATCCTAGCCGCGAAACGTGGGCTTTGGATCCAACCTCAGCTTGTTATTGTCGATACATACTTTAACAAGACTCTTCGCGTTCTTCCAACCGGAGAAATGCGTGCAGACAAGAAAGGGATCTTAGTATGGGTTGATGCGGAAGATTAAACTCATGGTGTATTTTGGGGTGTACTTCAGTGACGTCGAAAAATACCACGAAACTTGTATTTAGGCATTTAACGAATTCTTATGAAGACTTCTTTAGAATTCGATGTTCTCTGTGTACACTGTAATCCAATACACAAGTCGAAGTAATCCGCGGAGGATTAGTCACGTGAACCGTCCTTATCACTTTCCGCCCCCCCAAAGCAGTTAGCGGCGATCGGCCATCCGCAGCTCTCTCCGCGAGCTTCGTCACTTTGGCTCTTTGCGCTCTGTCCGGTGAGGAATCCTTCGCAGACTTTGATTTTGACGGGGTACAATCTGCTCCTGTTGTCATATTATCTTACGCCCAGAGTGAGCCTCGGTTCACACCCTCCGAACCCCTCTCTTACGCGCCCTCCGACGTGCCTGAATCGACTGCCTGTCGCAGACCCCCTCAGCCATGGCGACTCAAGCGGCGCTAATTGCCGACACGATTGTCGGTATGAAGCGGGCATTGCACAGGGAACAGGACGGTAAGTCGATGTTAAATCTGAACACTGATAAGATACATTGCTAACATCCTGTCTTCGATCAGATTCGGGACCCGACGATTCTATCGCCGAGCCTACAAACCGCGGCAATAAAATGAAAGAAAATGCGAAGTACGTTCGGGAAGGAGCCATGGGGTACATCAATGCAGAGGAATTTTACAAAGAGGTGCGTGAATCTCGGCCGAAGAGACCCTTCCCGGGGCTCTGAGTGGCGGCGGCTTGAAAGACTCCGGGACTGACGTTCGTTGTTATGGATACGAATAGAAGGTCAACCATGCTGGCTACACGCGTTATATTCTGCAGCGAAATCCAATTCGCTATGATTCCGAGGGCGAGGAACTGGACGAGGAGGATGAAGATTCTGAAGCTGACGCCGCTGTGGCCGAGGAGAACCCGTTTTCGGGGATTGCGCTTGAAAGTTTGTGATCCCAATATGCCATTAACTCAGTTGCCCGCAGTACTAATCTAGTCATTGCGCAGCGTTCTTATGTCCCCTGAAGCACCCTTCCGAACTCCCGACCCACCCTTCGTTATCCCAACCCTACACTTCCCCCGCGCTCGACCAAATGACGCTAGCGGTCGAGGAAAAGCTGCGCCAGGAGCGCGCTCTTCTTTGGCGAGCCAGAAATCTTCATCGGCAATTTCTTGGGGACGGCGGCTGGATGCCGTGCGGCCTCCTTGAAAGCCCCGACGACCGGTACATCTTCGAGCCCAAGGTCATGGGTAATGGTCAAAGTGCGTCTCTCCAGGAAATGAGTGGATCTGGGTCACCACCTGCTGGTAATGCCAATGCACCTCAAGAGGCTGAGGCGCAACCTACCGTGAACGGGACGGAGAATGGACCTCAGGGCACAGATAATGATGCGGAAATGGCCGAAGTCCCGGCGGCTTCTGCGGAAACTGCGACGAACAATGATTCCCAGGACCAGATCACACAGCTTAAATCTGAGGAAGCGGACGCTACAGTCACGGATCTTCCACCGCATCCAACCGGCGCAAACGATTCAGCCCAAGAAGACAAGGAGAAAGCTACGGAGGAGATGGATACCTCGAAGGACGGAGAGAAGGCCGACACTGAAGCACATCTCGAGGAGAACGAGGGCGAGGACGAAACTGAGCAGGATGCTGAAATGCACGACGGGTCACCCACGCCGCCTCGTCGCATGACTACTCGTGCCCGAGCCAACGCGACCCAAGACGCGGGATCTCCTACTTCTACCGCCGATACTGCCAGTACCCTCCCAACTCCCCACCCGCTCTTCCTCATCCCGGAAGGGGTTCTCCCAGATGCGAACTTCGGCCTTCCTGCCGCCGAGGCAGAAGAAACACGTCGCTTGCTGTGGTCCTATATCCAAAAACAAGAGGAGACGGTGCGTGGCTTCGAGCACATGCTCGACTCTTTGCTTCGCGCGTGCCACATGAAGGCCGACGTCTTGGAGTGGTGCAAGGCCGAAGGTCACGTTGGTGAAATGAGCGACGGCGAAGATTGGTACGACCGCGAGAAATGGGGCCTTGGAGAGGGAGAGGATCTGAAGAAGGGCACCGATGAGGACGAAGTAGAGACGGTCGACGAGCGCCAGACGACGGCCAAGCGAGGCCGTGGCCGACGACAATAGTCCTCCTTTGTTCCTTTTTGATTTGCCCATAGCGTGGTGTTGGTGGTGTTAGCTCCATGCATCTCATCTCCCACGTCCTTTTTAGCCCGCTTGGGCCAGGTGTCGATATACCCTCGGAGATTGGAAATAGTCAATGCAATTTTATTGGTATCTATTGCCAGACATGCAACTTCATACTGGAGGAGCTCTGTACAAAACCTGCCTCGAGAAAGGAATAGAATTAACCGGCAGTTATCGAAGCCAAGAAGCTGGCTAGTGCCACCTCGGCTGTGGCTTTAGAGCAAATTGATTACGCACACGATGGGGGCTTATAGGATGTTCGCTGTGGGATTTTTGTCGCTGTGGGTGGAGGACTGTCTTTTTTGTCGCGTAGGGAAATAACAAAAGGGTATATAGAAAACACCCGTCGCTTTACTCAGCCTCTGTATCATGGCCAAAACAACGTCTATCGTCTACTGTTCCAGCTTCGTTGAAGATTCGGATGCGTCCGTGTGCTGGAAAATCGTCACCCGCAGCCCGGGTAGGTCCATTCCAGGCTCCTGGGTGACAGGATTAGGTTTTCGAATCTCGGCCTGCCCGAAGATCGCCATGCGCAGATTGTGGATGTTGAATGTTCCAGTCAACCTTGCTGTACACGTATATCCGTTTACTGCTTCTTGCCGCCCTGCTTCTTAGCGCGCTCGCGCTCACGCTTGGCGTAGATCTCGGCAGTGAAGGGGCTGAGGAATCGGTCAGTTTGTTTCTCGAATCTATGATTGAACAGAGAACTTACTCCTCCCACTTCAGAGCGAACCAGTACAGCACAAACACTTGCGCAGTCAGAAGGATACCGGCCACCCTGCCCTTGTACAGAGCTACGCCGAGGAAGTTCAGAGTACTTCCCCAGTACATAGGCGAGCCAGTCACGTTGAATGGGAAGCCGGTAACCGGAGCATCCATGAGAATGCCGAAGTAGTCGCCCAGGTAGGTACCAGTCACACCAAGAGCCCACATACTGGAGAGGACGAGGACGGATCCGAAAACGAACAGAATACCACCCACAATGGGCTGGTGCACGGGTGCGTAGAAGGGCTGCTCCTCCAGAGCGACATGGTACACATGGTCACGCAAGATACCCAGCGAGAAGATAGTGAAGGCGAGGAAATAGCATCCTTTGTACGGGCCACCAAAAATGCGAGTCAATATGTGGTTGTTGTACTCTGTTCGAGACCGTGGTTAGCCGCCTGCAAAAGTACCCGCCGTTGTCCTCGGGTAGAGGGGTCGACCAACCGGCGCGAGCAACGATACTACAGAGGCAATTTAGGTCAGTAATCAGTACAATTGTTTCAGAGAGAGGCCGACTTACTTCCAGAAAATGGGGTTAAATGCAATGGTGGCCGCAGAAACTGCTGGGGTCAGTTCCAATCACATGCAAAATACGCAAAAGGACCAGGGTCGGGGAAGCTCAACAACGTACGAGCCAGCGACGGCGCTGAAAAATCCACAAAATTGGTGAGGCTGGCCATGGTGCAGAAATAGGGAAACTCGGGGGGAAAGAGGTGCAGAGGTGAAGAGGACAGAACAGGGAAGAGGCGGGGGGACCTTAATTGCATTAGCTTCGTGGTCGATTAAGTAAACAAATGACGTTCCAGCTCCGCGAGGTCACGGGATCCGCGATAATGCGACTACTTTGTTGCTGCCCAAGCTTTTTCAGCTGCTTCCGTTGATTCTTTGCACCTCCCTGCTCCTTTCTGGCTTCTGCTTCCCCGTGAAGCTAGACTTTACAACTATCGCGAGCCCCGCGTACCGTCTTGCCTGCCCCGTCAATGCCGTGCCGAGTTCTCCACTCCTAAGCTCCGCCGAGCGGCCGTCATGAGACGTGGAGCTCTTATGCGCGTCCGGGGAGAATGGACCTTCATCATCGCGATCTCGTTCTAGCAGGGGTTGGCGGATTCATCGCTTGGGGTCTGGTGGTGCGCTGGCTGCCGGTCCTCCGATATCTCGGATGGGCCCTGGCCTTGGGGGGCGTGCTGTCCTCTGCTGGGTTTTTGGCGCTGGTCGTCCTCACCGTCCGAAGGCAGAACGACAAGCCTAGCAGCTCGAAGGCTGTCCCTGTGGCTTTTATCACACCCAATAACTGGCGGAGGGATGTGCTCAATGTGCGGAAAAGCTCGCGATACCGGCCACGGCCACTATATCCGCAATCATTTGTCGTCTCGGAAGAAATAGACGGCCTTCTGTCTTTCATTACCCGAGACTTCGTATCCTCATGGTATCACAACATTAGTCCTAACCCCACATTTGCAAACGAAGTTGATCGGGTGATTCGAGTCGCCCTGGAAAACTTTCGGGACAGGCTACTCTCAGAAGATCTGATCTCGTTGGTCGTCTCGCGGGTCTTCCCGATATTGACAGCCCATCTAAAGGAGTACGACATCGCCGAGCGTTCAGTTCGCGGGCGAAATCTCAATCGAAATGTGACGGAATCCGAAGAACTGGACTTGGCTATTGCCAAGAAATTTCGCGAAGGCCGCTTACATCCTGCAGTTGCGCTCTCTTCATCCGATCAAAAGCAGGTCCAGCAAGAATATCTACGCAAGATTTCCGTGGGACTTCTCCCTCAGCTGTTTCCAGAGAGCGTGCTCAATAGTCGGGTTGTATCTGTCCTGATTCGCGAAATCATCTCATGCGCGGTGTTGCTTCCGATCGTGTCAGCACTTTCAGATCCAGATACGTGGAATCAGTTGATGGAGGCATACGGCAGAACTGCTTTGCAGGATCGGAAAACAGTACGAAAGCTTCGAGCTGCGCTGGACGAGCACGCATCTCCGGTTCCAAAGTCAAAACGTGGACAGCCGTTTCCAAGACTTTCGCCCCAGGACTCTGAACGAGCGTTTGAACGTTTTGTTCGGGCCATAAGACGATGTAATAATCTGTCTGATGCCCGTCGTTTCCGTGCGCTTGTGACTAGCCAGTTGAAGCGGGAAAGCATGGTCGAGGGACAAGACCAGGTCTATCTCCGGCGCTTGGAAACTGGTAAAAGGGTCCTGGATCAAAAGGTTTCCAAACTTTCCGTGCCCGGAGAAGCATCTCGGAGACTTGCTGCCGCGGTGAATCCCCGTCAAGAGAGCACGACCGCTGCACAAGAGACTTCTCTTGTGGATGTGATGCACAGTGCATCTGGGCTTTCATATTTCATGGAGTTCATGGACCGCCAGAAGTTGATGCCCATGGTTCAATTCTGGATCGTGGTCGACGGAATCCGAAACCCATTGGAAGACGACTTTGGAGACGAGACGTCATCCGCCTCGGGGACTTGGACAACTGCCGACAGGAATGACATGGCACTTCTTAGTGAAACATACCTCAACAGACCGGAGCTGAAAGTCTCTGACGATTCACGACTTGCAGTCAAGGCCTTCCTGAGCGCGGGCAAACGCGCCACCCCGGAGCAGTATCGCAAGGCTCGAACAGTTGTATTGGCCACCCAGTCTGCCGTTCTGGAAGAAATGGAAAGCACTCATTATCCAAAGTTCAAAGAATCCGATCTATACTGGAAATATCTCGCGTCGGATGAGGCTTCGGGTGCTCAGGTACCAATTCAACACCAATCTCCACCCGCAGTTACCTTTGATGCTCCCGAGAGACGACCTCTGCCTCCTCTTATGGTACGGACGGGCTCACAGCCGGGTACCAGACCGTCAAAAGACCTTCGAAGAGCTGCTGTCTCTTCAAGTGACGTTCGGGGTATGGGCAAGCTATTTGACGATGACGTTTCACCCCGACGATCGATAGACTCTGAGCGCTCTGGCCCTCTTTTTGACGATGACTACGACACAGATAACCTTGCTGCATCTACTGCAAGTCTCGGCAAGGATTCTCAAAATGGCGACAATGATGCTTCGCAGAGTCTAGTCCTTGAAACTATGGAGGCAGCTCTCAACGACATTATCACCAACGAACCGAAAAGTACACGGGTTGAAGACCTGAAAGGCAGCAGCGGTTCCTCTTCTTCGCTTTTCGGATCTGATCCCCCTGAGCCTGCGCGTCGCAATTCATCAGACACACCCCGAGTTGAGGGCCGCCCAGCCGAGAAGAAGAAGAGCATTGCGACACTGGGTCTAGTTGGTCGTGGCCTACGGCATGGTGTCTTTGATGATGACCTATTCCCGGATCAGCAGAAATATCTCGAGGATGAATACGAAGAACCCGTCGGCGAAGAAAAAGACCCAGCAGATGAAGTCCACGAAGCTGCACCCGGCGACCTCGGTCTCACAGAAGCCATCGAAGCCCTCACTACCGATATTGATAAGCTTAGTAGTCAAGATGCTGTAATCGAGGCATTGACCCGGAAGGCCGAACTGACGAATAACACGGCCGAGCTGCGCATCTTACGCAAATCCAAAGCTAGCATCCAGCGTGAGATCCATCGCAAGGAAATGCAGCGGCAGCAGTACATCATTCAAGAGAGCGACAACAGTTTATACGGTCGATCCACGGTCTCCATCAAGTCTATCGTGGTAGGTAAGGAAGAGGACGATGGACGTGAGTTCGCGATGTGTAAGCCACATTCTCTCCACTACAGACCCTCCATCAAGCTAATGTTAGTCTAGATGTCGTCGAAGTTCAGCGAAATGCTGGGGAGCAGATGCCAGCGGCATCATGGGTCATCGCACGCCGCTACAGTGAATTCCACGAGCTTCATCAAAGGCTACGCCTGAGCTACCCATCTGTCCGACACTTGGAATTTCCTCGACGGCGCGTGGTGATGAAACTACAAAAGGAGTTTCTCCAAAAGCGTCGTATTGCCTTGGAGTCCTATCTCCAAAAGCTACTCCAACTCCCCGAAGTCTGCCGCAGCCGTGACCTACGAGCCTTCCTCTCTCAACGAGCCATCCTTCCCCGTGACGATGCCAATTCTCGCAACAGTGAAGGCGAAACCAAAGACCTAGTCACACGAATCTACAACTCCGTCGCAGATGGCATGGACGACTTCCTCGGCAATTTCGGAGTCTTGGATCAGCTATCCACCGCCGGTCAGAATCTCATATCTGCCGCAACGCAACAAAACGGCCCCAGCACCGCTCAAGACCCGGTCCTCGCCACCGAAGACGCCGTGACAGCAGCCGAGGCCGAAGCGGAGCTCAATGCCTTCGAAGATCGCGAACTCGAACCCTTCATCAAACCAATCTGCGACCTCTTCCTCGAAGCCTTCGAGCTAAACCGCGGAAATAATTGGCTTCGCGGCCGTGCCGTCGTCGTCGTTTTGCACCAGCTTCTCGGCGGCACCATCGAGCGTAAAGTCCGTGACGGCGCTCGCTCTCTTGTCCAAGACGATTCTCTTCTACGCTACCTCGCTCTCGCTCGGGATTCCCTCTGGCCCGGGGGCGTCCTGCGCAAGTTTTCCCCTCGGTCTGGACCCGAGCGCCTCAAGAGCCGCGCCGAGGCGACAGTTGTCCTCGCCACGCTCATCCCAGATCTGGCCGGAAGCGTGGTCGGTCGTAGTAATGCCCAAGCTGCAGCCCGTCGCATCTTTGCTACGCTGAATAACCAACCCCTCAATACCCACCTGGTCTTTACTATCCTCGATGAGATCGTACTGGTACTCTTTGGCAGCCGGGAGCCTGGTCGCTCCCGTTGAATGCTGACCCTTCTCATATTTCTGAGCAGGCGTTGCTCATGGGTGTTTTAGTTTCCCTGTTTTTGTCCCGGAGATACGGAATGTTTTCCAGCGACTGTATATACTCATAATAATTACACATGGGGAATCCAACTACATAATTTAGCAAGTCTGACATTCCCTCTACAACGGTGCGAGTCAAGTGCGCGGACTAAGCGGCGCGTTGTGGGCCTGAGTGGATACACCGTGCTTAGCGCGACACCCACTCCCGACGTCAGCTCATCTACATCTACCCGTCATCCTACGAAATGGAAGCAGCTCCCTGTGGAAATTAAGTTGTATTTCCCGAGTGACAAAGGACAGAAACGGATGCCGGTACACCTGGGTGCCCCAGTCCCCGGGTGTTCACCCGCAGATCATAAAACATAGCAAAGTACAAGCCGAAAACTCATGTCTCCCGCGCCCTCTCTTTAATTCTTGCTTCTACATCCCGAGAAACGCGCAATTGCAGAGCAGTCGAAACCGAGGGTATTCCCGCCGGAAAAGGGGGGAAAGAATGGAGAGAGGTCAGTTGATCAAAAAGAAGTCGGTTCTGGGGAGGGGATCAACCCTTGTCGTTTCACGTTGAGATAGTTAAGAGAATAGAACACACAAAGCAGATAAAAGAGACAGTTCAGGGGGGAAGATAGGCATCCGGTGAGGTTGCCAGTATTGGCGGAGCCAATCTATGCCAGGGCGGCTTCTTCCTTTGCCTTCTTCTTGGCCTTTTTGCTGCTGGGCTGTTGTGCGGTGTTCTCTTTCTTCTGGTGAACGATTAGGCGTGTCCAGGACTCGTCTTTGTCCCACTCGAAGCCGGCGAGGTAGGGACTTTCCAACTCGTCGTCCGCCTGGAAGTTCGGGTCAGAAAAGGCACTGGGTAGCTGTATAGAGTGAGAGATGGGGCTTACCTTCTTCTTGAACTGCTTGTAGATGGCGTCTAATGCGTCCTTGATTGTGACGCCTTTCAAGTTCCGGGCGGTGACGTGGAGGCCCAGAGGGAAGTCCAGGTCAATCTTCTTGACCGGAGGGTTAACGAGGTACAGCTTGAGGATATCTTTGTCCTCCACTGTTGATGGGGAAGTGTTCAGTTTCCTTTGGGGGGAGGGAAGTCAGCGGTTGGGAAAGTAAGATGAATGGAGGCCAACGTACCACCCAGTCTTCTGGGTTTCGATGGGGAGAGTGAGTTCGATCTTTTGTTTCTCTGGAGAAGAGATCAGCTAGAGTAGGAGTGGGCTGGGGAAACTGTACTTACCAAGATCATTGATGTTCCAGACACCTTCTGATGCCGTGGAGGAGACACGCCTGTGGCCCTTCTTATCCTTGGAAACCTCTTTCTCGGTGGGTTCGGGGGCTTTGTCGTCTATAGACAAGCCAGCGATGGCAGAATCGACCTTGGTGAGTGGAACAGACATGATGGACAGATGGATGGATGATGAAGGAAGAAAGAAGGGGAGAGGAGAAGAGAAGGGGGAGAGAGAGGGGAGAGTGCAGGTGACCACCTTCCCCCGCCCAAGTCAAGGATGTCATCCGCGTATGAGAGGCTTCGATACTCCCTGGAAGTAGTACACCCTTTACCCACCCTGTGGTCCGCCTTCATCTCTACTGTACTCTATACTCATTCTCTTCTACTATCTACCTCACTGCACTCTTTTATCCTCCGTGGAATACCATCCCCGGCAGTCCCGGATGGCAGCAACTGACATCAGGGGAAGATTGTCTGGCTCGGACGGCAACCAATCTGGGAGCTGCACCCCGCATTCTGCTCCACCCAGACTTTATTTGAGACCTAACTATGACTCCGGCGCGGAATTGTCTCGTCGTGCATGGGATATAACTCGGACACGATTGAATTGAGCTCGTATTATACATCCCCGTAGTGATAAGTGACAGTAAATCACCCAATTCCATCAAACGGGGAGTCAAGTCGAGGATCCGAGGATCACCTGATGTCATGGGCACACGCGACCATCAGCCCACTTCACCTCCACTCACAATCGGCCTTGAACATGCCATCCCCTCATTCCCTTTCCCTTGCATTTACCTTTCTGAGTACTGGAGCCTATCAATCGTCTACCTCTGATGCTCTTGGTGCAGAGTAGCCGATGGAGATACACGTCGATCCTCTTTCATGATGGAACCAGGGTGGATCCGCCGGTTCTCCACAAAATTCGGGCTCCTCCCCCACAGAGTCCGTGCTCACAGCGTTACGCTCACGGCATTGTGCCCCATCCTCATACCCCGGCCCGAGCTATCTCAATTTTTGGTTGCTGATATATCATTTCTGGATACCGATGAACTCGGCTCTCGTTGATTCCGATTACGATCTTGATGCTGGTTGCGGATAGCGCGGCCGCGCAGAGAGCGATCGGCATCCCGTATACTGATTCAAGACATGCGTCATGCAGAAGCATCATTGATTGCGGAACATAGCGAGCAAACTAACTACACGCACTTGGGACCTCAGGTGCTGTCACCACGTAATTTATCCCATTCAGCGATAATCCCGATCGTCGAGAGTGTGAGCCTACCAAGACAACACAACACTTTCACCATATCCCTCCAACCCAGCCTACATGAGGAGCATGGCCATCAGCAAAGCAAGAACGGATGTGATGCTGATATCAGTCAAGTAGCGCAAGCTGTCCGCCGAGTTTGTGGCGCTCGAGCCCGAGATTTTCGTGCTGGTTGATGAGCCAGTTGTGGAAGTGGAAGATTGTTGAGCACTCGCTTTACCGAGTATGCCGCCTTGGACCATGGCCGGCACACTGTCACCACTTGCACTCGCGGCTGCCTTCTTGAACGCGTCGAGTGTGTCCGGGCCACTCCTGATAAGACAGGTTAGTATCGGCTTGGGAAGTGGCCACGATAGAACCTACCCGGGATTGATCACGCCGACCATGCCGGCCTGGCAATGTCCGGTCTGGCCGCAATAAAACCAAATAGGATTGGTGTCATTGACGGTCAGGGTGAAGACGGCGGACTAAAATGTCAGCGGGTCATACCAGCGCGCACCTTCGCGGCACGTACCGATTCACCACTACTGGGCGCCACAAACCCACTGAAGAAGCTGCTGCTATTCAGTGGATGGCACGGATTGTCAAAGGACGCCTGGGTCACCGAGTGGTCTCCCGGGAAGAAGTGAAACTCCACTTTGTCTCCGGCAGCGACATTGAGGGTGTCGGGGTCAAACGTCAGGCCGGCTTTGCCAACGTTAATCGATTGGATGGAACCAGACGACGAAACGCTCTTCGTTGCGGCTGCAGTCGTTGTGGTCGTGGTCATGGTCATGTCTGAGCTCCCACCGCCTCCATACTGCGCACTAACGAGATGAGTCCATAATATAAAGGCATAGAAAGAGGTGACGATCATTGTTGGTATTGACTGAATAAGCTGCCGAAGAAGTAATTGCTTGTCTGAAGAGTCAGGGTCAAGCAAATTGCATCCTTTTATACCTTTATCCATAGCACAAGCGGTATGAGATGTCGTACTCTACTCCATATACCGTCTACGGTCACGAAGAAGCATGACAAATTAAAGCTTCAACATAGCCACATGGCCATTTGCCCGAGACGGTTTCCAGATCATTTCTCCCCTTCCATACGCAAGCCTAAATAACTCATTTCTCAAAGTAGAAAGTGGTCAAGAATATCCCATTGGACCCGTCGTAGAGTTACATGGTCTCAACGGGGGACACCTTTAGTCATGAATTATGGCAGCATGTCTAGCTGGAATCTAGACTGACCTAAATCCTCGTGGTGATGGATCGTCATGCTGAATTCGGGGCAGCTGGATTAATTTGAATTGCTCGTTTTCGTATTTTCGTTCCATGGGAGGCGTATCACCAAGCCAGCCACAAGGTTTGGACTGCTCGGCTGCCCTCTTACCTGGATTTGGCATGGAGGCTTAGCCGCACGTGGAAATCGCTTTTCCATGGATGATAATACTAGATGGACAGTCATTCGTTTTAGCTCTTCCTGCATTCTCTCATGTAGATGTAGCATGGTTGGCTTTTTACGGACGGACTGCGTTGGTACATAGGGAGATGACGGTTGGTATCTGTTCCTGCCAACTTGTAGTTTGCCGGCCCTGTGTCAAACCTTTGTAGCTTTCATGGCCCTCTGTCTTGGTGTTTTTTTGGAGCCCTACGGCATCGAAAGGAGCAAGGCTACCTAGAAGACAGGAAGGTTTATAGCAAGACAATGCAAACCAGACAAAGAGGACAGCAACCCGAGAGCCTGAGGCCAAAAGGCGCATCAGATGGGATCATTCAGCCTGCAGGCCAGCAGCAGCAGACACAACCATGATGAGTATCTACACAGTACAACCGCAGCCAGAAAAAAAGAACGACAGCGGTGTGATTCGAACACACGCATCCGAAGATATATGATTTCGAGTCATACGCCTTAGACCACTCGGCCACACTGCCTTACATAATATTTTCCTGATCGGGAATTGCCACATGGACACCTCTTGATTAATGAACATCCCCACGATAAGTTATTAGGTAAGGTGTGGTTTTTGTATTATCATCTGCATCTATACCGCGCCATCCAAAAACAGTACAGCCTCGGTTGTTCCGCAGTGCTAGGTCCCCCCAAGTCCCTGCCGGTCGACCATCAACTATCCCCGATGTGATGCTGGACGCTCTTTGTGACCATCTTGCAGAGAAGCCTAGCCTCTATGTCGGTGCAAAAAAGGAGAGCGCCGAGGGCCATTCCCGAAATGCAGGGATAAAAATAGAGAAGGGATGAGTAGCTAGCTGCCTTATTGTAGATGGCAGATTCCCCATGACCACTCAAGCTTTGTCTCTCAGCCTCTGTCCAAAGCCGCTCTAATGTTACGATTCCTGCCAACAATCTGAGGGACTGCTCAACCTCCAATGGGGCCATCGAGAGCCAAGTTCCCAGGAGCCCAGCGGTCGCTAATTCCGAAGGGGTAAGGTGGCAGTATGAGTCATCTTGGACTTAATTTCGCTGGCAAAGATGATCATGTTTTCCGTACCTACTTTTATATTTGATGGAATACAACGAACTTTCTGCAAACACCTAACATCTAGTATGGCTTTATCTGCAGCAAATTCACGTCTGAAGGTAATTGTTATAGGGGCCGGTCCTGTTGGTCTCTGCACGGCCGCGGCCTTGAGGCAAGAGGGCCACAGTGTTACCGTTCTCGAGCGGCGACGAGATACACAACCCCATGGCCACGCCTTAGTGATCCAGCCAGCGGCGGTCAGGGCACTCCAGCACCTAAAAGGGGCGGACAAGGCTTTCAGCAGTGTCAGTGTTGACGCAGGGGCGCTACGCTGGTGGTCGTATAGGGATACCAAGCCCTTTGCGGCCCCCCTAGCGGCTGAAACCCTGTCACGTACGGAACGGAGATTCCAAACTGACCGGCCCTCAGTACAGAGAGTACTAAATGAGCTTGCGGTTGCCAGTGGTGCCGAGATTCTTTTCGGGAGAGCTGTGCAAGGGATTCAAGATCTCGGGGTGAAGCCAAGTCTTTGGACAACCCAGGGAGAGAAGTTTACCGCGGACTTAATTGTAGCAGCAGATGGTATGTCCGACATTGGCCTCATAGAAGCTGCGTCAAGTGTACTTATAACTAACCTACCTATCCTGATATAGGTATCAAATCTGCTACCCGCAAAATCCTCTTTCCAGCACGGGATGTCGACCCAATTCCATTGAGAGAGTCTATCTTCCTGACAAGCGCGCCCATCTCTCAGCTCGCTCAGGACGCTCGAATAAGGCCATGGCTCGAATCAGGAACCAAACATGGTATATTAGGGCCCGATCGGTTTATTTTAAGTCGGCCCATGTACGGTGGTCTCCTCGGGGTGCAGTTTATTGACGTCGACCATGCGGATCCGGGCCCAGTGGACGTCAACTGGAATACACCAGCCGATATTGGTTTACTCCGCACGCGTTTCTCTGACTTCAATATGACAACGAGAGCATTCTTGGAGCATATCCAGCACGCAGAGAAATGGCAGATGGCTACGGGGGCAGAGCTGGGTACGTGGCGAAGTGCTAGTGGTCGTATCGTGCTGCTCGGCGATGCAGCCCACGCCATGCTACCACATGCCGCCCAAGGTCTGAGCCAGGGAATTGAAGATGCTTTGAGTTTGGCTCGCATGTTACGCTGGGCGTCGAAATCGGGCGATAATGGTGTCGATATCCCGGTTGTAACAAAGGCGTGGGTCAACTTGCGTAAGCCGCGAGCCGACATTTTCATGAAACAGTCCACAAGCAACGCAAACATTTGGAGTCTACCAGATGGGCCGGAACAGGAGGCAAGGGACGAGATGATAAGGCGGATGATAACTCGCCCACCACCGGATCTCAATGGCGTGGAAATGGACATGACGGCTGATCAGAAATCGCCACAATTTCTCAAATGGGTGAGAGATTATGATGTGGTACTAGAGGTACGTACTAACGCATTGTGATTTGTGCAAAAGGCCGTTTACTTGTTGCCATACTAACGTTATTACGTTCTCTTTCAGGGCGAGCGAGCGATGGAAAAGGTCTCATCGGGGTAGATAGCTTCCCTCGGAAAGTCTTGCCCTATTCCGTAGCGCAGTAGGCGTGATATATACGATTGGGCCAAACATGAAATCATCCGTCACGGGATGGAACGGCTAGCATAGAACCATTGCAACGACCGTAGCTCCATTGGTCTGGGTTGTGTTCTCACACACGCCCTCACTTACTCACAATTATCTTATAAACAATAGTAGCAACGTACGGTAAACTAAAACGGAACAAATTATATAGACCAAACCATACAAACAAACGCCAGGATGCAGTACGCCCCATCAAACTCAGAAAAATGCCATATTCTCAGTAATCGACTATGGGGCCAGCCACACTTGGGGTAAGAAAAAAAGGTGTCAAGTCTATCCGACATCTCCAGCCATTTGCAGTCTTCCCTCACGGCTGTTTCACGAGGTCCGGGAATCACAAGATGCTCGTCAGGTGAAGACCTGGGAAGGGACGAAGTTACCGCTAAAGCACGCGCTGTTTGTGCTAGGCAGAACATTGATACTAATTGGAGGATATTTTAATCCAGATGTCATCTCTCATACTTCTGACATGGAAGGCGATAATGGTCGCTACTGTAATAGAGGAGTCCACCTAGCAATTATTAACTTATCCAGTTCCTTTTAATGATAGTTAATAAGAAGATAAAAAAAAAAAACTACGATGAATCGATGGCTGCGGGGTTCGAACCCAGCCGAACCAAGAAAAGGAAAAGGAAAAGGAAAAGGAAAAGGAAAAAGGAAAAAAGAGAAACGACAGCGGTGTGATTCGAACACACGCATCCGAAGATATATGATTTCGAGTCATACGCCTTAGACCACTCGGCCACACTGCCTTACATGATGAGATCATGACCATTTTTTAATTTATAATGGAACACTTCAGGGTACCATTTCACTTTACCTTTCATCAGAATCATTATTAGTTAATATGTAAACAATTTGTAAACGGTAAGCAGAAGATAATGTCTCGTTTTGGTATGTGACTAGCTATTAGAGGGAAGGTGTAAGGAACACAGCTTTAGCAGATTGTCTTGCGGTCTGTATGCGATGCATTGCGGGTCTGTTCTACTGTAGTTTTATATCATGACACGCCACGGAATGACCTTCAAGTCGAGGAACCCCTTCTTTTGCGATTCTTCAAGAATTCAGTGTTTGTATATATCCAGTTGATTTGATCTTGCCAATCTTACCCCTTCACCCTCCGGTCTCTATTCTGTTGTAGATTCCTCGCCTGATCGTCCAACTGCTTGGGTTGAGATCACTGCTCTTATATTAGCGCAGTACCTAGTACCTTCTGTAAGACAACTTTATAGACCCAAACCTAGGTTAGACATACCAGATTAGATAACGGTACAACTGCGAGTCGACAACCGAAAAGAGACGAGTTATGCCTAGAAGGCCGTATTTACTGTCTAGCCGGCTCAGCACAAACCCTTACTGCTCGGCTGAGAGGACGAGAAGCCTGTCCTCCACACCCTATATTCGTATGTACTAATAGTTTCACACAAGGGACTGATAAAAACAAATACATAACATGTATTGTGAGCAGCAGGGTGCCCAAGTGACTTCATCTAGTAAGATTTCCTTAGAATCTCTGTCATGACATGTTACTTAGAGTGACGGTGTCCCTTGACTGGGCTTAGTAATAGCTCCGGAGAACCGAAAGGTAGACACATGGGGTTTCTTGCTTGCCAACCCAATTGTCTAGGTGCACATGTTGCATCCAAAGTATACCGACAAATAGGGATGTTTTTTCTCCGCCTACCTCAGTCAACTGTTGTCCGTAGGCACCAGCGCCATCATAAAGATAGGCACGCAAAGAATCGATTGATGATGTGACTACAGAATAAATCACCACGTATGGAGAAAGCAATCCGTGGCTAAGTCTTTGTGTACTGCAGTCCAAACAGGCAAAGACACGTGATGCGAGACGCAGTATTAATAACATTGAAACGAAGAGAAATCGAGGATATCGAGTCGCTAGAAGTCAAACAGTTCGGAAAATAGAGGATAACCCCGGAGACGAAAATCTGATCGCAGCTTCCTGAGTGACGATAAATAGCAAGCTCATTGCCCAGATGATTTGACGTATAGTTCATCCAAAGCGGTGAATGCCGTTTTTCTGCCGACTGCATCGCGCATCTCAAATCGAGTCCAGTTCAAGCAGCAGTCACCTTTTCCCAGCTCTCCCCACACCCTCTCGACCTCACTGCCTCGACCTCGTGCCTATCTGTGGGGGTCTTCGGTTCCTCCTGACTGGTGGCCTTCTTCCCACCCTCGTCTACCTCACACCTTTTGCTCTTTTTCATACCCAAAACAGAGCTCTCTCGCGCACTTTCGCGCCCTCCGCGATGTCTTTCTTCGGTAGTGGTGCCGCCACTGCGACAGCGGGTCAGACCAACACCACTGGCGATATCTCCAAGGATGTGCAGCTTAACCAGCCCCCTGAGGACAGTATCTCGGATATGCGGTTCTCGCCCGCTAGTGATCACCTAGCTGTCGCATCATGGGACAAGAAAGTTCGCATCTACGAAATCAATGAACAAGGACAAAGTGAAGGAAAGGCAATGTTCGAACATGAAGCTCCAGTCTTGAACTGTTGCTGGTCTCCGGTGAGCTTCTTCTCTCTTTCATTTATTTTCCACTCACCAAACTAACCATTGTCTTTTTTTTTTCCCCCAGGACGGAACCAAGGTCGTCGGTGCCGGTGCTGATAAAGCTGCTCGACTGTTGGACCTTGGTGCGAACGGTGCCCCCGCCACGCAGGTCGCTGCCCACGATGCCCCGATTCGAAGCTGCCACATGATTCCCAACCCAACGGTAGGCGGCCAACCGCTTCTCATCACCGGATCGTGGGACAAGACGGTCAAGTACTGGGATTTGCGACAACAGACCCCAATTGCGTCGTTAGAGTGTCAGGAGCGCATCTATAGCATGGATGTCAAAAACAAGCTGCTGGTGGTCGGTACCGCTGACCGCTACATCAACGTGATCAATCTCGACAACCCGACCAAGATCTACAAGGCCGATCAATCCCCTCTCAAGTGGCAGACGCGGGTAGTCAGCTGCTTCAGCGATGCCTCCGGTTACGCCGTCGGCAGTATTGAAGGTCGCTGCGCTATCCACTACGTCGAGGAGAAGGACCAGTCCGCCAACTTCTCCTTCAAGTGCCACCGCGAGACCCCGCCCGCCAATCGCGACATCTGTAACATCTACTCCGTCAACGCCATCTCGTTCCACCCCGTTCACGGCACCTTCAGCACCGCCGGTAGCGACGGTACCTTCCACTTCTGGGACAAGGACGCGAAACACCGTCTGAAGGGTTATCCGGCCGTCGGCGGACCCATCTCCTCTACTGCTTTCAACCGCACCGGAAGCATCTTCGCCTACGCTGTCAGCTACGACTGGAGCAAGGGTTACTCCGCCAACACCCCGCAGACCCCCAACAAGGTTATGCTGCATCCCGTGGGCCCCGACGAGACAAAACCCCGTCCTGGTACCAAACGGCGGTGATCGGAGAGGCTGTTTTCTTTTATGGTTGGCTTCGTGGTGGACGGGCCATTGGCGCTATGAGCATGTTAATGAAACCTTCCTGTCATATCGGCGTGTATTGTTTAAAGAGAATTGCAAAATGGGATTCTTCGAGCTTGATTTCTTTTTTTTTCCCTCTAGATAGTGCCCTTCATCAAAATCATCATCCCAATCTACTTGTCCTATGTCGCTTATGGTAGTCTGAATTTGGTAGTTGGAAGCCCATAGTTGATAGGATCCTTAGGAAAGTCAATATCAAATGCAATGCTACTCCCACTCTTTCCAGAACACCCTTTCTCGTAGATTCATGTTGATATGGTAAAATGCCAGTCATCGAGTATACCCTTTCCGAAACCACATCATTCGTCCAAACCGTGACCCATGACCAATAAACCACAATGTCGTGCGCCGAATCCACTTCCTCTATTCTCTTTCACTTCATCTCTCTGTATGCTTACGAAGTGGGGAGAGTGACTTGGGCCACGCCGTCGGTGACCTTTTCAATACCCTCTTCGACGCTGGGGCTCTCGGCACCACCCTTGGCAGTGGCCTCGACGCCGGTAGCCTTGGTGGCTTTCTTCGCGTTCTTCTTGGCCTTGGCTGCGGCCTTCTTAGCAGCAACCTTAGCGGCCTCTTCGGCCTTCTTGGCTCTCTCGGCTTGCGATCCGCCAAACACCTCGCGCCACTCGTCGGCCTTCTTGGGATCAATGCGAGAGAACAGGTACTCAGCCTTGCCAATCTTGTGGCCGGCCTTGAGACAGGTAGGCTTCCAGCCGTCCTTGAGATCATCCAGCGTGGGGATCAACAAAACGGGGGCATCCAGCTGCCTCAGCATGGACTTGGCGGTGGCAGGCATGTACGGGGAGAACAAGGCGGACAGCAGGTGGATCAAGTTCAGCACGGTACCCACGACGGCTGCGGCGCGCTCGGGATCATTGGCAATGAGAGAGTTGTCCAGGCGGTTGGCCTGGATCAGACCGTTGCCAACCTCGGTGATTCTCATGGCGGTCTGGACGCCGGCACGGAGGTGGACACTTTCCATCTCCTCAACGTACTGGCGGGTGAAGGTGGTGATCTCCTCCAGGTACGGCTTGAAGTCCTCAGGGGCAGAGAACTCGGGGATCACGCCGCCGTAGGAAGCAGTAACAAGCTTGATGACACGGTTGACCAGGTTGCCCAGCTTCGCCAGCAGCTCGCTGTTGTTGGCGTCAACGAATGCACGCCATTCGAATTGTGTATCGCCGGTCTCAGGGCGGTTCTTAAGCAGGTAGTATCTCCACACATCCGCAGGTACACCGGTCTCCTTGGCGTTGGTGCCGAACACACCAATGCCACGCGACTTACTGAACTTACCACCCTCGTAGTTCAAGTATTCTGTGGCACTCAGGTGGTGGTTCATAGTCCAGGGGTCCCGAGTACCGATCTGGGTAGCCGGGAAAATGACACTGTGGAAAGGCACATTGTCCTTACCCAGGAACTGGTACAGCTTCACGTCCTCCGGGTTGCGCCACCAGAGCTCCCAGTCCTTGGTGTAGTTGGCGGTGATCGAAGGGTAGCCAATACAAGCCTCGAACCACACATACAGCACCTTGTTGTCGAAGCCCTCCAACGGGACGGGAACACCCCACTTCAGATCACGGGTGATGCCACGGTCCTTCAATCCTTCTTTCAACCAAGACTCAGTGATGACACGCGAGTTCTTCGGCCATTCACCCTTCTCGATGGCCTCATTCGCCCACTTCTCAACCTCCGGCTGGAGCTTGTCCAACAGCAGGTGGATGTGTTTGGTCTCGCGGCGAACCGGGGTAGCTCCATCGAGCTTGCAGCGGGGCTTGATAAGATCGAAGGGATCGAGGAGGTGACCGCACTTGTCGCACTGATCTCCACGCGCATCGTCATAGTGACACCGGGGGCATTCACCCTCAACGTAACGATCCGCTAAGAACGAGCCGTGCTGTTCACAGAACGGTTGCTCGGCCGTCCGCTCACCCAGGAAACCGTTATCCCAGAGGCGCTTGAAGATGGCCTGAGAGATCTCAGTGTGCTTCTCAGTAGGAGTGCGACCGAAGTGGTCAAAGCCAATGTTGAACCACTCGTACACTTCCTGATGGATCTTGTTGTACTTGGCGCAAAGCTCCTCCGGCGTCACCTTCTCCTCCAGCGCCTTGGTTTCAGTTGCTGTACCATATTCGTCCGTTCCGCAAATGTATAGAGTTGGCCGTCCGCAGGCCTTGTGGTATCTAACATTTGAGCATTAGCACGTTCTTCATGATATGGGGTGTTGAGTCATACCTCGCAAAGGCATCAGCACTCAGCACGGAGCCGACGACGTTGCCCAGGTGAGGAACATTGTTCACGTAGGGCAATGCGCTAGTAACGAGAATATTGCGCTCGCCCTTCTTGGGCAGAATCGTTTCTGACGCCATTGTGGTTGTGGGAGTTGTAAATGATGGAGGGGCTTGCGGCGGGAAAATCGAAAAGTGGGCATCTCGTGACATTACAGCATATCCGCCCCGCATATCAAATTTCCTTTGTCCGTCCTTGACTCATCACATCGATTTTCCCAAATGGAGCCAAACATGCTCGATAGTCTCCTCGACTTGGAGGAGCAGTTCTATAATGAAGGCTTTGACCTGGGAGCCGCCGATGGCGCCAAGGCGGGGTACACCGAGGGCAGCGTCTTCGCCGTCGAGAAAGGCTTCGAGAAATTCGTGGAGTTGGGCCGCCTCTATGGCAAAGCTCTAGTCTGGGCTCAACGGCTCGCAGATTCAAAGTCGCCAGAAGCTTCGGAACAACCATTGAGTCAGCCGGTGTCCGCAGATGTCCTCTCTCTCGGTCCGTCAATCTGCAAAGAAATGCCGAGTCTTCCGTCGCATAGTGCGCGGTTGACCAGAAACCTCGAAATCCTGCTGGAGCTAGTTGATCCAGCTTCTCTAGATATGAGAAATACCGAGGAAGCCGTGAACGACGTGGATGAGCGGCTGAAAGGCGCTGCTGTCAAAGCCAAGCTCATCCAGAGAGCCATGGGCGAGAGCGAAGAGCCTCTAGGTACTCGATCAAATGCTAAAGATGGCCAGAGGCCGGGTGATGGAACGGGCAGCATCGAAGACATCAGCTCGTTGAACGTTCGCCACTGAAGCGATCAGACAAATTCATCAAATGAATCATGTCTGGCCTTTCCTATCACCATCCGCAAGCAACACGGTTCTATACAAAACCCTCAGTCTTGCACATGAGGGCGTCGGGTGTAATTGCAACCTCTGCGCTCTTCAGTGCTTTATGTCCGAGAAGACATGCGCTGGAGACTATTCCATCGGCAACTCTGGCTCGGCTCCTCGCCGATCATGCGCACCAGCTCTTCAAAATCTCCATTGAGATAGTTTCCCAATGGTCCCAATGATTGAAAGTTGCCGCGTGGGTCTAACGCCGTATATATACGCCCTACCGTTGCTGTTGCTACTGGTATAAGGGGAAGGTGAAGAGTGGCAGTTGCTTGACTTCAGAGTTGTGTTGTTCAGTGACCCCTTCAAGTGCTGGGGATAGCTTCAGACAGCGCCAGCGAGTTGAGGTGGGCGGATAGAAGCATTTGCTCCGCCTGATTGTTCTTTCCAACGTTATGTCTATATTCGCGTTGACGCCTCAAGCGGTGAGAGCTCCACCACTGCACTAGACGACTGTTATCCGGCAAAGCCTAAGATATTCGAGGTACACTAGTAAACTACGAAAAGCTAGGAAATCTACAGGTTTTAGATCGAGGCTTGATCGATGATTTGGGAATCTTCATGTGATATCATAGATAAATTCTGACATAACCCAAAGCCAGACATAACTTTTGTCTCGTGTCATCCGTATACCTCAAAAACTAGTCATAAATCATTGCTCAAGGCTTCGCACAGCCATGGCCATGGCACCCTCACGGGTCTGGTGACCGCCAATGAAACCGCTGGCGTGCACGAAGATTGCGCCCGCGGGGAGCTTGGACTGACCGGCCTTCTCGGCCTCGGAAGCCATGACACCATCCAGGTCCTGATCGCGGACACCGCGCCAGGCCTCGGGCAGGGGCTTCCGGGACTCGAAGCTGCTCTCAGACACAGAGACACACTGCACGCGCCACTTGGAGTCTTCGGCGGCGCTCTCGGGATAAAGAACGTAGTAGACCTGCGCCGCACGATCAATCTCCTTGCCGTTTGAAGCATCCTTCTCAAAGTTGTACAGATGCTCCTTCCAGGGAACACCACCCTGTGGCAACACGAGAATGCGGCCGGAGGAATGGGCGTCGGTGCGCGCCTGGTACGCAGCTCCAACGGTGGTGCGGGCCGGGAGCCACGAGGAGCTGGCGTGGTGAAGCTTGCGGGCGAAGACATTGCCGATGAGTGTGCTGGCCCGGCCGAACAGACTATCCTCGTCCTGGGGCTCACCCGGCGGGCTGGTGGGGTCCGGGTTGTTCATGTCGTTGACAATGGAAGCGAGAGTGACTCCGCCATCCTTAAAGCGCTTCTCCAGGTTGGCAGCAGAAACCGCGGCGGGGTCGTAGGCGGAAATACCGTTGTCATTGGCATCAATGGCCTCGACAAAGTCCGTGTAAAGCTTCTCGTAGAGGAGGTCGACATCGGCATGGTCCTCGGGCAGGGACATGTGCTGGGCAATGATGGCACGGCCAAAGTGCATGTACACTAGACCAGCAGATGAGAGCTTGGTGTTGTGCTTGGGGAAGGTGGTGGAGAAGGTGCGCTGGTGGTGATCAAAGCGGTTGATGGCAGCGTCGTACACGCCACCAACGTCGACCACGGTGTGGCATGTCTCTAGCTGAGCCGGGTCGCGGGTACGCACCAGCGGAGAAGAGGCGTAGGTGGGGAGCAGGCGAAGCATGTAGACCGCCAGGGCCTCATCGGCGTGGAAGTGACCACTAGACGATAAGTTAGTTTATCGTATTTAAGGGGATGGAAATGACGCTAGAACTTACCTATGAGTCCCAATCAAGGGGGACGAGGTCTTGAGCTTCTTAGCAGCAGTTTCGGCCATATTGAACCAGCGACGGAAGCGAAGCATATAAGCAAGAAAGAAGAGGATATAGAAATGCTCGAGCTTATGATTTGCCGGGCTCTGGCTGGCTGCTTGGCTTATCTGCCCGTCTGTATCGGGGAATCAGGGCTTTATCCTAGGGCCCGGCAAGTCACCTGATTGGGCCTTAGCTCGCCGTTTGCGGAAACGTGCACAACAATGGGTGCAAGTACCGATACTTTGATCTCTGTATCCCGCACCGCATAGAGCAAGTACTGGTACTTCTTCCTTTTATCTATCAGGCCTCCCTCCCCGTGGTTCACGTCCCCGAGCTTCTGCCGGATGCCGTTATCGACTCTACCTGGGTAGTGATCGTGTGCTTCTTGCTCACTCCGTAGAATAATGAAGCTATAGGCCGATCCAGATCGGACAAGCCCAGATGTCCCGTGTGCTCTGACCGCCAATTTGACCCCTGGTACATGTAGATTTCTTTTCTCACCTCTGGATGCACGAGAAGCTTTCACTAGCATAAAACCTTCAGGGCCAACTCTGTACCTTGGGGAAGTGAGCTTACCTGGAGTTGTACATCTCTCTACCTTCTCCATTCTTAGAACTTCATCTCCAGCGTTACACCCTGCGCATTCGCAATTCGCTCCTTGACCCCTCGAGCGGGCCCACGTGAAAGTTGATAACGTCGAGAAAAAGAAAAATAGTCGTGTGCATTTCCCCCCCTTCTCCTCTTCACCACCTCCGTCGCGATACCTGCTGCGCGCCGCCCCGCGCGTCCTCTTCCCCGATGTGGCTCGTTCGAGTCTTCTCGTCGGCCCTTTTCCTCGCCGTGACCGTATCCTCCATTCCTCTCGCTTTCGATGTCGGCGGCAAGACGTGCGGTCTGGCCTTTTCGCTATCCCTGGCCACCTTCTACTTCCTCTTCTCTCTGCTGAGGCTTACGACACCTGAGCGCTCCTGGGTCCGTTCCTCCCTCGTCACCGTCATCCGATGCACACAGTGGATCCTGATTCCGATCCTGTTGATCTGGTCTCTTAATCGCTTCTCGGTCGACACGGACAGCAACGGTGGATGGGTGGAGCGCACCTTCAGCGGGAAGCGGGCACAGGATAGCTCCGTTCAGGAGTGGCTCTTCGGTCGCGATGGTCTGGTCGAGAGAGTGACCCTGGGCAACTGGGACCGACTTCTGAGATGGTCGACTCCCGTCTTTCAACTGGCGGAAGGCTTTTGCAGTTTACTAGTGATCCAGGCCGCTGGACAGATTACTCGCTGGCTCGTGAACCGAGGTGGACGAAGCGACAGCTGGATGGTATGTGTGCTCTGATAACCTTTTATGTGTTGCGACGCGAACTAACTCGGTGGACAGATCGGTCTTTTGGTCCTTTCGGCCACCATCATCTCCAGCTCGGTCTACTTCCTCTGGCGTGTTCTTCAATTCCCCGAGATCTCCAACGTGGATGCCGCTCTGATCGGGGTCTCCGTTACATGCGCAGTTATCCTGTGCGCCTGGGGCATTGGCAGTGGGCGCGGAAACCCCGTAGAGAGCTCTCTGCTCTTTGCCTATGTCGTTCTCTGCATCTATCAGATCTTCACGGACTATCAGCCCTCGTACCCAGTGGAGCATGTTCCTTCGCCTTCTCAGGCTGGCGACTTTCCCCCGCTCCCGCCCATTATCATGGCGTCGTACACCACTCTCATGCATGCGCTATCCCTGCTGCCATCGATCATCCATGCGGCGTTTAACGTGATCAATGCTGTTTTCAGTGCCGTGACCCCATCTGTTCTGATCTCGCTCGCCTATCGGTTGCTGGTGTTGTATGCCTCGACGCGAATCATCCCTGCCGTTCGAGAGTCTGGGGCTCGCGCTCTCTCTCAAGAAGCCTCCCTCGATGACTCAGATGCCGCCGGTCAGCTTTTGGGCTTCTTGAGCTACTTCGCACCGACTATCCTTATCGCAGTCTACACCAGTCTTTTGATGCAGCATTTCTCGTCGACCTCGCAAGCCATGGGAGGCAACGGCGAGTGGTGGAGCAGCCAAGGCGCCGGCGGGGGCAATATGTGGAGGTGGATCAATCTGGCCTGCACGACGGCACTCTATGCAGTCGAGCTCTGGCTCGGAGAACATGATGACCTCGACAACGGCCTGGCCGGCCACTGGAAAACCGACTGAGCTAGTTGCATCACCACGGAGTGAGACTGGCAGTGTCTGGTCCTCTCCTACATCATCGCTTCTCACATGGATCGTAGTGTCACTTTCGATCCCAATGGACCCGATGGCAGCGGTGGCTGCCAGAAAAGCCACGACCGCGTGCCTTTATTCAGCACCCTAGGCAAAGCCCCTAGTCTGGCCACCAGACAAATTCGTGCTAATTCCGAGGAACAAACTCTCAGGGGTTGCTGATGCTATGTGTCTCCAGTCTCGTTTTAAACCGAGATAGTTTTCTTCACAGCGCATGGCCCTTGCTCTTGCCTTTGCTTGTCCAACACCATCCGTGGCTACCTGTTGGGCCTCTCTGGCAACGGTCTCCGTGAAACCTGGCTCTTCCCCCTCATGTATAGCCCCCCATCTTTCCTCATGTACACGGAGCACAGGTCTTTTCCCCCATGGGATACTGCATCCAAGTCATCCCTGCATCCCCTCGGAGACATCTCTGTTTGTGTCCTCCCCACCTTGACGATCTCCCCTATGATACCAGCATCCATCCTTGCTATCTCTTCTGCCTTGTCTTATCCCGATATTATCTGGCACTTATACCCTATGTCGTCCTCCATCTCTGCCTTTGGCTTTCAATACAATTCTTGCTTCCGTCATTCTGAGTAAAGGGCTCGATAGCCCGCGCCATTTCTGTACATTAGATACACTTGCTGCGTCTCATATCTCTTGCCCCCGTGCTATCTCTGGATATCTGGGGTGCTGGCGTTTGGACTAGATAAAGATCTTTATTTAGGCGATTTCGGGAATCCCATGTAATTCAAATGAATTCAATTTCCTTATAAACAAACGGGATAGATCGAGCATACTGGATGGTAGAACTATTCATAAACACGAAATGGATACATCGTAAAATGCAAAAGACATTGCTGTGAACGTCAGGGCAATAACACAGATGGCGAAGATCACATGGACTTGAAAAATATGAAATAGCCGAAGAATGGGAGGGAGAGATCCGATGCGTGCTGGTGTTGCAGCAGTCAAGAATCGAGACCGCAGTGGCCCGAGTCGAGTCAAGTCATCGCGTGCCTCCTTTTTGTGCGTTTTCACAATATGAAGCTGCCATCCCGTGTCCGCCTGTTCTTTCCCTCTTGCCCCGTCCCGCAGTGCACCTCATCCCCGAAAAGAATCATATCCATAGCGCCAGGCTTTTGAACCAAAAGAAGAAATCACTCCTAAACTCGGAAAACAAAATGCAAAAGGTCAAATGCAAGGTGCCGTTCATCGACGGATGGGAACGCCCTCTCGGACAGCAGGAGGGCTGACGCTGAGCTCCTCGGCATCCTTGTCTTCGTCGTGGCCAGCGGAGCCTTCGCTCATGCTGGTGCCGCGGTGCAGGTAACTGCTCTCTTTGATGGGGCTGCGGCTCTGGAACCCGACCGAGCCCGGGTGTCCACTGATGCTGCCGGGAATATGCTGGCCCTGGGAACTCACGCTGCTGCCGTTGCCGCCGGAGGGGTTGTTGGAACCGGACGAGGTCGCGGTGAGGTGGGGGATGTTCTCGGGCACCGGGTGGCGCGATCCGATGCTGGTGACGCCGACATCTGACGCCTTGCCGGCTTTGCTAAGGGCGTAATCACCCGAGTCGAAGTATTTCCGCTCCTGAGGATGGGGGCGAAGCAGTGAGCGGGTTGTCGGAGGAGGGGTCCAAGCTGGGAACAGGAGGGATCCGACTTACCTTGAGCTTGTTCTGGAGCAGATCTTTCTTGTTGGGCATCTTGCCGTAGAGACGGAAGAGTTTCTGCTCCTCCGGGGTCATGGCCTGAGCGGGTTAGGGACATTGTGAAGTCGGATAGCCGGAGAGACCGCCACTCACGTTGATATCGATCTTGTTCTGCTGGTGGGGATTCATGATGGCGAGCGAAAGCCGTATGGTAGAGAGGATATGAGTAGCGTAGATGGAGTTTCAGGAAGTTAGGGTGTGACAGTTGAAAGAAGTTCAGTCCCACGATGACACGCAGTGGAGCTGTAGAAATGGGAACAGAGAGAGTTCGGGGGACTATCGATAACGCGCTGGACGCGGGGCCGGCTGCAGACCCGACACATCAGAACCTGCGCTGCTTCGGTAGTACGGCTGTTCTTGTCTTCTGTGTGCTTTTCTATTGAACGAGGCCGCTATGTGACTAAGTAACTAGGTAACTGGGTGACTAGATAGCTGAGTAGCTGAGTAGCTCGATCTACGAGACGAGTGGCTGCCCGAGAGCATTGTACGTCATCAAGGGGGCAAGGACGAAATGGAATTCGAGATTACTCTGACCGTCAATGTAGGACTGTACCGCTCGGTACAGATCAAGAGGAAGATGCAAATAGCTCGAAGCCGAATCACCGCGAAGAAAAAGCCGGGGAAGGAGACCAGAAAGTGAAGGTCGCCGCATCCGCACATTCCACAATTAAGTTCACATTGCGTCGTCCACCACTCGCCTCATTTTTGCATCCCCGCCATGACCGACCAGAGGGCCTTCGTGGTCGAGCACCTTGATCCCGAATTGGGACAGTGGTCCACGCTCGAATATGCCTGCATCGCTCGCGAATCCCATGCTCTTGGGGCTCGTTTTTTGCTCAGTTCGGTGCCCGCCGAACTAAGCGGAAATCTGCCCGCAGATTTGGTCGCCACCCCGGGCTTCGAGGTCGAGCAGCGCAGTGTCGAGGAGATTTACCCCAAGGACAAGGTCTGTCTGCTGGACCCCGCTGCTCAGGTGGAATTGAGCCCGGAGGACGGCGACACCTTCGACGTTTTTCTGTTCGGCGGCATTCTCGGTAGGATCTTTCTCCGTAGTGTTTGAATTTGGGCTAACCTTGCTATCAGGCGATGACCCGCCTCGGGGTACGTCTCCAATGATAGACTCGGGCCGAGTCCTGAGCTAATTGAATATAGATCGCACCTCTGAATTGAGGAAAAAGGGCTACGCCGGTCGCCGATTGGGCCCCAAGCAGATGACCACTGACACCGCTGTGCGAGTCACTCGCATGGTGGTGCACGAGAAAGGTAAGACAGTCGTCCAGCAGGCTATAACACACGCTAATGCTCTCCAGTTCCCCTGGAGAAGATTTCCTACGTCGACTACCCGGAAATTCTGATCAACGAGCACGAGCGGACTGAAATGCCCTTCCGCTATGTCAAGGACGCCCAAGGCGAGCCGATCATGCCCAAGGTTCGGGACTCCCTTTCGCCCTAGGATTAGCGCTAACCGGTCTTCAGGGGATGGTGGATCTGATTAAGAACGACGCCGACAAGGCCGTCGATGATCTTTTCTAATTGGGAGCCGGGGAAAAAAAGCCACAACTACAGGAATAATTAGGTCGAACGCCAGTTTCAGGATGGAACCTGCCCGGGTTTCATTTCCAGGGGGCTCCGACATGTCTGGAACGAATATAAAAATGAATGCCACCAATTGATAGACGAATATACTGCGAGATCGATCGTCTCAGCCCAAAAAGGCCGTGAATAGTGGCGCATCTATAGACCGCTGAATCGGGCAACGGGCATTCGAGTACTGGAGCCTAGGTTTGGTCAGGTATCTGTATGTATAGATCATGATACGGTGGCACAATATGCTATAAAATACTTGTAATACACTGACTGAACCGTATACGGTAACGATGCCGCCGAGGCCACGCCAGCATCTCCTGGGGCTCCGCCTGTTCCGCTGCTTCTCTGACAACAACTCGACCAAGCTTACGTCGCGTTCTTTATCTTCTTTCTCGAGAGTGCACGGCACTCTCTTCTCACCAGCCCTCCCACTCCCCCTTCCCTCGCGCGACCTCCTTACTGCTCCGTCTCCGGATTCGATGACCGCCTAAGCTGTGCTTAGTCCGCGCGGACCTTTCTCGAACACGACTTGAGCGAGCTATCTTCTGCGAAACCTATGAGCTTTACACTGCCGAGCTTGTGAAATAATTACCATGCCCTCCTCCGCTCGTTCGAAGAGGGGCGGCGCTCTGGCCATGCTGTCATGGACCCTCTCCCTGGTGCTGAGTCCGGTGCTGTCCGCGGCCAGTTCGGCTTCGGATTACTATGTGCACGACCTGCCTGGAGTTCCCGATGGACCTCTCCTGAAGATGCATGCTGGGTGAGTCGATGCGATTGAATCCACGCGATGGACCGGCGACTAATAGGGACAACCTTTCACAGACACATTGAAGTCGACCCTGCGAGCAACGGCAACCTGTTCTTCTGGCATTTCCAGAACCGGCATATCGCGAACCGTCAGAGAACCGTCATCTGGTTGAATGGTGGGCCTGGATGCAGCTCCATGGATGGCGCGTTGATGGAGGTTGGGCCCTATCGACTCAAGGACGACCATACATTGGAATACAACAAGGGTTCTTGGGATGAATTCGCCAATTTGCTTTTCGTCGACCAGCCAGTGGGCACTGGTTTCAGTTATGCCAACACCGACAGCTACCTGCACGAATTGGATGAGATGTCGACCCACTTTATGATCTTCTTGGAGAAGTTCTTTGACATGTTCCCTGAGTATGAAAGAGATGATGTATGTGCTTTGATGCGCCGAGCTATTTGTGGAAGAATTTGACTCCTAACATATCGCAGATCTACATTGCCGGTGAATCCTACGCTGGTCAGCATATCCCCTATATCGCCAAGGCCATCCAGGAGCGCAACAAGGCCGCTGTGCCAAACGGCAAGGCCAAGTGGCCACTCAAGGGCCTGTTGATCGGTAATGGCTGGATTTCGCCCACCGATCAATATCCGGCCAACTTCGAGTTCGCTGAGCGGGAGGGTCTGATCAAAGAGGGAACCCAAATCTACAGCAATCTCGAGGCGTTGAACTCCGTGTGCCTGTCGAAGCTGGAAACAGCCGGCTCCAAAAACAAAATTAATGTCAGAGAATGCGAGAACGTCTTCCAGCAAGCCCTGACTCTCACCACCGAAGACGGCATGTGTTACAACATGTATGACGTTCGGCTGAAAGACACCAGCCCTTCGTGTGGCATGAACTGGCCTCCGGACCTGGAGTACATGAGGCCGTATCTCCGCCGGGACGATGTGGTCAAGGCTTTGAACATTAACCCTGCAAAGATGTCTGGCTGGGAGGAATGTTCCGGTCTGGTGAGCGGCGCCTTCAGGGCACAAAATTCCCGGCCGGCGGTCCAGCTACTTCCTGGCCTCCTCGAATCCGGAATCGATGTACTCCTGTTCAGCGGTGCGAAGGACTGGATCTGCAACCACATTGGAACGGAGACTATGATCCACAACATGAAGTGGAAGGGTGGAACTGGCTTCGAGACCTCTCCCGGTGTCTGGGCTCCTCGCCACGACTGGACCTTCGAGGGCGAGCCTGCCGGTATCTACCAATACGCCCGCAACTTGACCTACGTGCTTTTCTACAACTCCAGCCATATGGTCCCCTTCGATCAACCCCGCCAGACTCGTGACATGCTCGACCGCTTCATGCGGGTGGACATCGCCAGCATCGGAGGTCGGCCCGCCGACTCCCGTATCGACGGCGAGAAGCTGCCTCAGACCTCTGTCGGTGGCTACCCCAACAGCACCGCGGGAGAGCAGCAGCAAGAACAGAAGATGAAGGAGACGGAGATGCACGCTTACACCAAGTCAGGTGAGGCCATCCTCGTCGTGGTCATCATCGGTGTCATCGTCTGGGGCTTCTTCATTTGGCGCAGTCGCCGCGCTCGCGCGGGATACCGTGGGGTCCATGGGGATGGGATGAATGGCATGAGTGGATCTGTCTTGGACCGGTTCCACAATAAGCGCTCGACTAACGACGTTGAAGCCGGTGACTTTGACGAGTCCGAGTTGGATGACCTCCATTCACCCGCCATCGACCGGGAGCATTATGCGGTTGGGGATGTCAGTGATGATGAAAGCGTTCAAGAGGGTTCTCGCCCCCTGAGTGAGGGCCATCAATCATGATACGAAGCAGCATGTGTTGGGTGCGGTGTCTCGGTTTCTATATTCTTCCTGATTCCCTGTAGTTTTCTATGTGCATCTGTACAAAGCTAGGGCGTACGTACCTATCTGATCTTCCGATAGACTAAATATATTTAAATGCCATTCAATAACATCTCTTTAATACCGTGGATTCACTTTATGGCAGATGCCGGAGACCTTCTCTCATGGGCCGGCACAGCCACTCTTTTCATGTCTATGGAAGTTTTCTTTATACAACGGCCCCGGGCCTCCATGCGTATATCATTTTCATGAATAGATCGTTCACCGCTGCAGCGTCCACACTTTGACGCTTCCATCATCTGCAGTGGTCACCAAGACTTCCTCATCAGCGCCCTCCGATCCACGATCCGCCCGCTTCGCCCAAGCCACATGGTTCATCTCATAGATGCCATGTGCTCCATCAAAGACGGCAAGAATCGCCCATTCCGTCTGTACTGAGGGTCTCGTCGAAGGCTCGGTGTCCATAGCATCCGAATCAGTGGACGGCGCCACTAGTCGCTCCTCGTAGACCACAATGCGTCCGTCGGCGCCGACAGATGCAACGAGCCCCGTCTTCCGACTCCATGCCACAGCGTAGATAGCCAGCTCGTGTGCATGGGGCAGCACTGCGTCCTCCTCCCACGTCTCATCGGTGCCCGTAGGCCGGATAATGCTCGGGATCCCGGTGGTTGCTGACGAGCTCATGCCCGGCTGTGAGGTCTCCTTGGGAAGACGGTGCCAGACCCGCACGGTACGATCATCCGAGCAGGAAATCAGTCGCGGTCCCGAAAGAGCGCGCTGCTCCCGCCACTGGCTCTGCAGGTCGCTCGACGTCGATGCTGGCACGGTCTCGGGACCCTCCCAGTCAAGGAACCACACCGTTCCTTCGTGCTTCTTGATACATGCCACTTGGCCCCAGTCATCCAAATCCTCCCGCCACACCCTGATCGTGTCGTCGTAACCGCCGCTCGCGAGACATTCTTCCACAGGGTGCCACGCAACGCACTTCACGTCCCCGCCATGCTCCTGCATCACGGCTACCGTCTCGAAGTTGTTGTCTCCATCATCCAGGTCCTCCCAGATCCAAATCGACTTATCGCGCGCGCATGTGGCAAGCAACATCCCCGACGGGGACCACGAAACAGACTTGACTTCGCTATCGTGTCCGTCCAGAAGAACGGCAAACCGCCACTCTTCGTCTTCATCGGCATTCGAACCGTTCCCGTCGTGTTCGTCGCCATTGACGGCCTCGTTATCCCCGGAACTGAGTCCCCATCCTGCGTCGGTCCGCCCATAGCTGTCCCATCGTCGCCAGATTCCGACCGTCGCGTCGAAGCTGCCCGTGGCGAGTACGCTCTCGCCCTGTACGTGTGGTTTCCAGGCACATGTCCGCACGCTGCGCTTGTGTCCGCCGGTGATGGTTGATAGGAGCTTGAAGTTGGTGAGCGAGTACACCCGCACGGTCTTGTCGGAGCTACATGTCGCGACAATTGGGAGTGTCGGGTGCGGTGCCGTGAGCCATGTTCGCTCTAGCGAGGGAGGCGTGAGGTCGGATAGGAGAGAAATTTGTGGCTCAGCCATTGTGAGGGGTTTGGAGGTTGATGACGGAGGGGAAATTTTGGGCGTGGAATGTGGGGTTGCGGACGATTAGATAGTGATTATCAGTATCAATATCGAGAATATTGCCTCGCATCGGCTTATGACTACTCCTGGTCTCATATACAAATAGCAAAGCCCGGTCCTGCCAATCTACCCTAACCTAAACTCGGAGTCGAATATCCAATTGCGCCCAAAAGACGAAAGCCCAAACCACGAGCTCTAGCACCATGATGATATTATATGTGGTGCCCCCAAGAAACGCCGCTACTGTGAGGAAACGCCTTCTTCGTAAAGACGCTCGTAAACAGCTCCATGACAGAGCCAATCAATCTCTCTAATCTTCTCTAGTTCGTCCACGAGTTGCCCGACTTCATTGACAAACTCGGGCATGCCTGCTCCCGCCAGGCTCTGGCTTGCGGTGGTTGTTGCCCGCACTCTCTCCGAGGCACTCGAAGCACTCAGACGAGACAGAATGTGGCTTCGCAGACGTGAGAGAATCAGCCGTGCCACCGGGTCTGAGAAAGAGGGCGCGGATGGTACGCTCCCTACGGACCCCAAGGATGCCCCCGTTCTCTCCGATGTATCCGGATAGACCTGCACCGAGGCCTCTGGTGCAGCCACAGCGCTTGCTGCTGCGACCGGGGCGAGCACTCGCCGGATGGTAACCGCAAGTTGGGCGCTCGCATTCGACGGCATGGGATGCGTCGACTGAAGGATGGACTGCACACGTTCCGCACTGATCTCATTGAAATCTAGCGAAAGAATGCGATCCGCCTCGGGCTTCCACTGTGATCGTGCATCCCGCTTCAGGAGGTTCTTGGCTGTCAGCAAGATAGACGCTGTTGCCACAATCCGGAATGCTTTGGCATGCAGGCGCTCCAGTCGTGAGTGGTCCAGGGCCAGAGTCTCGGGAATCAGGTCCTCGGAAACGGTAGCGTTGCTGAGAACCAGGTCTGCGAGGCCGTGCGCATACACTCGGGTGGCAGGCGGGCGAGGCTCCCCGTGGATATTCTCCGGGTCTCGCTTCTTCATCTCATCGACGATGATCTTTCGATGCGTTCGCCAGAACCGTCGGGTCTTTCCCAGCCCAATTGACCCATCGGAAACGCCCTTGTCAAAAGTCCGTTGTTCGTATCCGGGAGCCTCTTGGATCAGTTGCGGAGCCGCGATCTGGATCATGAAATTCGTGTGATCCAGCGAAAGTAGATCGATAATACTCATCAGCCTCGCCAGCCGATCAATAGCGTCGCCCGAGTTGTCCTCGGAAAATGCCTTGACCACTGGGTCACGGTATGGAGCACAGAGTCGAGGCAGAATTGTGTTCATAAAGTCGAAGAAATTCTCGTAGGAAAATGACCCAGCCTGACATTGGTTCTCAACCAGCTTCGGATCAAGGACCTCGCTGATAAGCACAAAGAGAGAATTCCCAGGTCGCAGTGAGCGCAGCAGACGATCTTGAATCACGGTGGCCATGGCAACAGTCCATCCAGTGCCTTGGCCCGCCTCGACATCTCGCCTCATTTGATCACACATATGCTCCATGATTTGTCTTCGAGGCTCTGTATATGACGCCTCCTCAATCTTGTATTCTTTGTTGAGTAGCAGCTCATGTACCAGAACCCGGTTCTCGGGGAGAGCCGTGAGGATCTTGGTAAATCGCTCATGCGGAGAAGCTCGCTGCTTGTCCAGTTCCTGGAGAACGGCAGCATCAAAATTGTTAAACGACTCGCTGGTAGGGGATGTGACGCTTTCCGTCAAAACATCCCCCGATGAGGGAGCCACCTCGGCGGACCGGGGAATGGCTTGCTTCGAGGTAGAACGCTTCTTTTCTTTCTTGGCCTTCTTCAGTGAATCCCGGACCATCTGCATGGCGCGATCAGAGCCGGCAAGCCGCTTGAGTCTGGCGAGAAGCAAAATCTGATTCTGCCGGATACCCTGTCGATAATCTTCTGCAACACCACCGGCTGTATCACCCTTGACAGTCTGCCAAATAAGTTCCAACTCAACGAACTGCGCAAGCATGATCTCGATCAAAACAGTTGAATCATGAGACTTCCATGCATGAAACGCTGAAAAGAAGACATTGTGGGATTCACACAAAATTTGGAGGTCAGCAGTGATCACGGTTGGCGAGCAACAGCCCGACGAGAGCAGCGCAGCGACTTGTTCAAAAGCCACCAGCAGCTCGCGTGCTTTGGAGATCAAGTCCTGCTCCTGCTCCCCATCGCCGCTCAACACCTCGGCTGGATGGGTGACAATGAGATAGCTGCTGAGGAACGTGCGTACTGCACCACGTTCGCCCAGCGCCCCGCCTTCCATATCCTGCAACCCACAGAGGCGAAGTACTTTTGTCATGGTATCGAGAACCTCGCGGTCGGAAAGGAGAACTCCGACTTCTTCAAAGGACATCTCCCGAACCCGGTCAACGGAGAGGTTGAGTGCCCGGAACTCCTTCATCACGCCCTTTGCATGATGAGTTCTCCAGACGCGCTGGATCTTTCGAGCCGCTCCATCCTGAGTCAGTGACTGGGTGACCGCTCGCGCCATTTTTTTCTCCTCGGCAACTGGCAAACTGCTAGTGCGCTGACGCCGATGGGTCTGCTGGTAGAGTGTCCGCCGTTTTTCGGCCTCTGCGAACTTCTCTGCCATTTCCAGGCGCATGCGGGCGTGTTCTGCAGCTTGCTTCTCCCGCTGGTCCTCCGCTTTCTTCTTGGCTCGTTTGACCTGGTCTTCGCACTTGGCCGTGATGTCCGCCAGGAGACGTTCACGGGCTTGCTGAGCAGCCAAGGCTCTCTCCTCGATTTGTAGGTTTCTGGTAGCCGCCTTCGCAAGGGTAGCGCGCAGCCTCACCTTCTCAGCGTGCAGTGCGCGGTCCGCAAGCCTCGCTTTGCGGCTTTCAAGAATGGAGGTACGACGGAGGTGCTGGGCGATATGGTCCGTAATTTGCGAGCCATTAGAAGAAGCCGAGTGGTGTGAGTGCAACGAAGAGATCGAGCTTCGGCGCGACGAGGCGACAGAGGAGCGCCGCGCCTTGCTGTTGCGACGGTAGAAGCGAGCGGCGATGTGTGGTGGGAGAGTCAGCGGCGGTGCCGGCTCTTCGGATAACATTTCCACGTCCGATTCGGTTACAGAGTCTGGGGAAAGGGGGGTTGGACCCGCATCAGGGAGTTGGATCTCGATGTCGGAGTTTCGACGCATCATTGTCAAGTCGAAAGTGCGACGCTGTGCAGGGGGGTTGAGGAACACGGTGGGGTATGAGTCGACTGATAAGAGATTAGACGAGGCTGTGAGAGCACTTCGCAGGGGATTTCGGTACCAACCTGGTCACGAAGCTCCTCTTTATGAAGATCGAGCCTCGAGATGGGAATCAGAAGCTATATGAGGCCTGAAATTAGGCACAGAGGTGCATACTTTCGCTAGGGCGGCCGGGGTGACAGAAGGATCCGTGCTTCGTTTCAGAATTTGAAAAGGAGAGAAGTTAATTCATCTTGGGGCAAAGAAAAAGGAGACAATGTCGAGCACGGAAAAGCGACCGGCCTTGCACGTCCATGAAAACAGACGCGCCCATGAGCAGATGGAATCCGATGGCCGCGAGCAGAAAGGCGTCAACGCGGCTTAGCTAAGCCGCTTCGGCGTTGAGATCAGATGGGAGTGGCACAAGGTCGAAGATCCTACTTCCGGAATAGTAAATGCGAACGATGGCTAAGGCATGGGCATATTTCAGAACTTCGGGTTGTTTTCATGATTTATGGGGGCCGGATCCGGGGATGCTTATGCACTATGATGTAGGCCCCGTGCGTTCATCCCAAGTGCTCTCTATCTAATCTACGCTCTTCTGGGATCCCTGCCGATTGGGTACAGTTTGATCTTGGCCTTAAGCTTTGACAATTTATTGCCCGTACCCTATTGTCCCTGGTACGGGAGAGTTAAACAAATTTAGCTGTCGAGGGAGGAAAAAAGGCGGCAATCAACCATGGTTTGTTTGTTTATATACACGCCGGATGCGGAATCTCCTCCATGATTTTATGTATCGAGAGCACGTTCATTGATCAAGATGATGTGGAATGATTCAAACGCAGTTCATTTCAGTCGTGATGCTAATGCAGGTTTTTAAATTGAAAATATGCAAGTGCCGTGCTGGTGAAAGCAGGTCTCTCTCTATTGGGATGCCAAGGGGAGCCACCTAGGACAGGGTGAGCAGAAAAGCCAAAATATTCCCGTGGGCAAAGACCAAATGTCTGCCAAAAAGCACGATTTTGCTTCTAGTCGATGCTGTTTCTTTTGTATACCGTTCTTGTAATAGTCCAGATGCTGAAGATTCAAGCCTGAACAGGTTCAGCCAGGGGTCAACAACCTGATTTTCGAAGGCTTCTTGGTTCCTTGTCCAACAATTCATGGGGCGAGGTTTGTTCTGCGCTACAAGTCGCAACGCTTTCCAATTGCATGCAAATCTCTTGGTCTCACAGCTCAAGGTCCTGGGCGAGGCCCGATGCGCAATGGTAAATAATGGCGGGATGTTCACCAATGGGCCAAGAGCCCAAAGGAAACAAGCAGTCCAAGTAACTGCGCGAGTCCCCTTCGTGCCAGGGGACTGATAGGATGCCAGGATCATCGATGGCCAAAAATGTCGATGTGCTCAGCTCCCTCATCCTCCTCCTCACCGTCTTCCTCTGATTCCGAAGAATCCGAGGATCCAGCATCGTCGTCTTCCTCTTCAGCCTCCGAAGCTCCTTCGGTGAGTGCCGTCTCACCTGCGAGGAACCCGTAGCGACCTCGGAATTTCTTGCTCAAGAAATTCAATGCGCCATAATCACCGGTTTTGTTATCTTGAGATGTACCCCCGAAAAAGGGCAAGGATGATGGTTTCTCTGACTCGCGTTCAGTCGGGAGGCCGAAATAATTGCTGACCACGGGTGAGATAGCACGGCCATGGGTCATATTGTAAGACACAAATTGTCGGTCGGAACCAGCGGCCACTGGGACGCTGAGTTGAGATTGGGTCGCTTGGCTAGCACTGAGATGCAGCGATGCCAATGATGCCGTTGGTTCTCCATTTACGTTTAAGGACGATGATCGCGGCCGAGATGAGAGATCACTGACGCCTTCCTCCTCAAGCACTGCAGATACGTCACCGTGCAAAACTCTCATCTGAGCTGTATTATAAGACTCGCACCTGTATATGTGTTAGCTTCCTCGTTCGTCTTGTTTGTCGTAGATACTTACAAATCACACTTCAAGCCCAGCCAATGGTACTTGACCACGGATTTGGCGCCACAGTCGTTGCAATAAATCAGGCCCTTTGTGTCTGTGAATTCTTCAGGCATAGGTTGACTTTCAATGGTGCGATCCAGATTCCTGAATGTCGATTCCATGTTGGTGATGGTCTTGCTGCAGATAGGACAACGGAAGGAGGTTTTCGAATATTCAGACAAGCATCTGTGATGCAGACTATGGCCACATCGCATCACAACCACGGTCTCCGGTGAAGTGAACATGTATTCGCCACAGATGGGACAGTCGCACTGCGTAGATCGTTCAATACAGCGGTGAGTGTCCTCGATCGAGATAGGTAGGCATACAGAGCATGTCTAGACAATGTCAGTATCACATCAGTATCACACAAAACACCATAACTGGAAGAATCACCATACCTTGCAGTGGAAAAAGTCCTTGCCAAGTCCCAGGCCGATCCGACAAATACCACAGTCATTGCAATGGTAAATGCTCTTCTTTCCGTCATTGTCCCAGAGCTTGCAAATTTCACAGTAATATTGAGCAGTCTGCACTCCACACTTTCTACAGTCATGCGCTGCGGGTTGGGGATGGCCGCATAACATACAAAGCATGTTCTCAGTGTCTCGGCGAATAAGATGATGGTCCTCGACTTCGTCATGGCAAAAGCGGCAAGTGTACCACATTTTGCAAGTAAAGCACTGGAGTTTGACATTCCTTCGGTAGTGCTGACAGCCAAGAGAGGTCTCCTCCAATTCTTCCGTGTCCGGATCTTCTTCGCCCGTCTCTTCACCCGTCTCAGCCACCAACTCAGGCTCCACCTTTGGGACATATGTGGGTTGTAAATCCTCGGGAGTGAGCATGAACTGATTTTCGTACTGAGAAATAGAGGCCGCTACTGTCGGGCTCAGCGGAGCGAGATTTGGCGAGTGTTTCCTTCCAAGGGTTGGTGGGCTTCCAGGTTGGGCCAGCCTCGAAGGGTCAAGCGTGGGGGACATTGCCGCGGAAAGGCTCGGAGAAAGAATTCGAGAAGAGTTGTAGCTTGCTGTCATTAGGTCATGAACCATCCGTGCTTTCTCGTCGTTGCCGAGATCCAGCTCTCGAATGGCATGAATCTTGTTTCTTAGCCAGCCCATCCCATCATCAGCCGGGAGAGACATGTGGCTCGCTTCATCTATATTCAATGCATTGTTTGGTGGTCGTCCAGCTCCTTCGCTTCTCAACTGCGAGTTGTTGCCCGGCGGTCCGGGTGACTCGGTATGACCAGATCCTGGGTTCTCTGGGCTACGTGTATCGATACCCACACCAGCCGTGCGTACAATGTTGGATGTGTGTCGGTTGGTCGCCGTGGTGTCACCGGATAAAGAGCCATTCTGAGGCATTATACGAACGCCCTCCGGCTCTGAAGTTCGGCCATCCATATCTTTGGGCAGGACTGTGAAGAAAGGAGGAGCAGGCAAAGACCCTGCATTTCCGCTGGTCGATTCCAAATCACCACTATCTTGGCCAGATTCTGAAACAATGGGATCTGGGCGGTCACCGGTTGGAGGTTTTGTTTGGCTTTGAGGGGACTCCGGTTCGCTGTCCTGGGGGCAGCGGGGAGGGCGAGAGGGTCGAGTGCGAATTCCAAGCTCAGTCAACAGTGATAATATTAAGCTGCTCATGGAGGGCCAAGGTGGATCACATCGAATGCAATCACCAACCTTGTAAAAGTTGGAAGACGAGGCGGTTTTGGCATTTTGGCATGTGACGTCCGATCCGTCACATGACGGTGATCGACGCGCTTACCAAAGTATCGCAAAGTATCGAAGTATGGGATTTGGAACAAATACTACAATCGACGAACACTTGGGAGTCCAATTTTTACTGTCTTTCTGTCATCTATTAAAATAAATAAATGACCTAGATATTCCACTTTTGACCAGTTCTGCGCGCCAGGTCGCAGCCCTGCAGCAGGTCTGTTTAATCCCCCACAGTTCCATTCTTGGGGACAGCTGGGACAGCGCGAATTCACCAAGTGCTTCACGATGAGAACTAACATGGATGATTCGTCGTGAGTTCTGTGTTGCTCTTTGCCTGCTGAGAGTACAATGCGAGGATGACAACAGACTCGGTATGAATCATCGTACAAGGCCGTGTCCAGATGACCAGATGCGAGTGGGGAGAGGGTAGACGGGATTCCAAGACGGGCGAGATTCGGTGGCCAGATTCCCTTTCAAGAGAGGTGCCTCCTCGCCCCATTGTATGTTTATGCCCAAAAAGAAGTACTGACGCCCAACGCAGGATCGTGGTGTGGCGAATCGGATCGGCAGCAGGTCCCTCACTTCAGACACGTCCCTAGACTCTCGTTGAGACGCTCGAGAGTCGAATTATAATGGCCGTAGGCGCTTTTACGAAATTGGGTCTCTAGTCTGCCAAGTCCCAGGGCCCGTAGCCTGCCGCCAAGTCAGAGACAGCCTTCACCCCCAAAGTGTGGGGAGCACTTACATGCGCGACTCTTTAGCAATGACGGGCAGTTCCCAGTACCTAGCGAACAATAGGTTCTTGACAATTTTGTGTTCGAAGCCTGTAGCATCCGCGGCACGCTCGAGGAAGCGAAGGGTGTTGGCGATTCTCGACGGGTCAAACTCGTCGCGCGGAGCGGTGCGAAAGGAGGTCCGCAAGGTCGTAAGCAGGACATGGCGACCGGGAGTCGCATACCTGATGGTTCTCAGCCCCTGTCGGTAGAGGTGACGGTATGCATGAACGACGGCCTGGTCAGCCAGACTCCTCGAAGCGCTCATGTTGGTTGCAGGAAGGGGACGAGATGATTGATTCGAGGATCACCGGCCTCAGGCAGCGCTAGCCCAATCGGGACAGGTGACTTTGGGCCGCAACTTGCAACTTTCATCCTGCTGTATCCCCCACCTCATAAATTCCCTCCCCTTTGGGTTAATTCTGGCTTCAACTTGGGAGACGTGTCGTCCAGCGACGTGACCCTTGCTGTGACGCGTGGGGTCCCCCGGTCTTTTCACTTCGGTGATTTTATGCACTGACCGCCCCATCCTCTCACAATATCATCCGGCAACCCAGCGTCCAGAAATATGTGTTGAAATTTCACCGTCGGGTTTGTGTCAAGAGCTCAAGAAGAATGGCCCGAGTCGTCAGGAGAGCTGCGTCGGCTTCGGCCAGGCGCGCTCCTAGTCGGGCCGTTCAGAGGAGAGCTCGGAAACACAAGGTCATTATGGAGTCTGTCACTCAGGAGAAAAAGAAACTTCGAACTGTGGTTAGTGTGCGGAAAGTTTGACCTTACAGAAGAGTGCTTGACGATCAGGTCAGATTTCTTTCGAGGCTCGAGCACCCAGTGGCTATACCTTCATCCCCGCGGGAAATCCACTTCTCACGTCTACATGTAAAGAGCGGTGCCGCAGAGAGGGGCTTCCAATCCATGCGGTCTCGGTAAGATGGGCTTCTTTCTCAGTCCGAACACTGCTCATATCTAGCAGACAACCCCCCATGCCAACACCCATAACCTGTCCCAACACGTTCATCGGATAGGGTTTCATTTTCCGAGTACCGTGGTTGCAGCCGCCTGTTCAGAACTGGGTCTGTATCTCACGAGTTCAGGGAAGGCGGTGCCTTTTCACACCCTTGGCAGTCTAGACAACCCCCCACCAGTGGACTCCGAGGTTTCCCAACTCACCATTAACACGGAGGCGAGAGATGCCATTAAAGACTTGTTCCCAAATATTCCGCAGGATGATTTGTACCAGATTATAAAAACTGCGTTTCAAAAGGTAAGTGCCTTGACATATCCCGAAGGGCAAAGTTGAAAGATCGAGGATGCCTGATATCTATTCCAGGGTCAGCGGAAAGTCGGCACGGCATCTGGGTTGCCTTTGGCTCGCAGAGCGCAATTGGCGGTGGTCGCGCATATCCGACATATCTACACTGATTATGACCGTCTTTTGAAGCAGAAGTCGTTCCACGAAGCAAGGTCAGCGGTTGAGCAAACTACTCTGACAAAGGTCATCCAATGGCGTGGAGATGATGAAAATGGCCAGACCGTCCTTGAGGATGTTTTCCGCGAAGTGATTGTCATATCCGACGATGAAGATAGCGAGACAGAAGATGAAGTGGGGACTCGAGACCAGAGTGTGGACGTTCTATCCAGCAGTACCCGGATTCAGGATGTTCAAACCCAGCCGGTCAATGTCGGGGTTCCTACAAACGCAGACCTTGCGAGGGAGCTCTCTGAAGAGGCTCCGCCTGGTTTCCGGTTTGTTGCCAGGATGCCGGCCAAGAAGGCCATCGACCGTCGAGGTTTCAACAGGTATCAAGCGTGGAATCGGGCCTTGCATCGTTTCCGTGCCGAAGCACAAGGCACTGAGCAGGTCCGCCTCGGTGACGCCCCGGCTGAACAGCAAAGCCCACGCAACGCGAAGCGATCCGCTGCTGCGCAAGAATTATCAGACCCAGTCAGGCGCCGGGACGCCGCTCCCCAGCCCATGGAATTTGTCTCTAGAGCCGATCCAGGTCTCATACAGGTCAATCGCCCAGTACAGCGAATACCTGGCGTTCCCTCAACGGATAAACCGAGCAGCAACGGTCATCATGTAGGTACTCAGGAAAGACAGCCTCCTTTGGAAACTCATCGTGCATTTCCTCGATACGGGCCTGGTGGAAGGCCATTCCCACTAACCACAAAACAGCCACCTGAAGTGCGTCCTTTCGAGCAGAATCTTCGTCCAAGTGGGAACATGGTCTACTCCCAGGGTACATCTCATGCCGAGCTGGGTCCCAATTCTCAGGCCGAAAGGTTTCCTCTCCCGACTAATGGCAGAGCGGATGCACCTGTCTTTGTTAGCGGACTCAAGGAGCCTCAGCAGATTAGCGAGACCCAAGTTGGATCCCGACCCGGATTCCCCTTTTCTTATCATTCCAGACCAGGAGCCATTCCACAGGACCTTGCTTTGCCCTCGATTGAAAATCCTTGGCCTCTGGAAAAGCGGCTTGTGGATGGCCGACTAGAGCAGCTGACGAAGAGGATGTCGCTTCGTTCCGTAACCCCAGTTCATCTTCAGGGAGATTCCTCCAAGCATGGCAATGCTGGGCCACCAGGCAGTCCCGATGACTCGACTGTCAAAAGAAGGCGCATAGCACAGTATGCCCCTGGTGCAGACTCACACCCCGATAACTGGAACGCAAGGCCCAATGGGATCCCCGTCTCTCAAGGATTGAGCCCAAGAGGACAATATCGCCGCGAGGAACTCGTACTAGAGCATCGCTCGCAGGACGTGCCTTCTCTTCGACGAGACTATCTCCCACGAGTGGAACAGCCTCCAGTTGTAGGATACTCGCGAGAAAGAAGGCCAGTTCCTCTTGCTGCCGTGCCTGCCAGCCAGGATGTGAGGCCACCAGTGATCCGGATGCATACTATCGATCCTCATCAGCACACCTCCACGCATCACCTTCCACAGGCGCTTTCTGGCCCAAATGGCAGTTATACTGCAGGCGACCGCCCATTGAGGGTTGCACTGGAAAAATCCCGTCCTGAGATTCGTCCTATCTACTATTCTGATCGTAGCCCCCGCATGGATCGAGCCCGACCCTCAACGCTTGAAGAGCCATACACCCCCATTTGGAAGACCTATGCTGATGGCGATCGTCCTTTCCATGAGGCTCCTCCCGGCGGGAAACAATACGCCGATGGCTTTGTTCGCCACGTTGATATTCGCGAGGTCCGTCCGGTCGAGTATTTGATTCAGCGTCCGAGACCCCAGCCCACACGTCCGGGAGAGAATCTCAGCCAGCCCGCCAAGATGAGGATCCCTGATCACTATAATACCATGAACAAGTCCCATGTCCGGGCTTCGTCGGAGCAGTGTCAGCCCCCGAGTCCACGGGTAGTGACCCGAATATCTCACGATCAGCTCTCCCGTCGTCCCGAGGCTATATCTGGAAGCCACAAGCCTCATGGGTCTCCTCGCCAAAGACGCCCTGCTAGCGGGTTGGGCACCACGCGGTAAGCCCATTCTACAACTAGACCAACCAGCTCATTATGCGCACAAGCCTTTGGATCGTATGCCCCTGGAAACTAACAATCTCACGCACAGCCGGGTTCATGATCCCCGATCTTTTCAAATGGCCGAACAGAACCGTCCGGTTTATGTCCAACAAGTCGAATCGCAACCGCCGCAGCACACCGTTCTAGACGGACGACATGTGGTCATTGTTGATTGAAGGGGAAGGGGCTCGCGGCGTTAAAGGGGATTTGTTTTGTCTTCGGGATCTCATCTGCATTCGTTCCACGCGCAGTTCTCCATGATACCCTTCTATATCCTTAGAGCGCCTGAATTTCATGGAACTCTAATTCAAATGGAGTTGTCTGAAGGATGTTCCCCCAGAATATGGGTTTATCAACCCATTTTCAATCGTCTTAAAAACTAACTCGTAGCTTTACAAAAGTCCATCGTATGTGAATCACCGTCATGGTCTTAACCATCCGCCCTTGTCTTACGCAGTAAACAGCGAGGTATGATCTGCTGGATAAGTGAAGATACGCAAATCTATATTGTGCTTAGAACACGGTGTCAGGCAAGTCTAAGAAATTTGCAAGTACGGGTCCATTTATGGGCCTCCAGCCTCGACAGAAATTATTTCCCCCCCCGGGCGTCGAACCGTCGAACGCCTCGGCACTTCAAACACTCATTGTCTGCCCATCAGCCTCGCCGCTGTTCACTTGCTTGCCAGTCTTCTTGATCGTGGCCAGCACGGTATCATAGGGAACGGTCGACTCGGTGGTCACGAGCGCAGTCTGGGATTCGAGGTTGACGTCGAAGGACTTGACGCCTGCGTAGTTGTTTAGCAAGATACAACCTAGTGAGCGCAGTGCTACGTACCCTCCAGACGCTTCAGGACACGCTCAATGGCGCCGGAGCAACCGCCGCAGCTCATAGACACGTTGAACTTGTACTGATGGTCTGACATGGTGAGTGAAATTGGGGAGTTAAGAGCCGCGGGGCTGCGGGGAGAAAAAGGCGGGAAAGAAAAAAAATGGATTTTGCCACGACGTAAGGGGAGACCGATTAGCAGAAGTGAGGAAAACAGCAGCGCTGGCTTTGGTTATATCGGGTACGAGCTGAAACTAGTGCATTTGTCATGCGTTTCATCCCTTTCATCTGAGCGATTTCCGCGATTGGCCGACGAGTGGGTTCTGCTGTACCAGCACGCCATATACTGTGGTACAACTTGATTTTGTGCCTCTAGAACCCAGCGGCGCGTCTCTTTTTCTTGCCCTTGCTGCTCTTCTTGGCTTCCCGTGCTCCAAATTGCCCTCGTTCTACCTGGGTCATCGGCACCTCGTCCACCGTGGGTTGGCTGCTTGGGATGGGCATCAGCGGCTGGTCGGGTTGACTGCCCCAGCTTCGAATCATGGGTGCGACCGGAGGCGGCGGCAGGGATGAGGCTTCCGGTGCAGGTGTAAGCTGCGATCTCTTCTTGCGCACCCGGTGCCTGGGGGTCCTCGACCCCGTCCGGTTCCCTTCTTCGTCGAGCAGCCGCGAGGTCTTCTGCCATTCATAGGTGGCCGGGTCAACGCCCATCTGCCAATGGGATAACAAGTTTCCTACGTTTTGAGGCATCGGACGGGGCTCCTTGAAGACTGTATATGCGGAGAGAGTGCTGTAGTTTGTGGCGGGGGCTTCTGCGGGCTTATCTTTTGCACCCGATCTTTGAGAGGTGGTCACCTGTGAAGATGACAATTGTTGACGAGAATGCTGTGACGATGGCACGGGCTCCTTTTGACTCTGTTGCGCATCGGTTGACTCAGCTTCGCGGGACTGTCTCTCTGTATTGGGTACGTTTGAAATCCGAATGAGGCGAGCGAAAAGAAGGTCAAGAGCAATGCCTCGAACAGATCTCTCTTTCAACACTCGTGTAGAATCGGGTATGCCTTCTTCGCCATGGGGGAGCAGGGCAACCCACTCGTCAACCAACTGGCTGTAGGTTTCCAGGAAATCCAACCGCGGCTCCGGCGAAATGCTCTCTAGGCCGAGGAACAGATTGGAAAACCGCAAAGGCAAGATCATGTATCGCCATCGAGCTTGTGTATCGGAGCTCTCCAGCAAAACAGTGGAAATGAGACGGGCTAGATCGTCTGCTCCCTCGTCAATATCGTTTAACAACGGCCGATCGCCGCTGATTTCCAGCCTAGGTTCCATCAGAATCAAATGATCGGATCGATCGGAGTTCATGAAGTAGACTTACATCGTTTCGCTTGCATAGAAATCATCCGACGCCCCCTCCGGGTCCTTTTCCAGGGTTTCAATGATATGGTTCAAGGTCAATTGAGTCCCTTCCGGGTCCCGTGGTTTAGTAAGGGCTGTCAAATTTGCCACTGCACGGGCGTAAACGGACGTCCAATCTATAGTCCATTGGAGATCTTGGTCCCTATTGTGCGACGGCTTTATGACAGAAACCTTGGGGGCTGCTTGACGAAGAGTGAGGCGTGAAACTGTCGATTCATCCCAGTCATCCACAACAAACTCCTCATCATTGATCTCGTCGTCGACGACCTTCCTCTCCTTCTTATGTGTGGAATGGTTTTTCGCCTGCAAAATACTGCCACTTTCGAAAGGGACATCCTCTTCGTCCCATCCCTGGTGTTTGTCTGGGCCTTCGAGCAGTGTTTCGTGAACGGCCAGGGATAGATCAGCCCAGAAGAGTTTGATCAGCGTCATATTGGGATTATAGCGCATCTTCGTCACGCGTGCAGGAGTGTGGTGAACTTGTCGAAACACGAATTTCGAGTAATGTGTGGACATATTCTCGGGAGACGAAACATCCTCTGCCCTGGGATTCTTGGGAACCTTGAGAATGAATGGATCGGGTACCGAGACAGACTCTGTCTCTGCGCCTGCGAAAAGGGGACATGGAAACCCTTGGACAAGATCGGTGAGTCGCGAGTATAGAATTATATACATATCTAGTCTAGTCAGTGTCCAATCATCCGAACGAAGAATTCAAAGCACATACCGCGATTAACCATGAGGTCGCTGATACGTAATGTCGTATCCTCATGGTCTCGAAAATGACGCCAGGTTATACGAGGACGTAGAGGTGGCCTCGTGCCATTTGGATTTAGCGGCGCTGTTGTGACATCAAACCAGAGCAGTCGAGATGTTGTAAGAATAAAAAAGTGGGAAGGATTCTGGATGCTTCGTTGCAGGTCCAAAACCCACTCGGATTGCTTTTCCATACCCATTTCGACGAAGCTGGATCTAACATCCTCGCCAACTATCTGGTAGAGCACGGTACAACGACGATCAGAAACCACTACGGTCGAGAAATCAGCAACCCACTCAATCGACATCCAGCCGTCATGTCTCGGGCGCTCAAACTGAGGCTTTTCATCCGTTGATGGTAGCGAGGCCATCGAAACTTTCCTAGCAGCGTAGGTGGATCCATGCTTCCTTTGTCGGCCCGTGATCTCCCAAACGGACCAGTTGCCCATGATATCGACAACGCCGAATTGTCGCGAGTACCACGGGTTGAAAGTCACGTCAGCCAAGGTGAATCCTCCCGTGATCTTTTCCGACAACTCCATCACGGGATTTGCATCAAGTCGGGAGTTTCGGTAGGGAAAAGAGAAAGCCTCTGTATCAGTGTCATTGACGTGCGCAGGTACGGGCTCCCGCTGAAAAATGGGTCGAAAGATCATGATCGATGTCTTCAAACGAGCAGCCATCCAAGCGGTCTTCTTTTCCACGGGCCGCGCAAAACAGATTTGCTGGATGGGGGCTCCCCGTTGTGACCATTCGGTTGTTTCCGCATCGCCAATGGATGGTACATGCAACGAGAAACCCTTATGATCTATCTCTGCAACATCATCCTTCATCATTCGAAACGAGATCGTATCACGACTTGTGCCAGTCACTACGGCTGCGATGGCCACCGGGCCCGGAATACTCGTTGAATCATCACTCGCATGGTCCAGCGCATAGCCCAAGTCAAAAAGGGTCGAGATTTGGGGGTCACAGAGTTCGGCTGCATTCGTAATAACCTTGGAGTAGGCATCGTCGTTGATAGTAGACCATTGTGAAGCAAAGTCGGGGTGCGCACTTGGAATCAGTTTGTCGTCCGCTCGTCGAGAGATTTTATGCGGCGGTTGCAGTTCAGCAGTATTACCAGCCGACGGTATCGTATTCTTTGTCACTCCAGTATATGAGATCGGGGTACAGCGGGCGAAAGAGCGGGCGAAATTCCATGTCTTGGTCTCCGGGAGATAGACAGCTCGTCCCACGTGCCCATAGTGTAGAGCACTGTCAGGATGTTCATCCATGGGATCGTGATTTGCTCCTTGCAATGTGCGCAAGATCCGGCCAGATCATATCGAGGGCTGGGATCGAAATAGTAACCGGTTGAGCGGACGGTAATTTGTCTCGATAGTGAACTTGGAGCTCAGCAATTTTTCTTGGACCGCTTATCGATAAGCCGTTGCGCCGCAACCCAAACATCGTTAATCCCCACGCGTCTCTCATTCTGCCAACCACTCCAAGTCGCGAACTTCGAGAAATTCAGCACTTGCTACCATGACTTCATCATTCGAGCCGTCACTGTCGACGAGTGGCATGCGCCCTCCTCTTGCCTCGGCGGATGCCCCGTCCATGGCCGACTCGCTGCCCAGCATCAACTTTGGATTCGAAGACCTGCGCAATCGCATGGCTCAGTTCACAGCCAAATTCGATGCATTTATCGAGCGAGGCCGCAAGCAAGTCCTGGAGGAAAGAAATCAATTCCATATCAACCTCGCCGAACTACAAGGTACGGTCCCGCGACATCATGCTCCCCCTGGATGTTGACTAATCCGAGGTTTTTAGAGGACGAACGAATGCGACAGCGAGACATTGAAATCCTCAGTCTCAAAAGCCAAACACACGATCAGACACTTCAGAAGGAGGCAGCCGAGGCCGCCGAGATGCACGCGGCCATCTCCTCCATTACGTTGGAACGTGACGCGCGACTTGCCAAACGTGACCGCCTCAAGCAGCAGATCGCAGAGACCCAAAAAGCGATTAATCAAAAGGTGGAGGCACAGAAAGCCCACGCGAAACATTTGGACGCCCAGTCTCGACTTAACTTTCCCGAGCTGGAGTTTTGGCAGGACTACCTTTGTTTACGGATTGAGGGGGCAGGCCGAGAGGATCGGTTGAAATTCGTTTACAGCCACCTGCTAGAGAAGGACTGGGAAGCCGAAGCCTGGTTCGAATTAGGAACTGCCAGCCGAGACTACGAGGTCTTCCATACGCGACCCAAAGTGGATCGGGATGCGTTAGAACGCGAGGTGGATCTGGTCAATGATGACCGAGATTTTGGGGCTTTCCTTAAGCGAATGCGCAAGTTGTTTATGGAGACGATGAACTGAAGATGACTTTGAGTTGTACGAATGTTTTCTGTTATGACATTCATGAGTTTATTAATGCACATGGAGAATCGTGTTCATTCAAATCATCATCATGTTTAACTAGACCATGAAGAGCTCCCCTAGCCACCGGTAGCCTCGCGGTAGAAGGCCACACTGCGGTTTGCACCGCCAGTTGCAAAGCCCTCTGACCTAGCGGTCTTTGGGAGCCACTTGACACTCCAGACAGCTTTTTCGGTCTCGGAGTGGGTGGCGACGCATGTTTTGGTGTCGATCGACCATACCTTCACTTTGCCGTCGAACGAGCTTTGAGAAACGTTAAAACACAATGCTTCTAGGTTGTATTTGCTTGAACTCACCTGCTGAGAAGATACTCTCCGGTGGTGCTCCAGGAAAGAGACAGGACCCATGCAGAGTGGCCAGAGAGATTGGCAATCTGTTCGCCAGAGGATGTATCATACAGCACGATCACTTTCGAGTCTCCCGCAGCTGCAAGAATCTTTCCACCGGGTGAGAAAGCCACGGCTCGTACGGGCTTCACCAAACCTAGGATGTGTTAGATATCGCAGACTTTCATGGTGGATGGTACACACCTGATAGGGAGAACGGCATCCGTCCATGTTCTGTGGTAAAGATGTAGACAGCACCATTCTCATGCCCCGTGGCAATAAATTGACCATCGGCCGACTATACATGTCAGTAGGAGCCATCGAGGGTATTACGACAGGGCTTACTAAGTCGACACAGGTGCCGAAGCTGCCTTTGGTCTCATGATCTCGTATTTGTGCGCCATCAGCCTTCAGATCCCACACGCCGATGTGGCCGTCCTGAGAGACGCCTGCAAGATACTGTCCATTCTCGGATAGAGCCACCGCCCATACATTCAGTTCGCTCAGATTGGCTGCGGGTTCTCGATTAACACAATAGCACTTCCGCGATGATCATTGACAATGTACCTGAAGCTGCCGCGTCTGCGGACCAGTAGCCATCTTGACAGGACCAGACCTTGACATCTCCTGCAAATCCAGCGCTCACGGCCCGCGTGCCACCGGCGTCGGTGACAACGTGATGGCATCCCAGAGCGTGGGCCCCATCGAGGGATTGCACCAGTGGGAAGTCTGCATCAACGGTGGAATGCACCTTGAGGGATGGGGCACCCGATGCCGAGATGACCTGCTTCTCGGTCGCGGCCAGTGAGAAAATATCGACGGGGTGCGCTGGCCCTGGTTAGCACATATCGGGTGGTTCATCACAGATCTCATCACCCACCATTGTCTGCGGAGCCCCACGCGAGATATTGTCTCGACTACCACAAGAGTTAGCTGTAGCTTCAAGCAGGTGTCCAATCCCATCTCACCATGGTGCAATTCGACCAAGATTCCTCGGGCTGCTTGGGTAGTTAAGCTGTTGCGGAGGCTGTGACGTTTGGACTCTCTGACCCGCTATAGGCGCGTACCGCCTTCGCGCCTCAGGTTTTCGGTACATTTGAGGGTTTTCAATCTACCCGCTACAAACTACTTTACTAAACAACTCAATATGATACCAATTGCAAATGTTGTTAATTCAGTCCTCTCGGACCGATAGAATACATAATTCTTTTTTGACCTTCGTAACCAGACGCCAGGTGCCATGCAGCAGATATATCCACAATCCAACCCTAGAAATACACGATGTTTATTCCCAATGGGTTTCCATCGAAGGATCCTTCTCCACATATCTCACGGGGTATTATAGCGAGAGATATTTTCTTCGTTCAATCGAGTCTCATGCGGTTTGCGCTGTCTTCCAAGAGTTCTTGATATCTGGCGGGCAGTTAGCTTGTCTATTCCGAATATTTCCGGGCGACCATCGCACACTCCAGGATATGCGCTCAAGAAAAAATGATCCAAAAAAAAGGTCATCCTCCCAGGAGCAGCATGCGGGTACAAACATACCTCTCACGCAGTGGGGGCACAGCATATGAGCCCGCTTGACCTGCCCGCAGCCGGGACACTTGTTGAGGCTCTGCACATCCTTCAGGGCCTTGCCTGCCATTTGACGGTGGCGTTTCTTCATGTGCGAGGTCTTCTTCTTGGGGACGGCGCGGAGGACGGATTCCCAGAGGTCGGCGAGGATGGGCGGAACGGTGATGGAGATAGGCAGGGTCAAGGATTGGAGGAAGCCGAGGGGAGCGAGCCGGGGCACGCGCGGCAGCGGAGCGAGCAATGATGCCATGGCGGGAGTTCGAGGGTAGACCCTAGGTTACCTTGAAAAGCACTGAAGCGTCGAGTTCGTCGTTGCCGCAAATCGTTTTGAGCCGGAGGTACGCTAGGCCTAAAGGGGAATAGCGCACCCCTGAGTTCGATAGGGAAATAACAAGTTAAGGGGCTCTCCAACACCTTCACCTGGGGAAATCTCCTGCTCTGGTCCTTTGCATCACCTCATCTCTCTCATAATGGCCGCCGCTACCACCGCTGCTTCGGCTCAGCAGCCCACCGTCTTTCCCCACAGCCATGTCGGCTTCGATAGCATTACTTCCCAGATCGAGCGGAAGCTGTTGAAGCGTGGCTTCCAGTTCAACGTCATGTGTGTTGGTATGTATACTTCGGCTTTGCTTCACTTCGTTTGGCTCAACATGACCCTGCTTTATTCTGAGACCATTGACTAACCCTCCATTGCGTGTAGGACAAACTGGCCTGGGCAAATCGACTCTCGTCAACACCATCTTCGCATCCCACCTGATCGACTCCAAGGGCCGTCTCACCCCCAATGAGCCCGTGCGCTCCACCACCGAGATTCAGACTGTTTCGCATAGTACGTGTGGCCTTGGAGAACGCTAATAGGGCGCATCAACTGACGGGTTGCCTAGTTATTGAGGAGAACGGCGTGCGTCTCCGTCTGAACATTGTGGACACACCTGGCTACGGTGACCAGGTCAACAACGACCGATGGTACGATATTCGTCCTCTCTTGTGCGCAAAACAAAAAAATGAATACAGGCTAATGACAAGTCCAGCTGGGACCCCATTGTCAAGTACATCAAGGATCAACACTCGGCCTACCTCCGCAAGGAACTCACTGCTCAGCGTGAGCGTTACATCCAAGATACCCGTATTCACTGCTGCTTGTTCTTCATCCAGCCCTCTGGCCATGCGTGAGTTCTTTTTTCCAAGCAATCTGTTCCCGAGTACCCCGCACTAACCCAATTGACTCCAATGTAGCCTCAAGCCCATCGATATTGTCGTTTTGAAGAAGCTCTCGGATGTTGTCAACGTTGTCCCCGTCATCGCCAAGGCCGATTCCCTCACCCTTGAAGAGCGTCAGGCATTCAAAGAGCGGATCAAGGAGGAGTTCTCTTTCCACAACCTGAAGATGTACCCTTACGATAATGATGAGCTCGACGATGAGGAGCGTGCCATCAATGCCCAAATCAAGGTAAGAGAATCTTTGAACACGGCCTCCGGATATGATCTGACATTCGATGCAGGATATCATTCCCTTCTCCGTTGTCGGTAGTGAGAAGACCATTGTCGTCAACGGCAAGCAGGTTCGCGGCCGCCAGAACCGCTGGGGTGTTATCAACGTCGAGGATGAGAACCACTGCGAATTTGTCTACTTGCGCAACTTCTTGACCCGCACCCACCTGCAGGACCTGGTCGAGACCACCAGCCAGATCCACTACGAGACTTTCCGTGCCAAGCAGCTTCTGGCTCTGAAGGAGAGCAGCGCCGCCGGAGGTGGTGGTCACTCGGCTGGCAGCCGGCCCATCAGCCCCTCCGCTGATCGGGAGCTCAGCCGCAACTCTCAACGCGCCGCCATGAACGGATACTGATCTCCCCGAACGCTGTTGTGACTATGTTTAGCGAAGTGAGCGTTATGATGCGCCACGATAGCAGCAAAGCAGACCCCGTGGGCCCAGGTCTCATTCATCCCGCAAAAAACTTACTGTCCCTTTCGGCGCCAGCAGGCCCTTGCAGATATCCCTTTTCCTTTGCGTTTCCCTGTCATTGTCTCCGACATTCTGTACCTCTCCCGGTCTCCTCTGGTCGGGCTTTCCTTATTGTCTAGGATTTATCTTGCCGGAAAAGGAGTGGCATCCAGCGCTCGTGCCATCTGGTCTTTTCCATGTACTTAGTTTCCTTAATTATTCCGGATGAAACTTTTATTTCTTGGATATGCTCGCTCCCACGGTAATCTCGCGGTATAAATGCTATTTTGGAAGGGCTTAGCCGCTTGGAAGGACATACATAAACACAGGGCCTTGATTATGTGGAAAGGATGCGACTATTGTGGCGCTCCAAATCGGCCACCATCCACCACCCAATCCCTCACTTCGATGTAGGCTTTCTCGAGATCGTCATTGACAACAATCCGGTCGTGGGCACCCGGCTGCTTCGCATACTCGAGCTCATTCTTTGCCTGTGCCAAGCGCTTGTTCAGGCTATCCTCGGTCTCCGTACCGCGGCCGCGCAGGCGACGCTCCAGCTCCTCAAGGGACGGTGGTGCCAGGAACAGGAAGCGAGCGTTGAGATCACTGAGCTTGACTTGCTTCACACCCTGGAAAGTTGTCAGTCGCTAGCTTCACACGTCCGTGTCAACAAGTCCCCCGCCTCCACATACCTCCATCTCGATATCAAGAACACAGATCCGCTCCTGCTCTGCAACGGTCTTCACGGCTTGTTTGCTAGTACCGTAGTGGTTGCCGCCAAACTCAGCGTGCTCTATAAAGCCATCTTTGGAAACGAGATCGAGGAAGTCGGATTTAGAGACAAAGTTGTAGGCGACTCCGTCCTGTTCACCGGGGCGAGGGGCACGAGTAGTGTCTAGGCGCATGCGCAAAGACGTTAGCTTGATTCCGGTCTGAGGACGATGGGGGGGGTTTCACCTACGCGAAACGCTGAAGCCGAAAGTATTCGGGGTCTCGGCGAAGAGCCTTTTGAGAATCGTGGATTTACCAGTGCCCGAAGGCCCTGAGATCACCACCGGGCGGAATTTCTGGACTGTAAAGGCGGGTTAGTTTACGGGTTTATCTGGGAGGGCCCCGACAGGGGGCGTTTATGGTCCTACCAGCGCTGGAGGCCATTGTCGATGCGGAATGTCTCGCGCAAATAAACGATTTAGAGAAGCAGACTGACAAATGACGCAGAGGAGAGAAGCAATTCATCGGCCAACAATGGAGAAGTTGGATGAAACCGCACAACTACGAAAACGTCGGGCAGAATGAAGGCGGTGATGCCGATACCCCGACATCGATGCTCATCTATACATACACAGCCCTCGACATAAAAATAACATAACACATGCGCTATGACTTCATGGGGCCGGGATGACTCCCTCGTCTCATCGAATTCATGTTCCCGGCCTCTGCTTCCTGCTCCAGGAAATTAGACCACAGTTCGGCCAACGACTCCTTGCTCGATGCTCCGTTGTCCATGAACTCGGTGGCCAGGTTCGGCGTGCTGGGTGTACGTAGAGGAGTACCGGGCACGCGAAGCTTCCCTGGCATGCTCGAAGTTCCCGGTCGGGCCAACCCTGCCTGTTCACGTTGTTCTGTATACACGGATAAGCGAAACGCAAGTATAAGCAGTGCGAGAGGGACACCTACCATCGTCCCAACCCAGTAGAGCTGCAATCAGCTGGAGAATTTGAAACTTCTTTGGATCCGATCGATCCAGGGCCAGGAAATGTAGCAAATGATTCGTGACAATGTGTCTGGAGATGTTAGCAACGAATGAACGCATCGGTCCTCACTCCAAGCGAGTCTCACCGGTCCACGTTGTCTTCTGGCTTTCCCTTCTTCAGGAATCGCAAGGCCTTCGTCAAATGGTCATTGAGGGTGACTGCTTCGTGTCGCAGCTTGCCAATGAGAAGATTCTTCTCCTTGACCTCCTTCTCGAACGGACGCGCCCGTTCCAATTCTTCCTGTGCGGCGTGGAGATTCTTGTCGGCGTCGCTAGCTTGTTGCTGCGCATCCCGTAGGGATCGCCTCAACTCTTCAAGCTGAGAGTCAGAGCTCTCCACCAGCTCCCGAAGCTCCTGTTTTCGTGCCGTTTGAATCTCCTGCAAAGCCCTTTGCAAACCGTCAACGGTCGACTGCTGGCTGTCACGTTCATTCGAAGCTTTTTCATAGGCGTCCCGGAGATTACCAAGCTGCTCTTCTAGGTCGGCGACTTTCTCGCCTAGATTCTCACGAATCGATCGTTCCTCCATTGCAAGGACTTCCCAGCTGTGCATGGCCTCCTTTGCCTGTTCAAACTCGGCTTGAAGGTACGACTCCTGCTCCATCAGTTCCTCCTTTTCCTTGAGCCAGTTTTGCTGAGATAAGTTCGTACGATCCCGAAGGGTGGAGATCTCCTTGGATTGCCGGGCCGACTCTTCTGAGAGGCCTGCTAGTTCCGTAGACTTTGATTCGAGCTGCTCTTTCAGGTTTACGTTTTCATCCTCCAGTTCTTCGATCTGGGATCGAGCTTGAGCCAATTCTTCCTGTATCCACATGTAAGCAGGGTCGCTCGGTAGAGATCAACGAGACAGGTCAACGCACAGCATCCTCCTTCATCCGTTGCCCGAGCTGGGACTTAATTGTATTCACGCGCTCCAGGAGGTTCTGGAATTGCGTTTCTGCTTGTTCCTTCTTGGTCTCCGAGTCTTCCAACTTCAGTTGCAGAGACTCCATGTCTGTCTTGTGTCTGGATTGGATCTCTTCGAGGGACTTGCGCATATCGATGACTTCGGCACGGAGGGAGTCTCGGTCTCGAACAAGCGCATCGAAGCGGTCTTTGGGCTCGGCGTCGTTGAAGGCGGGGTCGCGAGTCTCTTGAGCAGCAGCGCCGGTGGGTTTCTGGTTCTCGGAATGTTGGTTTTGCGCGCCACTGTCGGTGACACCGGGTTGAGCACCGTCGGCATCGGGGGTTGTTGCTATTGAATCGGCCGGTTCATCGGGGTCGTCCTGGGCTTCTCAGTAACGGTTGCAATGGCAAACGGGGGGAACCGTGACACACCTGACCGGCATCGTCTTTGTTTTCCGACACATCTGGACGGTCGTTCTCGGCCTCTTGGGGGTTCTCCTTGGCTCTCGCGCCCTTCTTCTTGTTCTTCTTCGACTTGGAGCCTGGGATCGAGCGGGGTCAGTGGGATAGAACTCAGGGGATTAAATGTCCAATAGTCGCACCTTGAGCAGGTGGGGGATTTTCTCCAGGCATGCTGGCGACGTCTGTTGATTGTCTCCGAAGGGGAGAAAGAGGTGACGAACGGAGTCCCAGGTAAAGCTGTCAACAGCACTAGCGCGGGCTGGGTCCTTTCCGCCCTAATACGGATCGCGATGATTAATCTACCTGACACCGTCAACGCCTTTGAACCTTCAACCATGAAGTTGTCTACTAGAGAAATGTTTCATGTTATCTGAAGGGTGCTCTTTACACGGCATGCTTGGCATCCCTCGTACACCGACTCGTCCTTGCGTCCCAGCACATGTACAAGGGCCATTTGCCCATACTTTTACTCTAATCAAGTTGCTTATCTTTTGCATTGTGAGAATGCCCATTATTTCCAATGGGTTCGGGCGTGAAAAAAGAGCTTCATAGCATCATGTTTTATCGTCGACCTGCGAGATCGTGGCCTCACATATTGCCTCACATAAAGTCGTCCAGGAAGTCCTCATCCCGGTCCTGATTGTTGCTGGCCTCCATGTTTTCTGCGCTGAACATGTCGTCGTACGCATGGTCCTTCTGCCACTTGAGTTGTTCACGCTCTCTCTTTTCCAGCTTGTCCTTCTCTCGCTGCTGGTCTCGAGTCTTCCGCTCGTCGTTTCGCTTCTTCTTCATGAAGTCCTCCTTCTCCGCTCGGAGATCAGGGAACTTCTCGACACGGGTCTTGTTGAGTCGGTTGACAATCGGATTTTCGCGTTCTCGGACCAGGATTTTGCGGACCAGCTTAGGGTTGTGGAAGGAGACTTGACCGGTGGCCATCGAGCCATCCTTGTAGAGGTTGAACCATGGCGTATAGATGATGGTGATGTTATCCTTTTTGTTTCCTGTAGGTGGCTCTCAGTTTCCATATGCAGGCGTCGGGGGTATTCTCGTCACTGACCCTCGATGGAGTTCGCCTTGGTGAGTTGTGCGCAGTCCTCGAGGAGGGGTTGTGGGATATTATCCCATGTTTCTCCGTCGCGGAGCCGTACGTAGACGTGGGCACTCGAGAGGTTATCAACGTGGAACTGGGTGGGCAAGTATCAGAGCATTGGTCGCAACGGGTGTGCAATGGGCAACGAAACCGACCCTGTCACGAGGCAATGGAATCATTAGTCACACAATCCACGAGGCATTATAGCAGGCCAGGCATACCAGACATCGCTGTCTAATCCAAAGTTGATCAGATCCTCATCTGGCGAAACTGTTAGGAACGTTCCTCAGCGAGCCAATCGGTGGCATACTTTCGAACTTGTCCTTGCCGACATACAGGAAGGCGGACGGGCTGACGACATTGGATGTGAAATAGTAGACCATGGCGAACAGACTTCCGTGGCCAGGCGGGTTTCGACCGGTCGTATGCTGGGCACGTTGGCTCCTTCAAGAAATCCCAAGTCGCCGGGGAAGTTCGAGGCACGTTGGAAATATTGGCTGCTGAGTCATCCAGCGATATAGTTCGGCCACTGGCAGTGAAGGGAGTATAGAGTACAAAGGTACACAAGTCATTCCAACATTTGAAGGTTCTACGAGGATGAATATTCAAAATTGAATGTCTCATGTTTCCTATTGAATGGAGTGGGCGCTCTTCAAAAACGTGGGGTAGTCTGATCATTCATAAATCGGGTGGGATGAGTATTCATGAGTTCGTTTCCTGACTAGGGAGACTTGGAAAAATAACAATCGCATTTTTACCAAGGACACGCAATATGCTCAAGGAATGGCACTGCGTCCATCTCGGTGTCTTAATATAGGTAAAACAAGTTTACGTGAAGAAACCCAAGAAGACATCGCCATGTACACGACGAGCCGAACCAGAGACTAGGGCACAAGTTCAATTCGTAAGGAAATACTAGAGAGGCGCAAGAACCTTATACAAGCTCACAGGAAAGTAAGGGCGACACGAAAAGTCAAAGCGGTGCGAAGAGACTTGCAGTTCCGAAATGGATCGGTGGTAATCGCGACGTGACCGACGTTACCAGACCATCTCATTCCCCTCTAGGATACAACACCTCCCCGGGAAATATGTGGAACCAATATGTGGAAGATAAGAAACCAGCACAATCAACGTGAAGCTTTTGGAGCGGTCTGGTTCGCTCATTCATTTAGAGTTGCGCGGTGGAGCTCCTTCAGGCACAGTTCTCCGGTCCCCTGTTCTTCCAAGTTCCCAAACTTCGCTTTCTGTCCCAACTTGGTGCAGGGGGAAATCAGTATCTCAGGGAGACAGATGCATTTGATGCACTGGTGTGGAGAGCCCGATGGACTTCATTCCGGCGCAATAATCTCTCTGGGTTTCAGCTTCCTTCCGGTCGATGCGAACCTTCCCACTCTCCACCCCCCTTTGAAGCTTAAGCTCGATCCGATTTGCCTCCTGGCTCCGTGAAGCCCTCACTTTCCGTTCGTGTAACATATCATGAAGCCGAAAAGGGTCGCCGGGGATGAGGCTGCGGCGGTTCCATCGTCCGCGTCTATGTCGGCGAGACCTTCTGAAACGGCCCAGGAAGCGCCGGATCAACAAGTGACCCAGATGTGGTGCCAAAGTGCAATCTGCTCAGTTGGTGGATAGCTTGCGCGAGAGAATCATCTTCCTCCAACTCCTGCGATGCTGCGCCAATGGAGCCATGTGTGCGCGGTCGACAAGCGCGGGACGAGTCAAGAAAAGAAAAATAACCAAGCAACGATCAGCACTGACTCCTAAATTGTTGAGCCCTTCTATGTTGCCCATTTTCATCCGAGTCAGGCCTTCGGGTCAATGCAAGGTCGAGGATTTCCAGTCGCCCTTCAACATGAACCACCGCAAACCCACTGGGTAAGGGAATGGAGCTGGCGCCGCGATAGGAGACCCTGGAGCGCGGAATGACTATTTCGGGAAGTTGAGGAGCCTCACCGTCCCGGACTAGCAGATCTCCACTCAGCTGATGCACCGGACCTGATGGGCTCGGGGCATGCATTTTTCTCACTTGCGAGTTGGATTGGTCGTGCTTCTAATCTATCAGGCTTAAGCGACCTGCCTTACCCTTGAACTCAATGGCCCAGCGACAAATCTGGGCCTGGCATTCGTGGTGGACTCGTTTCGATCCTCCCCGGCTAGCTCGATCCTAGCCGGAGCATGTCATAATTTAGGCCGAAAAAACCGTTACGCCAAGGGCGGTAAATGCTTCCACGGCGGGCGAGCCCGTTCATGCCAAACCATCCCACTACCCTCCTGTTCATATTAAAAGGGCTGATGTCCCATCCTGGACATCCCGGTGGCCTCTTACGGGAACCTCCTCGACCGTCCTTGGAGAATCTAGGCGCCGTCTTTTTCTCTTCCCCCGGATGAGTTCCCATCTGTGTCTGTCTTTGTGCATCGGGATCTATGGAAACTAAAGTTGACAGCTACCGGTGTTTTGCCGGGTGTCACTCTTAGCATCTCGGCCTACTGGACGGGTCCCTCCCTCCCTCCCCCCCCCCTCTCCCCTTTCCCTTGCTCCACTTCGGCTCCAGTTGATAATTGAAAAAGACTCCGAAGTTCCATCTGGTCGCATGCAAGATTTTACCTTCTTTCCCTCGCCTTTTTGTCTCAATTTCACCGGTTCCCCTCGTACGCATCTCCATCTCCTCCGCCGTCCGCGGCAATTCCCCATCACGAACCCCTGGAGGACCCCGCATCTTCAATCGTCGCATCGTCCTCGATATGTCCCGCTCATCAGGAGATCCGGAGGCCATCCGGCGGGCTTTAGAACGCGCCCGAGACTGTGAAACTGGCTCGGTGGACGATCATACTACCACCATCCTCGAAGCTGCTATCGCTGAACTATGGAGTCGGATCAGCGCCGCACCCCAAACCTATGTTCCTAGTCCAGATGAGTTTGCTCTTCTCAACTATTTCCTCGAACGCTACCGTGGTTCCGCTGTGGCCCAAGGGGCCGTGAGGCGATTCTGGGACAATTATCACGGCCCGCCCAATGTCGACGGAAGAAAGAAATAATCAGAACGACCACACCCAGCTTGACTTGAGACAAGCTACCGAGCTGAATATGTGTCTTCAACTGAGGGCATTGTTTCAGCGTGCACATCCCAGAATGCTCGTGACGGACGAGGCCTGCATCTGTAAACCTGCCGCGGTTAACCCCATACTGGCACAAATCCGGAACAAGAGATCGGTACACTATGATGCTCAGCCCCATGCTGTGCTCCGCAGGTGACCACACCGACAATTCTCAGCTGCAGAAGAGAACCCCCCGACGGTAGGAGCTGGGGAGACAGCAGACCAAGGCGGCTCTGTGGCTGGGCCAGTCCACTTCTGCCTAGACATGCGCTCGAGGAGGGGGAGCAGTATGATGCGGGCCGTTGCGCTTCTAGCGGGAGTCGGTGTGTGGTGCATCGATCCCTGTCTCAGTCGGGACCGCATGCATCGGGCAGGGCATCTCCGCATACCACCGGAAGTGATCTGATTGAAGAAGGAGACGAAGCAATGACTCGTCTTGTGAAAATTATATATTGACTGGATTGTTACGACGGTATCTCAGCCGTATGAGCCTATATGATTGACACAGTGTAAATATAATGACGTCTCATATGACCACATCTCGAAACCGCGTGGCAAATAGCTGCATGGATCCGCCAGCAATTTCTCCGACGGGCCCGCTAGCGACTGTGGGTAAAGGTACTCCGGTACTTTTGGCATTGCGATGGGGGACCGATTTCCGCCATCCAGCCGGACCAAGGAGATATTGCAGATGGACCTAAACACTTTATTCTCTTAGTTCTTCCGAACCTCCTTCTAGATATCTTTTGGTTCCCTTTTTCAAGGTATCGTTATGCACGTCTCTTCGAATATGCCCGGACCGATGGTCATGACCGCCTAATGAGGCCCTAAAATATCTCCTTGGTCCGGCCATTACTAAGAATGGTTTGCCCAAGGAGGCGTGACTCGTTTGAAGGAGTGAATTCTGTAAAGTATGTGTGGCTTCCGTAGCCTAATGATCGGTCTGCGTTCCCCAAACTTGCCGAGCACCAGGTTCCTTGAAGAGTCGCCACTTTTATAACACCCAACAGACTTAGTACAACGAATTGTCTGTATATGAGAAGCTCTCTCCCCCGAGTACTTCACGCAATTTCTGGATGATCGATCTCACGGAAAAATACAGTCCAAAAATACCAGAAAAAAATCTAAAGCCAAAAAAGTAGTTTCTGGCTCCGGGTCATGAACCAACAATTTCGGTTCAAGTAAAGCCAAAAAAATTCCCGGAAAGCGAAACGAAGCCCAACTGGCGAAAAGGGAAGTCCAAAGATCAATCAATCTTGCTTCCAAGCATTGGTCTTGTTCCAGCGAGACATACCGCAGGGCCCGAGACATCATTGAAGACCAGTATCTCAACTATTATTCAGGGCAGTATCCAAGAAACAGCACAGATGAGGGTCCAAGCTGCGCGGGTCACGAACGACCGGGTATGCATTGAGTTGGTGCCTCGAAACAGACGAACATAAATGAACTTCACCGCAATCTGCGCATTCACAACCCCTCCGCTCACAATCTAGATCGGATCAGGTCAGTTATACCTGGACACGGTAGTCCACTGCGTGACACATACCGTGGGAATGGCAATTCCGTATGAGATCCTTCGAAAAAGCTTCCGTGCAGAATTCAGAGCCAGAGACATGACATCTGACCGCACGTATGCATAGCTCCCACTTACGGTGATGGTATACAGGATCATTTTGCATACTTGCAGAAGGGCTCTCGGGAAGTCCCTGATGTCTTTTAGCTCGGAGGATAAGGTGACGAAGGACACATGGCCATCGTATCAAAGACAACATTAGCCCCGGCCAGGCGCGCCTCATGCACCGTCGGAGCAGGAGAAAAGGCTGGGATGTGACCTTGGGGTATCTGTTCAAGAGAAACACCGATCATGCTGGTCAAAACTGCACCGGTGGTGCTAACGAAGCTCACCGACGAAAGACGGGGTAGTTTCTCGAGCCAAAGCAACGGAAGCATAAAGGTTGGTGCAAGTGGAGCGCTCGTTGAGGAGGTTCATCTCAATCGCCAATCGTGAGGATACGGTTGCCCATCACGAAGACGAAGAACCTAGGCTGTACAATGCCCAGGAATCGGCACTCGAAGCGGTCCACGAGAAGATCGCTGGCATCTGCCATACTTTAAATGTGTGGGTGATCTTGTTTGACCGATCCGATGGGGTATCTATCCTATGTATGTGGTGATCGTCTCGCCTGGCAGTCTCCCCGGCCCATGTTTCGTAGTCTCATTCTGATTCTGGTCTGCGTAACTGAGCTGGTGATAGGAACAAGGGAAACATTTATATTTGTACAGTGACTGATTCTAGCTTATATACCACACACATCTAATTGGCCGAGGCCGATACGGCATCACCAGTGGGTTGGGCAATAGACTCGCCCTCGAGAATGTCCGCCGGCGGGTCTGGGAATGGTCAGCAAATGATTTATTGATTTATTAGTGAATGATTCAGGCAACGTACCAGTGCGGGAGAAAGTCTTGCGCGAGTCGACATGGAAATCTCTCACGCGGCCGTTGAGGACCTCCTGTCGAGACAGGCTAAGCAGGTTTTTGGAGAGACCCATCGAAGAGAGATATGACACCGACTCCTTCCATTCAGTGTCCTTGCGGTGGTCGGACCAGTTCAGTTCCTCGCCCATCAGGTCGATGACGCTCGGAAGCGCTTCCAGGGCAGCCTCGGAGTTCAGGAAAGCCAGGCGAGTGCGACGGGCAATCACGTCAACCGCGGTCTGAGCATATTCGTGGCGGACAGCGTAGCGGACCTCGCCGTCAACGAAGGGGTACATGGGGGAAATACGGCAGCCCCGAACCGGGAAGCGAGCATTGGTCGGGGACGACAAGGCGGCGACCTGCCACGCGCGGTCACCGTACGAGATGGTGAGGTGCTGAGCTACGTCGGTCTCGAGACCGAAGTGCTGAATCAGGTTGATGAAGAGAGTCTTGGAGAAACCGTGGGCGCCGATCAGGCGGACCTGGTGGGTCTGGCAGGAACCGTCCAGAGTGGCGCCGTCAGCGACCAGGCCACTGCCACCGACACCACTGATATCCGGAGCGTCCTTGACCTCCCGAGGCTTCAGGTTGAACTGGCTGATAGCCTCATCTACAGCCTCCTCGGCCATTTGACGATAAGTGGTCCATTTACCACCGGCACAGGTCAACAGTCCCGAGGGGGAAACGGTGATCAGGTGGTTGCGAACCAGGGCCTGAGAGCTGGTCTTGTTGGGGTCGCGGACCAAGGGACGGATACCCGACCAGGCGGCCAGAACGTCGCTCCGGTCGACAGTGATATCTGGGGCAAGGTAGCCGCGAATCTCCGACAGAATCCAGTTGATGTCCTGCTCGGAGGGCTCCGGGTGGGGGGTGATTTCAGTGGGTGCATCGGTAGTACCGGCAATGGTGTTGCCCTGCCAGGGAAGGAAGAAAATGACACGGCCGTCGGAGGTCGATGGGTCGATCAGCCCCATGTTCGAAGGGCTGTAGTATCCGGGAAGAATGACGTGAACACCGGAGCTGGGGGCCACGATCTCCTTGATACCCGGCTCGTCCATCTTGCGGATGGAGTCGGTGAAGGGACCCGTGGCGTTGATGATACCCTTGGCGCGGATGCTGAACTCTTCGGTCTCCTCACCGTCCTTGGAGGGAATCACATCTTTCATGCGCGCACCGCACAGCTTGCCGGAGGCGTCCTTGGTCAGACCAGTAACCTCCATGTGATTCACGACGGTACCACCGTAGAGAGCAGCTGTCATGGCGAGGGAAACGTTCATACGGGAATCGTTGTGTGCGCCATCTTCAACAAGTCAGCAATTCCCCCTTATACACTAGCTCGAGGAGCCAAGGGCGTTGTCTTACCGTAGTACACCATGGCACCGACCACGTTCTCGCGCTTCAACATGGGGAAGGCATCAATTGCCTTGCTCTTGGTCAGGAAATACGAGCTTTCAATGCCTTCCGAACCAGCCAGGAAGTCATAGGCCTTGCAACCAGCCCAGAAATAAGGAGCCTGCCACAATTTCTGCACCGGCACCATGATAGGAAGCCACTGTGAGAGGTGAGGAGCCGTGTTCAAGAAATATTTGCGCTCACGGAGAGCTTCCTTCACCAGCTTATATCTGCAACGCCACGCACGTCAGCAAAATTAACATCGGAGCGCGAGGCAAGATGGAAAACTGACTGGTTGTAGTCCAATTCCCAAACGGCCTTCTCCAAGTAGCGAACACCACCGTGCACCAACTTGGTACTCTTGCTACTGGTACCGGCACTGAAATCATCGCGCTCAACCACCGCAACCTTCAATCCTCGAGTGGCCGCGTCCAAAGCGATACCTGAACCCGTCGCACCACCTCCGATGACCAGCAGGTCGTATTCCTCCTCATTCTGGCTGCGCTTCAAGTCCTGGATCTGCTCCAGGCGAGATTTGATGGTGGGGAAAACAGGAGGCACCAGCTTGCCTTCACGGTAGCCGGGCGGGGGAACTGCGGGAGCTTCGAGACCGGGAATATTGCGCGGACGGTAGGAGATGTAGAGGACTCCAGCACCGGCGGCCGCGGCCGCCGAAGTGTAGAGCAAAGGTCGCAGAAACTTGCGCGAATGACGAGCGGCCATTATCCGATATCGGTTGGACTCTTAGTCCCTAGCAATTCACACAAGATATGTTGTAAGGGTCAATCGACCGAGTCAATGGCGGCCCTTCGATTAAGGGTCGTGCAATTGAAGGGGGGTGATGAGAGGAGAGAGTGGAGGAGGGAAGAAGGATGGGAAAGAGGACGGGAGGGGAGGTAGCAACGAGTCACAGCTAACGATTATGGAACCCGGCAAATACTTTGGGGCAGTCAGCATCTTAAGGCAGGATATGCGAAATGGGGCTACGTTATCCGCTACACCTTCCCACATCAAACCGGTTGATAACCCATCTTTACCTTGGACACACCCTGCGTCATTCCCTTGGACCCGGCCCATTGGAGGCCACTGGCGGTGGATCAACATGACGGCGTCCATGCTCTGAATTGCATTCCTCCACCAATCATTGCCTCGGCAGCGACCTTGTTCGAATCCACCGGAGTTCCGCCCCGGCTACATGTGACGCGCAGAGATTTCGCGTCCCGTTTTCTTTTTGCCAGGGTCTCTCTCCTTGCTAGGAACCGGGCTTCGGCAAGCCTGACGATCCCGTCCTCGCATGGTCCCGATGTCGCCCCGTTCTGGACTCGGCGAAAATAATACCATAGTACAATTTTTGCATGCGCAGCTGACTTGCGGCTCGATCCACACAGATCGCGGCCCCGGTTTTCAGGGGCGACTTTCGCGGATCCACTATGTAGCGTCATGCCAACCTGCCCTGTTCACTCTCTCTCCCCCCTTCTCTACGGGATACGGAGTACGGAAGATCCAAACAAAACCGGATGAGATCCACATCCCGTGCCAGCTTCGCATTGCGCTCCTTGCCGGTTTGCGGGAATGCCGCGCTCAACGACGATCCCTTCATGATTGGAGAGTGGAGCAGGCAAATCTGACTTGAGGACCCGTGTAAGAATGGAGACTGCTGATTGCTTCTTATTATTAGGGCCATTGTCACTAGTCCCGTATATAAATAAGATTGAACAGGGGTCAAGCTGCACGAGTGCAGGAACCCCGGTCACGGGACGAAGCCCTAGAGTCTGGCTTCGGCATAGTTATGTATCCAGGCCTGCTCTTAGCGACTCATCCAGACCCTAGACAGACCGAGTAGACGTGGGCTATTATACGGTCAATATATACAAAGACGTCGTACACCGTACTATGAACTATGGGATTCGTCGATCGAGCGCTGTATTTCCGGTGCAGAACAGGGCGGTTCAATTCCGCGCGGAACTCGGCGCGGTCGACGCCTGAGGTAAAAGTGTGGGGTAGTACTCTCTGCTCTCCGGCTGCTCTGAGAACTGGAAGCGTTCGCTGGGCAGCACGGAAATGTTCCATTCAAGCCGTTGCCGTTCCTCCCTCTGAAGTCTCTTATATTTTGGCCCGTGACTGTTGAGTCCCGGTTCTGGGAGAGAAACCAAACATCCAGCCATGGCCATCGCAAGAATAATCTCGGCCCTACAGGCCAGAGTGATCCAGTCTCCCATGCAGTCACTGGGCATCGCTGTCCTCATCCTACCCTTCCTCTATGTCATCCTCAACGAGTTCGTTCGCTCTTCGGCCCGCGTCAAGGGTATGAAAGGCCCTATCGGCCTGCCGCTGATCGGAAACCTGGCCCAGATTCGATCGAACGCGGCAGAGCAGTATCGCATATGGTCGAGGAAATTTGGATCCGTGTATCAGATTCAGCTGGGCAACATTCCCGTAGTCGTGGTGAACTCCGCTGCAGCGGCGAAAGTCCTCTTCGGTCAGAATGCTCAAGCTCTGAGCTCGCGGCCGGAATTCTATACGTTCCACAAGGTGAGTTGAGCTGCACTTCGACACCCGTGTCGTGTCTGTCTTCGCCATGAACTAATGTCGGCCCTCCATAGATCGTCTCCAATACAGCCGGCACGACTATTGGAACTTCACCCTACAGTGACTCGCTGAAGCGTCGCCGAAAGGGTGCTGCCTCGGCTCTCAATCGGCCGTCGGTTGAAACGTACGTCCCTCATCTGGACGTGGAGTCCAAGGCCTTCGTGGAAGAGCTGAATCGCTATGGCAATGGCGGCAAGACCCCGGTTGATCCGATGCCCATGATTCAGCGCTTGAGTCTCAGTCTGGCTTTGACTCTGAACTGGGGTGTCCGTGTGGCATCCCAGGAAGAGGACATGTTCGACGAGATCACGCATGTGGAGGAGGAGATTAGCAAGTTCCGCAGTACCACGGGTAATTTACAGGATTATATTCCTCTTCTGCGGCTGAACCCGTTCAGCAGCAATTCCAAGAAGGCGGCAGAAATGCGTAAGCGACGAGACAAGTATCTGGGCTCTCTCAACCGGAACCTGGATGACCGAATGGAAAAGGGAACGCATAAGCCGTGCATTCAGGCCAACGTGATTTTGGATGAGGAGGCCAAGTTGAACAGCGAGGAGCTCACCTCGATCAGCTTGACGATGCTTTCTGGCGGCCTCGACACCGTCACCACTCTCGTCGCGTGGAGTATCGGCCTACTCTCGACACGACCCGATGTGCAGGACAAGGCCGCCAAGGCAATCCAGGAGATGTACGGCACGAACGATCCCATGTGCGCGGCGGACGACGACCAGAAATGCGCATATGTTGCAGCCCTGGTGAGGGAGTGTCTTCGGTAAGGGTGACCATCGGTATCATCAACGAACTAGGCTTACCGGGCTTGACTCTCTTTAGGTACTTCACGGTCCTTCGACTCGCCCTCCCTCGAACCTCGATTAGAGACATCACGTACCAGGGTACCGTAATTCCCAAGGGCACCGTCTTCTTCCTGAATGCCTGGGCATGCAATATGGGTAAGTGGTCATACAGCGTCACGTCGGCCTCGACTAACCCATTGATAGATCCGGACGTGTGGACCGACCCGGACATGTTTCGGCCGGAGCGGTGGTTTGAGCAACCGGACGCACCCTTGTTCACCTACGGCATGGGCTATCGCATGTGCGCCGGGTCGCTACTGGCCAACCGCGAACTCTATCTGGTCTTCATGCGGATGCTCAACAGCTTCCACATCAAACCCCATGACGACGTGGACTGGCACCCCGTTCATGGCAACTCCGACCCGACCAGTCTGGTTGCCATTCCGCAAAAGTACAAGGTGCGATTCGTGCCCAAGGACGCCGGTGCGTTGAATAAAATTCTGACGACATCCTGAACGGGACGGGAAAACACGACCTGAAACGAAGAGGAGAGTGGAAACATGAACTCATGGCATGGGATCATGAGTGACTGTTAAACCTTGACGACCGGAAGATCCAATCGGTGCTGGCAGCTCAAGATCAAACCACTCGTGGGTGGAGCATCCGAGCATCCACCCGACTATCCCCACTGTTTACGCTCGATACCGCTTTGGCCAATTGATGCTCCACGGAGCTTCTTCATTTGATGTGTAGTCTACATTCTGGCATCAGATCCATCGCTAAGCGCCCCGTACAAATCACGGGCTTTGCAACATTCTGTATCATGAGCCCATTAAATCCTTCCAATTCCAAATATATCACAAGGTCCAACATAAAAAACAAAACGACAACAAAAGGGTATATAGTTTCGTTTCGTGAAAAGCGGGAAGTATTCCAAATCCAAGCCAAATTTCTTTTTTCCCACTGACGCCGGTGTTTTCCGAGTTATGCAATGTTTCGCTGAGAGAAAGGGCATCGATGCCCGAAGGGTGATAGATCGTATGAAGATCGGTCGAGGCAGGCTCGAGATGGTTTACGAGGTGGTCAAGCGCCGCTTGAGGTCTCGGACGGGATCGAAGCAGCTCGCATAGTCTCGCAGCTCATCCTGAAGCTGGTCGGAAAGGGTGGCATTTGAGGCGTGGCTCCTGAGGGAGGATAGCGAGGTTTGGGAGGACGAAGCCGATAGGCTACGTGCAGATCGGGTGTCAATGTTGGAGTCGGCGGTGGATGAACGAGAATGGATATTCACAGTCTGTCGAGGCTTCTGCGACGAGTCGTCTTCGGCAGATGTTCGATCCAGCTCGGCGAGTCGACATGATTGAGAGCAGTAGGGACCGCCCGAGGTCTGTCGGTCACAGACGAGACAGAAATCCAAAGACCATTCGGTGGACATGGTGTGTGAGAGATATGGAGAGGGAGAGGGAGAGGGAGAGAGGAAGAGAGGGCGTTGAAGAGTCGAGTAAAAGGCAGAACCCGGAGAGCAGCCGGGCGTGCAGATATGTAGTTGAGTTCAGCGATCACCTCATGGATCCACCGTGTCACGGTCATGCCACACCCGGGTACGGGTACGAGGCAAATAATATACAAATACAAAAAGCATGATCCTCGCACGGATAATCCCTGCAGCCTACCACGGCGCAGCACGATGGTTGCGGGGGGAGGGGGGCCAAATTTTGGCGTGGCTCGGGCGCTTAAGGCGAAAAAGCGGACCTTGCGAGAATTCCAGCTGCAGGAACCTCGAATGGGCAACCGTCGTCGAATTCCCCACTCACGTCGTGCCTCGCGAGCCCGTCGTCTGCCCACATGAGGTCTGAGCCCACCGATGGGCTGTGGGTGCCTGAGTTGACTGGTGACGATACCGGAAGAAGAGATGTGTAGCTATCTCCAGCCACGAAGATCATTCAAACCTTGCGCTACTCCATCATCGTCCAGATAATTGTTTGATGTAATTACATGGCGTGGCGCCTGAAACTATGATGAGGTGGTAACCTTCTCATCCTTGCTTTTGCGCGTCACTTGGTTGGTCCTTCCCCCTCTCCAACCCCTCGGACCCCTCAAATCCCCCTCCAGATAAACTCAGGCTGCGTCTACTACGCTAAAGGGTCACGCGATGATCGGTTGAGGAATGCAAATCCCCTGAAATGCGGGGGGGGACCAAAGGATCGTGCTCACGGTACTTAACCCATGGGAACCCGGCGATCACGATCCTGGCTTGTCGCGCCGACATTTCTCCGGGTCTATGGCGACGGGCAATTGGGCGAAATTGCTGAGAGGGGTTGAGGCTAGTCGCACATGATAGGGCCGATGGTGGGAACGAGAGAGGCGTACAGATTGAAGTCCGTAGCTCGCCATCCTGTATCCGGAGTCAAGTCGAAAAGGAACGGCCTCTACCTCATTCGCCGGATTTGTCGCGTTGGTCGGCGGGGATGCGAACCAAAGTGGCTGGTAAGCGAGACTCGCTCGGAGATTCCTCTGTCTCGGGCCCAGTGGAATCCGGAAGTCCACTAGCTTTTTCTGCGATAACGTCAGTCACTTGAACCCCTCTGATAAGCATTCCCTCAAGCTTACTGGAGGCGAGGCTGATGGCACGGAGGACATTATCCCAATTTGCAAGCACGCATGCAACGGCTGGAATCGAATTAGTAGGCGTGCAGTCGCAGACGGGGGAAAAACCACCTTCGGTGCCATCTTTCAACGTGGCAATTTTGCTCTCGAGGGCTTGCATTTGCATGGCCAGCGTTCCACTCAAATCCCGCAGCTGTCGTAGATTCTCCAGCTCGGCCTTCTTGGCCGCGATACGCGTTGACAACGCTGACGAGGGCTGAGAGGGCGGACGAAGCCCGGCTCCGGGAAGCATGGAGGTCGGTCGCGACGAATAGGCCATTACGGAAATGCGGCGACTGGCGTTTTCCAGAGAAGAGCGATGTTGTTTGCGCAGTTCGCGTAGATCACAGTTCTTGAGCGGCGACCAACCTGATCTTCAAGTCACGCGTTCCTGGAGGGGCTGCTGAGTCATAGAAACATGCGCTAGGCCCAATGCAGGTAAACATCAACAGCCGTGTTTACCTCGATCAACGTTCGATACTTCAATCACTCTGTGCTTCATACACCCATCCGCGAATTGGCCTACCTTGCCACCATGGCCCGGCTGAATGACTTCGCGGCTCCCTCGGAGTCCGTCGAGGCGTGTAAGTTCCGCCCACCCTTTTTTCCCACTTCCCGACCGATTCTTGAAGGGCACGAATTAACGCGATGATCCAGTGAAGCGACGATTCGTGCGACAAAACCGTGAGATCGCAAGGGTCAACTCTATGCAGTCCCTACGCATCCGCAGTTTAGAATCCGAGGTGTCGCACCTCCTCGGAGAGAATGTTTCACTCCGGGAACAGGTCATCAACCTCACCCAGGAGATCGAACGGCTAGAGTCAGCCAAATCGCTCCACGACGGGGTCTACGAGATCAAAAATCGCCTGGAAACGAAAATTGCCGAGCTCAACGGACTTGCATCAGAGCTGGGAAGGTTACCTCGCAAGGCTGGTAAGCTTGGAGATAAACCTGGTGCAGAGTCCGATTACCCAAAAGCGACCGCACTGGAGTCGAGACCTCGAGCGACAGATTTGGAATGCAATGCTGGGCTCGATGACGGAAAGCTCCCCGCCATTTTGGAGGATAAATATTATCCGCGGCGCACATTGGAGTAAGACCCGAAAGGGATCCCCACGAAAAATATCACATGGCTAACCTTTGCAGACCTCAAGAAATCCACAATCTCATCCAGGCCGATCGCAGTCTACCCGGATTACCACATGAGATCCATCTGGATCACGACGAGTCGGATATTGTAGCGGGTAGTTCCAGCCCCGTGTTCCACAAACCCCTATCAGAGCGTCAGAACGAACCCGAGACCGAGGCCACAGGGCCGGAGCCGTTCCTACCGCCAACGCTCGAGACACGAAAGAAGAAAAAGAAGACCGACTTGGCGGGCCCTATAACCGAGAGCACGGTTCAGTCAGACATCCCAAGTCCCAAGATCGAAACTGCACAATCTATGAAATCCGGATCGAAGCGCAAATTTAGCCCTGACAACGACGGTTTCTTGTCCGATACGGCTCCAGAGGATGATGAATTTCAATTTAGTCGTCCGAGTCACAGCACTTCAAAACAATCGGACATATTTGATTTCATGCGTCAAGATTTCTCGCCCAGCAAAACACCAGTGAACATGAATCGAGGATCTTCCACCTCCGGGGCCAGCAAACGGAAGGTTCTTGAACCAAGTATGGACTCCAATTCCCTTCTCACCATGAAATTCACGTACAATTTGCTGACAATGTGGAACAGAGACCGCAAATGCCAACCTGGGCTCCCCCAAGAAGGCCGGAGCAACTTTACATCCCGACAACAAGATGCGGCCGAAAATGGGAAGTGATGAGAATACGCAGTCTCCCTTGAAGCCCAAAGAGCTCGAGAGCACCAAAAACAAAAGCCTAGGTCAGAGGCCTCGCGTTCGATCTACTCCAGCGCTACAGAAGCCGAAACGTCCCAGTCGATCTACCGAATGTGACGAAGCGGTTCATAGCCAGCCTGCTCCCATTGTCCTCAAAGACTCGCCCATGGCCAGGTCCGGAGAAGTGTTCATGGAAGTGCCTGATTTGACTTCATCCCGGCCCTCACGCCGTCGTGGTGCTGTGGTCAGCTATGCGGAGCCTAACCTCCGAGACAAGATGCGTCGCCCGACAAGGGAAATGGCGGATGCAGTCACAGCCAACGGGTCTCGCAGATCGTCCAGTTTCCAGCCTCGTGAGAGTTTAAACAGCGAGGCCGAACATCCAAGAAAGAGCGGGACCGCTCCTAGCTCTGCTTCAAATGGAAGTCTTCCTGCAGATTTGGCTCTGGCGGACCAGGCCACAGATGTTTTCGTGAAGGGCAATGCATCAGAGCAATTATTGGGGACCGTATCCCATCGGAGACAGTCGCGGCGGCATTCGTCGAACCCGAAGAGCACCACTCGACACGTATCCCCGCCTGACGTGGACGTGGCCGGAGAAGCCCCAGCCACGTTCGCGCAGCTGGATGACGCGGAAGGTGACGAAAGGTGGACCTCCTCTGCAATGGATGTAGCGTATCGGCGTGAAACCCGAGTAGGGGCAAGGAGAAAGAGCATGATGGTGTGAGGGGTCGGTGCCCAAGGTTCTAAGCTTTAATCGTGTATTTACATTTTGAATTGTCCTTTGCTTAGCTATGATACAGATACCCTGATACCCTCTTCTTGCGATTCTGGTCTTGCAAATCAATGGTATTTTTATTTGGTTGCTTTATCCTCAAGTGCGTAGGCCGAAGATTATTAATCCCACCGTGTCGGCACATGTCATATTTCATGGAGTCGTAGATTTGTCGTTGCCCAGGTTTGAAAAGATCTGAGTTTGAGTGCAAGTCCTCATGTGTTTAGAGAGAGACCGGGAGGGCATGGGACTCTGCATATATGAGCCATAACCAGATACCCTTGAATAGGCCTATGCAGATCCGGCATCCTACTCCATTTCAAGCACGGAAATGAGGCTATCGCATAGTAGACCGTGGTTCATATAGAGTCACTTGTCGGGATCATGTGCCCCGTGGATTTTTAGAAGATTTGGGCATCTTCTCGTACGCATTTGGACTTGGCTTCCGTCGTTTATGATTTGAATGTTGTTGCTCGCAGCAAGGCCCTTGATCTTGCTCTGGCGACTGCTCCGATGGTTCCCCATCAGCCGGTCTCCGGCCCCGAGGGTGCAAGCGATGGGAGTGGTTTGCTCGGAGCCTGCGGCGATCGATCTCGTTGTCACTTTCGGAGTCGGACGAGTTAGAGTCCGAAGACTCGGATTCGGAGCTGCTCTCGCCTATGGGGCGAGCTTTGTGGTAGATACAGCACACTGGGTTTGGTCAGAGTCCGCTGTTCGGTGGCGAGGGGTAGGTATTACCTTTGGAGCTCTTCTTCCCCATTCCTTCATTATCCACAACGTCTTCACTCCATCTGATGCGCCGGGCCGAAGAGGGTTCGCTTGCGCTCGGGGTCTCGTCCCCCCTCAATCGAAGGGTCCCTGTAAGTCGAACGGTGGATGAATCGCGTGATTCTGTGGTAGTTTGGAGCTGGGGCGTCGTCCCCGGTTGGCGTGTACGGGACATGACAACCGACAGCAACAGAAACTGGCAATGAAAAATACCACAGAAAGAAGATAGGACTTGGGAGGACTGCGAGGACAAGTGCAAGGGCTGCGACAAAAAAGAATCAAGCAGATGATGCAATTGATAAGGCCGCACCCCTCACCGCCTTACCCGCCAAATCTACCAACTACCAACTACAACTATTCATTTTCCCGGAAAACCCGAGCACAATGTACTCTCTTGAATGAATTTTGGAAGCTATCTTAAAAATATCAAACAGGACCATCGAGAAAGTGATGATGCAGAGTGAAAATGAGAGGGGTAAACTTGATCTCGCGGCTTCGGCGAGTTCTATGTTGTATGCTCCTCAAAAGGATGCCTCTATGTGTCCCCAGGGATTCAGATCTCGTAGAGGGACCAGCCATCAAGGCCGTCATTCACTATCGATTTCTTTTCCCCCACATATCCAGAAAGGCCAGCCGATGCAGGCGGGGGGAATTCAGTACGTAATTCCCTTTCCAGTCATAGCTCATCTTCCGGGTCCATCTCCGATGGCTTCAACAAACCTCCGACCTTCATGGCTCGGGTTCGCTCGGCGACTTGGGCATCACGCACAGCCTGCTCTCTTTCCTCTGCATAGAGATCTGCATTATCATCAGAGAACTCTTTCAGGGAAATCAAGAAATCACGCAAGTGCGTCTTGAACTTGTTCAAGTCATCGGTATAGGCAAACAACCCAAGGACGAACTGCTTGATTTGCACTCTGTGATATGAATTAGTATGATGTCAAGGTCTTCTACTTTCTGGTAGAGAAGGGGGGAAGCTCACTCTTGCAGGTTCTTAAACGCATTCTGCAGCAGGTTCGCAATGTACTCCTGCAGAAACTCCTTGTTGGACGGTCCGGCCGGGGCCTGCTCAGGGGTATAGATAGGCTCCTGAATTTTGCCGGCTTCGATGAAGTAAAACATGCGAGACAGGAGCATGGCTTGGGATTTGAAGCCTACCATGGTAAAAAAAAGAAAGGAATGTAAGCAATGTGGCAATGTGGCGGTGAGGATGTGTCTTAGGTGTACGTACCAGCTTTGTGATCACTGTCGGTGAGGACGAAGAAAACATCCTGGAGGATCGGGATGTAGAATTGGCGGAAGAAGATACTCGATGTGTTCATGTCAGTCTCGGCCATGTTGTTCATCAGCTCCAGGCACATGGTGAGACCTGTATTCTCCACTTCGCGGTTATCATGTTTCGACGCCCACATGCAAGAATCGATGACGAATTTGAACTGTGTGGCATCGAGGTTCAACAACGCTGGGAAGCAATACAAGTTGATGGCCTGGAGAAGCTTGAAGAATTGAACGCGGTGTTCGGGGTATTCGTGGAAATCCTTGTTGATCATTTCCAGAGTGCAGCTGAAAACACTGTCCATGATGGCCGGGATCTTATCCTCCATCAGAGTCTGAGGGGGTAGGATTCATGTCAGCTTTTGCAAAAGGGGAGAAGAAGTGAATGCAATTGGGGTGAGGGGACAAACATGGAGCTTGTGAATAATCGTAGTCATGACATTCAAGACTTCGGCTTCACGTGCATCTGGCACGTTACGGTGGTAGTCAATCAAAACGGCCTCGAGTAGCGGTGGGACCATGTTGGCATTGACCATTTCAAGATCGTCCGACTTCTCCACGTAGGTATCAATGAGCTTCAGGATCTCCTTCTTAATGGTGCGAAGTCCTCGGACTTTCGGGGTTTTGGGGGCAACGCTCCCTGGATCACGTCAGCACTGATCTAGTACACACTGCTTGCAAATATTGTTTGATGAGCTTACCGTCACTAGCCACTGCATCGTTGATGAGCTGGCTAGAAGCACGATACATGTTCAGCATGTCGTGGTAAATGCGGCCAATCTGGGAGTAGAAGTAGGTTCCAATGGAAGAGCACGCGGCGACGTTCGTCTTCATAATGTTACCGATAATCTTGATCGTGTTACCGTCCTGAAGGATCGCGGCATTTTGGTTGGCCTCCGCAATGATCTGATCCCAGGCCGAGTTGGGCAGAGCCATTAGGTTGTCGATCAACCGATCCTGAAGTGACTTTTGACCCTGAGCAGAGATCATGTAACCGCAGGCTTCATAAAATGTGTGAATCTGCTGTGGCGACAAATCCATGGTGATCTTGCGCATGTTGCGCACGATTTCCTCAATGAAAGGTTCATTTTCGCCTGGCTGAAGGGCCACGAAGTGCCGTCGGCACTTATTGGCAATCTTAATGAAGGTATCGCAGGCCATGTCTTGGACACCTATACGGCGAATTAGTCAAAAGTCAACTTCGAATGTCTGTTGCGTGAGTGACGGACCTTCATGTGTTTCATGCATGAACTCGAAAAGCTTGTTGACCACAGTCTTCAAGAACTTCCAGTGGGCCTTCAGGAACCGAGGATATTGACCCACGATGTACATGATATTACTCGCCACGACCGCCTTGTTGTCCTTTCCACGCTTCTGCTCCGTCAGGCCGAGAAGATCCTTGATCACCGTAACTAGGAAGCGCTTTTCAGTTTCCTCGTTCATGGCGCCAGAAATGGAACCAATCGCCCAGCACAGGGTGTTGCAGTTCACCCACGACCATTCGGTACCATCGACTTGCTTTGCCAGCTTGTCGATCATGATGGTCTCGGTGTCCACCACGTCCAGGTGCGTGAGGTAGACCAAACACTCGCGGATCGTTTTGTAGAGCTGGATCGTATCGCTCTCCTTGACGAACTCGCGCACTATTTCGCCCTCGTCATTCTCGACGATGAGAACCTCCTCCGGACGGACCATCTTTTCGATCATGACGGTACGCAGGTTCGAGAGCACGGTCTCGTATTTGTGCTTGCGAAGGGGATAATTGGCGAGGGTACTGGGGTGAGGCGCGCCGCCGTTTGACAGCCCACTGACACCCATTGTCACGAGCGGGTTGATGTCGGTGATAGGGAGTTGTTGCATCTCTTCGTAGAGCTCTTGCACCAATCGAGTCCAGTAATCCAAACAAATCTTAAACACTTCCCTATCTTCGATTTGACTGATGCGAATCAGGTAGAAATGGGCGTGCGTGAGATAATCTTGGTTCGGCAACTTTTCAACAAGCTAGAAAAAGGGGACAAGTTAGCACCAGCGGGGGAAAAGCGGAGGGCTCGTCTGTTTGATTGGAGCGGTAGGTTCATTAGTTCACGTACATCCAAGTGTGCGCTGAAAAAGCTCGATAAGAAGAGGGCCAGATTGGAGACAAACTCCTGATCCCGTCCGTTGCTTCGCGCGAAGGTCTCCTTCAAGTCCATGGACAAGGGAATGACATTCGAGACCTTTGTCAGAGTCTCGGTGAACATGTGCACCAGTCTCTCATCGTAATTGTAAGGAGCGCCAATTTGCAGGCCACCGATCTCCGTGAGGCACTTGAGCGTGACATTCCGGAAGTCGGGGACGTCCAGGAATCGGGTCAGAAGCGTGTTGATGATGGGGGTTTCGAAGATGTAGCCCAGCGGGATCCAGTTTAGGAAACGAAGGAGCGTCTCGAGAGTCGCTTTCACCAGAGTCGGCTGGTTGGCGGTGTTGAGGACTTCGGAGCAGAGTTGGAAGATCGCCGAGAATTCTTGGGTCATGGAGGTCTTGAGGTTCCGTGCCTTGACCGAGGTCATCTGGTCCTGAGAGAAATCAAAGACCTCCTCGGACAACAGGCGCAGGATGGCCATGTTATTTTCACAGATCGAGAGGCTGGCATGACAGGAGGAGATAATCTCATTGATGAAGGTGGGCCAGTTGTGCGGCCATTCCTGTTTCAGGATCGAGACCAAGACCAAGTTCAGTTTGTTCAAGAATGCGCGTTCGGTGCGGAGCTTCTCCTCGGAGCTAGAATTCTCGATGATGAAATTGACGATGAAGTTCCGGATACCTGGGGATGAAAATCACGCGGCATCAGCGCGTGCTCCCCAGCACGTTCAAAGCGGGAGATCTGACTTACCCTGGCATTGATCTCTTGGCAGAACCTTCCATCGAGTCATGATCACATCGTCGAGAACCTGGAGGGCAATATCTGCACGCGGTCAGTCGACCGCCTTCCGAGGGGAGACAGAAAACGCAAAGGAGGGGTTCCAAAACCTACACTTCGTTTGAGGATACGATGCCTCCTGGAGGATGTTTCCCACGGTGACCCAGGCATCGGGGTTTTGCTTGAACTAAATGACCGAAAGAGTGAGCAGGGTGGACGCGTCGCGCGAGAGCGGCGAGCTTACTTCTGTCAGGGTCTGTTGGGCTTGTTTTTGCTGCGCGTTGTTAGCGACTCAGTCCATCCAAGTCATCGACCCAGGGTAAAAAGCCAAGGCAGCGGAAAGCACGTACCACGTCGCCTTTGCCTTCGAAGAAGGCTTGGACCGTGTTGTCCAGCTCTTGAACAGAGACAGACATGCCGCCGCAGAGATTGGCGATCTCGCCCGGGGGGGGGGAGGGGTTCACGAAAAGGCCGTCACGACACAAAAGTTCGAGGATCTGAGGATCGACAGAGGGGGCCTGAAAGGGAAATTGGCAGGACTGCCAACGTCACTTGAGCTATGGGGGGTGGTTTGAAGGAGGGGGGTGGGTTAAAGTGAAGGGGAGGTTCTAGTGGGGTAGCAAAGAGGTCCTGAGGGGTTGGGTAAGCACCTCAGGCAGTGGGATGTCCAGTCACTCAGGGAATAGCACCGGAGTCCACCAGGAGCTCAAGGAGGGGGAAAGAGACCTGCAGGGATTTGAGTGGATTTTGAAAAGGAAAAGTTTTGAGAGATCGCACTGGCGGTGAGAGGAGCGCGTGTGGTTCGAGAGGAGCTTTGAGGCCACGGGGATCTTAGTCAGCCGCGCTTGTCGTTGCTTGTCAACAACCGACATCATAGGATACCTCCAGGTATTGGCTGTCTATTCTCTACATACATGTCATGGACTCGATCTGGACTTTGCGATCAGAAGATATGTGACGGGTGGGTCAAGGCAAACTCCCCCGTCACCTAGATCACGTACATTAGCACCGAAGGCCCAGGGCCCAGGGCCGAGGAGGCGCGAGGTCACAGCGCACAGCACCACAGTACAGCGCGCGGGAAACCGAGGAAGCGATGCATAACCGCCCAACCCGCCCGGCGCCAATTGGCGAACGCCTACGACAGGCTGCCATTGCACCGCGCCCCACCGACACACGGGGCGCCTGGGAACGCGCGCCATCGTCGCTCCGGTCGCCTGGGAAATGACTGGTGTCTCAGACCCGCGCACGCCTCACCTGGATACGGCGCTTTGCTCTTCCGATTGGCGGTCGCCGTGACGCCGTCCTTGCCGATCGCGCGCCAACTCCTCTCCCTTTTCCCTATTGTCCCGTCAAAGATGCTAAGAAGTGCTAGCCGGGGGGGAAAAGACAGAAGAGGGGGGGGGACTTGATTTGATGGGATGGGGGCCATTGGGTTAACAGGTGCTGAGAGAGAGAGAGGGGGGGGGGACTTTTTCCCTATTCCCTATATTCTATTCTTTCTATTTCCCCCGTTTCCCTTCTCTTTCAATCCTTCCCTTCCCCCGTCCCCCTTCCTCCCCTTCTTTCTTTTCTCTTTCCTCTTTTTCCCTTTCCCCTCCTCTACTACACTAGCGTTAAATAGCATAGCCCTATTCCTCAATCGTCCCCCACCCCTCACGCTTCGTTTATACTCTACTCTTACCCTACTACCCTAGTCTGATCTGATTACATTCTATTATCTCTGCCCCAGTCCCTTCTCGTTATCGGTGTTGGATTCCCGGGTAGTGTTGATCATTTGAGGCGCTGAAACCATCCCGTGCCCGTCTACCCCGACGCCCCACCCCAGACGAGGTTGCCGCGATCCTTAACCTGGAATCTTTGCTTGGGACTTTCTATCCCTGTCGTCGAGAAAAACCAGTCCCGAGCCCCTAGGAAACGCGATAAGGACCTTTCTCTCAATTGAGACTCGACAACTCCCCGCGAGTGCCGTATGCGCAGCTCCCTGCATATCTTGGAGTTGCCGCGTGGGCTTCCCGAACTGGACCGTGTAAGCTGCTGAAGATATCTGCCGGGATTCTCCTCGGCGCGTGGGCTTTTTATCTCGTTTTCTCCTCCCTGTTCTTCTCCACCCTCGTGGAGGTCTGAACCATGACTGCCGTCGCGAGTGCACCCGTGATGAGCAATCGCGATTCCGGCACCGAGACGGGCACGGAACACAGCCCATCTCGATTTACGGCGGTGAACGGTAGAGACTCGACAGCCTCGGCTGCGGGGGCAAACCCCAGCCCCGGTGCACAGATGAATAGCGGGGGTCGACACGCTCCGTCCGGTGCGAATGAGAACCAAGATGCATCCCCCCGGGAGAACCTCAGTCAGTCCCAGAGGTCATCGCCAATCGCTCTCGCTCATAAGCGCAAGCGTTCAGGGTCCGGAGAACCGGATTCCCATGACGCAGACGGCTACGGGCGAGGCTCTATACCGCGCTCGGGAGAGGCTCCGCCTATCTCGAACGACGCTCGTTCTTCGTCGGCCTCGGAAGTCGAGGCGGGCAGTGCGGCGATTGCCTCCGGTCGATCCGATACGAATGAGCCATCTCAGCCGCCTTCGAGTGGCCCCTGGTCCGATTACGAATCGCGCCTCATCAACCAGGCTCAACGAGCACAGCAGATCGATCCCTCGGATGCACAATTAGCGGATGTGCTACAGCGTGAAGCACAGGGTCAGGATCCACGGTCCCTCGGTCGTCCTGCACTGTCTGCCAACGTTCAGCCCGCACCGCCCTCCACGTTTCCGGAGCGGTCGACGGTCCAGGTAGCGCCGAAAAGGAAGCGCGTCTTCAGCAACAGAACTAAGACGGGCTGTATGACTTGTCGCCGCCGGAAGAAGAAATGCGACGAGCAACATCCTGCCTGTGAGTCTCTTTCCCGTCATGGTCGATTTTCGGTATCTCCAACTCCCGCGTGGTAAGGCAGAGAGCTAATCGCTGTCCCTTCAGGTAACAACTGCACTCGCGGGGGTTTTCTCTGCGAAGGCTACTCTACACGGACCCCGTGGCAGAAGCCTTCCAGTTCCAAGGCGCCCGTTCCTTTGCAGTCAAAAGAAGGGTATCCCGATCTGGGTGGTCAGTATTTACAAGAAACAGCCCCACCGCACGACCGACAGCCCGCCATGATAGACCACACTGAGTCGCGGAAGATGAAACCGATTGTGCTGGATGAAAGCGAGCGACCAGGCCAGCAGTATAGCACCAGCCCCACCGGCACAGCACCCAGTCATGCATCATGGACGAAACGCGCATGGCCCGGACCAGGGCCCGGCCATCACCCGTATCTATCAGACCCCGTCGCGAAACCCGATTACCGAGAGATCCCTCCGATCCATGAGCTTCCGCGGGATGGTCCTCCAAAAGCCGATTACCCGGTAGTTCCACCCATTCGTGAACTCCCTCATGGATCCCATCCAAGACCCAGCATGCCTATGTTTCAGCCGGGAGTCGAGCATCGGCCCCTTCCCTCGGTGACGATGGATACAAACAGTCCACAGGCCCAGGCGAGGATGGCCTTGGGGCTAGAAACCCCACTTTCCAACCGAAACGTCCCTCCTGCGGATGAAACCGAGAAGGGAAAGATGACCCGAGGAGAACTCTACCGTCCATTCGATATCCAGCTGGTGGAGGAAAGGGATCGATGCAAGTGTGCTTTGTCGAGATTCAATAATGCATGCAATCCAATCTATGGGCTCAGCTCGAAGGAGCAGAATCGCCTGCTCAAGGAAGTCCTCGTTCCCCCATCAAACTCGGTGAATTCTCCACCGGGCCCTTCTGCGCCTCGTCTTGTCGGCTCTATCGGGCAAGGAACGGTGGTTGAGTCTCCCTTTAGATGCCACTATGGATGGAACATCAATCTCGAGGCGGATGTCATGGTGTCGGAGAATTGCCTATTTGTCGACGACGGTGCCATCCAAATCGGCTCCAATACATGGATCGGCCCCAACGTTACCCTGCTCACTGCGTGTGCTTCCGACAATCTGCAGCATCGTCGGGGCCCCCAGACCCTTTATCAAGCGAAGCCGATCATCATCGAGCAGGACTGCTATATCGGTGCTGGGTCGACAATTTTCCCCGGGGTGCGAATCGGACGAGGCGCCGTTATTGAAGCCGGTGATATGGTGAAGCGCGACGTGGCGCCTTACCAACTCACGAGAAACCGGCCAGGCTATTAAATCGCCCCTTGGAAGCTCTGACAGCTGCGATACTTTTCGTCTCCGTCGTTGGAGTTGAGTTGATTGATAATGAGTACTATTCCCCCGTGGTTATGTTTTTGAATTTGCTTTCTGCCTGCTTCTTACGCCATTTTACGCTGGTTGCCTTTTTTATACGTTCCCATGGCGTTTGAGGGAGGGGAGTCTTCTCTGATTTGATTCTTGTTCAATACTTGTTATTTTCCTCGCACTACTAGGCGATATATAGGCGTGTCTCTTTTTACTTATTTCATAGTGTTCAAACGATTGAAAGACAACATTGAACTGATGAATTGGGGGTATCTGCGATTTGTACTTTTCTGCAGTCAGAGACGGACTGCTAGACGCCTCGTGGTGGGGGTATCTTTGGAACAAGTGATGTGTAATTGTATCGAGAACGTGGCTTTCTCCGATGCATCGTCAATAATCTCCACATCCCAAAATTACAGACCGAAAGACTTTCACTTCATAGCCACTCTAGAAACTCCGGAACAAAGTAACTGACCACGATTCCAGCCCCTGCCCGGAGAATGCCTTCGGTGCTTTCAAAGGCCATGGCTTTCAAGTCAAACACGCCCGCCTTCGCGGCCGCGTGGATCATCGCAAATTCACCGCTGACCTGGTACGCAGCCACGGGGAGATCTTGGGCCAGTTCCTTGGCGTCTCGAATAATGTCTAGATAACTACTCGCGGGCTTGACCATGATGATATCAGCGCCCTCGTTCACGTCTCGCTTAATCGCGCGACGGGCAAGTCCACGACCACCGGGCGGCAACTGATAGCAGCGACGATCTCCAAAGGAGGGGCACGACCCGGCCGCGTCGCGAAACGGGCCGTACAGGCACCCGCTGAACTTGGCGCTGTACGACATCAGAAGCACGCGATGTGCCAGGCCGGCCTCGATCAATTTGAGCTTAATGCCTCGTACTCTTCCGTCATTCATATCGGATGGTGCAACACAGTGGGCGCCGGCAACGGCATAGGCCAAGGCCACATCCGAAATGCGATCAACGGATTGCGCGTTGTCCAGAGTTCCATCTTCGGTCAAAATTCCGCAGTGCCCGTGTGATGTGTACTCGCAAAGACAGACATCCGTCGTGATATAGAGCTGGGGGAGGCGAGTACGGAGGAGTCGAATTGCTTGAATGACGGGGCCCGACGGGTCATCTGCAGCGGTTCCAAGTGCATCTTTGGCCGAGGGTTGGAGCGGCACTCCGAACAGCATCACCGAGCGCAATCCTTTCCGAACAAGTGGTGCCAGGAACGGGACGAGACGGTTGACGCCCCGGCGGTATTGGTTGGGCAGTGACGGAATGGGGGTCTCCTCGTCAGGGTTGTCGGTTACGAAAAGTGGGTAGATGAGCATGTCCTGGACACAGGTGAGCGAAAGGCCTCCGACCAGGGCCACGATCGGAGCGTACAAACCTTTGTCAGTTGCCTCTCGGCCTGCCATGACCGGCTCAGTGGGTGGCTGTAACCGGCATGGAGTTGGCTTCCAATGTCCCCTGAAATGCTGACACTAGTGGCTGTAGTACTCGTGTATGATCGAGCTGTGCGAGACTGAGCGCGTGAAATCTGTGAACGATCGTCCGCATTGGAATCTCGGAAGGCGATATCGGAGACCAGATTTGAGAACGACATTTTAGGTGATCGCAGGTAAATTGGAGGAGGTAGGTTGGGGATTGTAGAAGAGACAGCAAGTGGCGAACGGAGGTGAAGAGCGGAACGCCAGGAATGTGAAGCCCTCGGATATCGATGTGATCTGTCAGCCGAGGGTAAGGCGATTGCCGCGCGCCGTGATTGGGTCCTTTTTCAACCACCGGTAATCCCCGTCTTGTCTTCTTGCTGTACTTTTATCTAACCCTTTTGTTTGACGTGCGATGTCATAGGCGATTTGACTATTCAACACCTGCGCTGTGCCTATTGTGCCCAGAGTATTAGGCATGGAGTATTTCTGATTTTTGCTCCGCCAGTCGGACGCTCCGAATCTACCATTGGTGGGTTGACGCTCTACCTTGTTGTATTTTCAAGGCCGCATAGAAAATTTCTGTTATGTACAAGTTTCAACACTATCTCAAATAGTCAAAGCAAGTGCTAGGAAATGGATTGATAGAATCATTAATGCAATGGCTAACGAGGTAAAAACAATGCGGGAGATGTGACATGTCAGCTGGTGTAAATCAAACCCGCACTGCAGTATGTATATCATGACAGGATAGCACCTGATTCAGCTTCGTTATACAACCAATTTGAGGCTACTTGGATTTCCAATCGGGTATGACGGGAACTCCACGAGAGTTTCCCGATAATCTGCATGAAAGCCAACGCCACGTGATCGCACAAAGGCATTAACGGCACTCTCCTGTAATTAATGAACTCTCCTCCTCAATCATTAGTCCAGTCATAATCGTATTGCCGAGCGGACCGCCCGCATACTTGCAGTTCCATCCGGTCCCTTACCTGGTCCAATCCCAGCCCTAACAGAAATACCAAGATTAACATATATCATAAGAGCTGTTTATTCTAATTATTCGTTGGCCTGCTCGAATAATTATAAATCTCTTTATTCTGAAATCTAGACATCTATGTCATAAATTTGGTGCATCAATTACATGCCTTTTTTTTCCAACTACCAGTTCAATATGGAAGTATGTCTTCTTCCTCAATTGACCACCTTTGCTTTATAGGAAAAGTGTGCTGGTATTATATATTTAATGGTTAGCTCGAGAGTCTAGATTATAGACCCACGAAGTAAGTTATAGTCTACATTAGACTACGCCAAAACCTATATACGACGTACGATCTTTTACCCGATCCCGAACCCGCGTGGGTTATAGGCTATAGAGTATGGGAATTGATACGGCCGACACCCCCCTTCCTCCTACCAAACCCCCGCCCCCTGCCTGATTTCTTAGGCACGTACCTTTCTACCGACTTAATTATGCCTATCTTTTAAAATGTCAGTTTTCTTAGCTGCAGAGATTTTTAATTTTGGTTTGTATAGTAAAACCCCAAGTTTTTGTCCCGTTAAATCGCTCTCTTTTCGCTTTCTACATACGTTTCTTTTAATAGCTGATCATATGCCTCCATCCTAATTATTCAGCACCCCCTAATCACGCTGACTACTACGTAGTATCCTCTAATCTCCGACCGCGCGTCTATAGCCTCTATGACCCTGCTCTCCGCGACCTCCCTATCCTCCTCAGAGAAATAATAAAGGGGAGATCGAGATATAAAAAGATGGTCAGAAGCGGTGAGAAACGCGATGGGAATTTAATTAAAGCTAATCCTAACTAGATCATAAAGGCCTAATAAATCAGACAGGGGGGTTAGTAGGAGGAAGGAGGGGGTTAGCTATATCAATTCCCATTATATATTAGACAATACTAGTCCGGAGCTATTTATTTTAAGGAATCTATATATAATTCTAGAAATAAAAAAGCATTTCTTTTATCAAATTATACCTACGTTTTAGTTATAAGACTATTATCCTTGTAATACCTGTTATCCACCGAAACTTTTAGAAATATAACTATATTTAGTTATAAGGACTAGTGCTAATAGTGTTTTTACCTTAAGATAAAGGATATAAAATATATATAACTAGTAAATTTATCGTTAGCGAAAGGGGTAGATATCTTAAGAAATATATATTTTTGCGTATATTAGTTAGTGTACCTTCCTATAAAACTCACTTATAGGACTTAAATTTATTAATTACGTAGTTTATAATCCTATTATAACACTAAAATATATAGTTAAGATGTCTAATTATATAGATAAATTTAGAAAATAAGTTCCTATATAAAATAATAAAGAATTCGCTATCTAAATAAATGATTATATAGTCTTTAGTAGTTACTTTATATAGTATGTTAGGTAATCTATAATTTCTTTTACTATCATGTCTAATAGACCTGGCACTCACCCGTGGGTGAACCTAAGGAACCTTACCCAACCTACCCCGCGGGACGGGTAAGGGTCTAGCTTCTAGACCCAAAGGTTGGGTCTTCGAGGTGCTAGACCTATCTTGGGTGACCCGCGGGTGACCTATAGGGTCTATAAATAGGATAAATAGGTAGAAAACGTGACTTACTTGTTTACGTATAAGTTATATAGATTTAGGGAGTTTTTCTATATATTTATTTATAATACTTAATATAGAGTAGGTCGAGTTTTCTAATAGCTATTAGAATTATAGTCTTTAACTATAGCACTAGTTTTTTGATGGCTATTAGAAATTACGCTTCTTTAGCTATATATAGCCTTCTTAAATTTAAAGAGTAATATCGTATAATTTATTTAATATATAGAATAAAATAATAAATTATTAAGACCTAAGTATATAGCTATTAGGTAGCTTTAAACGCTTCTACTTTCTATTAGATATATACTATTAGGTATTAGGTAGAGGGAGGTTAGTATTATTATTATTATTCTTATTATAATCTATAGCCTCTATCCCTTTAAGATAAATTATTATTATATAAGACTATAGAAAGGACTCTCTCTTCTAGGGCTATATATTATCTTCTTTAGTATTACTAATTAGTTTAAAGGATTCCACTTAGGTTTTATTAGCTTTAGCTATCGCTATAATCTCTTAATATAAAAGATACTTCTATAGAATAAGCTACTTCTATTCTTAGAGATTGAATCTTATTATATATATCTAGAGTATAATATCCTAAATTATCTTTAGCTTCAATAAGCCTTATTAATAATAATAGATATCTTGATTCTTAGGTAGAGTTAAAGAGGCGTTCTATCTCTACTTTAATTACTAGAATTAATATTATATCCTACATAAGATTTATAAGTATAGGAAACTTATATTTATACTCTTTCTAGAATATCTAAGGGGGGCCTTATATAGTTACTAAAAGGAGAGGTTAGTATAATTTAGTAAGGAAGAAAGAAAAATATATAACTTTTAAGATATCTTATAAGCTTATTATATTATAGAGATAAGAATTATTATAAATCTTTAAATATTAAATCTATATCTATTATCGCTATTCTTAATATCTAGCTATTTAATTATAGCTTATCTTAACGTAATTCACAAGCCACCCGGCCACACAAGCCACCCGGCCACCCAACTAAATTTACGCGTCCCAACGCGTCTCTCCTATTTTCTACCAACCACCATGCCTCCAAAACGCGCTCAATCAAGCCGTAATTCCATCGAACAAGAGGGCCGTCTTTTGTTAGCTATACAGGCTATAAAAAAGGAAGAAATTAGCTCTATTCGAGACGTAGCGCGCCAATTTAACGTTCCACGTTCTACGCTCGCCGACCGTATTAATGGCCACCAAAATCGCTCTGAAAGACGCGCCAACAACCATAAACTGACCCAAACTAAAGAGGAATCGCTTAAGAAGTGGATATTATCAATGGATACGCGTGGAGCAGCCCCTAGGCCGGCTATAGTGCGAGAAATAGCGAATCTTTTGCTTGCAAAGCGCGGTTCAACCCCAATCCAGACGGTCGGCGAAAACTGGGTCACAAACTATGTCAAAAGACAGCTAGAGCTAAAGACTCGTTTCTCACGTCGATACGACTATCAGCGAGCAAAACAAGAGGATCCAAAGGTTATTCAAGAGTGGTTTAATCGCGTACAAACTATAATTCAGCAATACGGTATCCTACCGGAGGATATCTACAATTTTGACGAGACTGGCTTCGCGATGGGCCTTACAGCGACCGCAAAGGTTATTACCTAAGCAGAATACTACGGTTGGCGATCAGTTTTACAGCCAGGAAATCGTGAGTGGGTGACTACAATCGAGTCAATTAGCGCTTCTGGGTGGGCGCTTCCGCCTACGATTATCTTTAAAGCCAAACTGCATAATCTAGCTTGGACCGATAACCTTCCAAGAGATTGGGGCTTTGAAGTTAGTCAAAATAGATAGACGATAGACGAGATTAGCCTTCGATGGCTTCAAAAGCTATTTATACCATCAACGAATAGCCGTACGCAAGGCCGATATCGATTATTAGTCCTTAATAGGCACAGTAGCCATCTTACGCCCTATTTCGACCAAATTTACTTAGAAAACGAGATTATCCCTATTTGTATGCTAGCGTATAGCTCGTATCTTTTATAGCCACTTAATATTAGTTGTTTTGCGGTTTTAAAGCGCTTATATAGAACCTTGGTTAATCAAAAAATGCGGCTTAGCATTAACTATATTAACAAGTTTGATTTCCTCGCTGCCTACCTAAATGCTCGCGATCGCGCTTTTTAAGCGCCTACTATAAAAAATAGCTTCGCAGCAGCGGGTTTAGTGCCATTCGATCCAGAACGAGTGCTTTTAAAGCTTAATATCTAGCTTCGGACGCCTACACCCTCAGGAAGCCGCCCAAGCAGCCGATCAAGCGTTTTTACCCCAAAAACACTAGCGACCATCGCTGAATTACTTAAATAAGGAGCATCAATCCAAGCTTTCCTAAAACGACGCTCAAATAGCCCACCAACACCCTCAAAAACCGCGTTAAACCAACTTATTAAGGGCTGTCAGATCGCTATGCAAAATGGCATATTACTTAAGCAAGAAGTTAAGGAATTACGCGCTTCCAACGCAGCGCAGAAGCAAAAGCGCGCACGGGTTAATAGACGCATAGCCTACGAAGCTGGT